AAAATTTAAAATTTGGCTTTGTAATTCGGAACTTATGTGATGTGATTTAATTTGATTTGATTGGCCGGTTAATAAAAATTATTTTTTAAAAAAGAAAAGATATTCTGCCCTGGGCATATGAGACTATCCAAAGGGCTGCCAATTTGAGAATCACAACTAATATATGCTGTATGCTACTAAGCTTTACTGCTAAGTGCAAAGGTAGCCCAACAAACCATGAAGATACGGTGCTCTGAAATGAACACAGAACTCGATGAATTATTGGAAGCCATGCGAGCATTTTAAAATAAGGCTGCAGTTCTAATAATGCCACTGAAATTGATTAAATTTTCCATGTGTACGGAGGGTGTGGAAGTTTGCCACAGGTTTCATTTAATATATTTGCATTAATGACAATAAGAGGGGTGGCTAAGCCACAGCCCTCTAGCTGTTGCTGAAGTACAACTCCCATCATCTCTGACCATTGGCCATGCTGACTAGGGCTGATATAAGTTGTAGTTCAGCAGCAGCTGGAGGATCACGGGTGGTGCACTCCACACAGCCTGTTATCTTTTTTTTACAAATATTGGCGCTGGCAGTCTGGAGAAGGTGCAATAAAGCTCATGGATAAAGCTGGCAGCCAAGCGAATTAGTGCATAGCTGGCTGGGCTGACAGGTGGGTGGATTGGGAGCTGAAAGCCAGCAAAGCCTGTAGGGAGAGTCTGAAGAAAGCTTGATTTTTACCCAAAGGATGGGTTGTCAAAGCAGAATCAGAGGCTTTTTAAAGTGCCATTTGGAATCAACATTGGCCCCTTATGTCACCTTACCTCTGCTGACTAAATATCTACAGAACTGCCTTCTGGCCATTAGCAATGATGGCACTCAAGCGGCAACAGAGATCAGGCCAGCCACTCTCTCTTCTGGCAACCTGCCATGAAATATATCTGGGACTAGTTATCAAAGTCCCTCGTTCCATATTGTTGACATTGAACAACAAAACCCCATTTGCTGCAAAAGTTAGGACTTATTCCCCCTCCTATCCTCAACCAATGAGTAACTTTAGCACAGAAGAGAATGCCTGCATCAAATATTTAGCAGCTGCTCTTTGCACCCCTCAGTATCCTGCCTTATCTAGTTTTTCATTTCTATATATTGCACAGATGTATCTTAGCAGAATCACAAAAGTCAGAAAGGGTCATCCAATTTCCCTACATTCCCTACATTCCCCTATTGTCTCCTACAATTTAAAAAGGCTTATGTTGTTGTTGTTTAAGTGCTGATTTAAAAGGCAAAACAAACAAAATAAAATATTGGGAATTCAGAAAGGGTTATGAGAAAAAAGCACGTTGACATGTTGGAATTGTGACTGATATGAACAGCATAACCCCATTAAAAGTCCTTCATCTTCACTTGTGGAATGTACCTCGACCCTCTAACATAACTCCACTCTGAGCTTAATATGGAAAAGTCTCAGATAGGTCTGTCTTGGGTCATATGTGAACTGAACACCAACTTCCTTGGGAGTTCTGGCTAATCATGGACCATGCAATCATGCGCCACCTCCTGAAGCACCTTGCTCTGCTCACAAATCATTGACTTAGATCCTAAGGTTGGAACCCTAACGATGTCTACTCAGAAAGAAGTGCTCTTTAAATTAAAGGGGCTTATTTGCAGGTAAGTGGGACTTGGAGTGCAGCCTAAGCAAGCTTCTGCAGGTGGGAGTGTCATGCGAGTGGAATTCTGATCACGAGACTCTCTCACTAATGGAAGTGGAGAAGTGACTTTCAGTAACCTCCCTTTTCCCCTTGCCAATCTGCCGCAGAGAGTTATGAATGGTGCTCCACAGCAGCATTGCGCAGCTGCTGGGGAAAGGAGAGATGAGCAAAGAAAATGTCATACCACCCCATACTCTGCTAGATACCAGCTCCCTCCATGAATGTAAGCAGCGCTTTCATTAGCAGAGGACTAGTTAAGATCCAAGTTTGGTAGCTAAAGGGAGGGTTTTTCAATGCACATTTAAATCTTAGGGTCATAGTGTTCTTACAATATCCAACAGAGAGAAGCTTGGATAGATAAGGCTGGTTGACTCACACTGGTAGAGCTTAGATCACAGCAATCTTGAAAGTGCACAAGATAACACTAGTTTTTTATGAGGTAGAAGAGAACCACATACTTGAATTAATGTGCCTATGCAAAAATGTCCCTTATTTGTAAAGCTAAGGCATTAGAGGGAAAGCTAGACTGGAAGCCTTCTGCCTGATATATATTAGTCTTACATATAATGGGAAGCTTGAGTGTGGAAATGCATTCAACCAAGCAACCCCCCTCCCTTGCATTTTCAGGGGGTATGTAAGGTTTGTACTGCATCCCCTTGGTAACAACATGTTTAATACATAAATAGATGCCTGTAGGCTGGAAAATGGGGAAAACAAACAAATATTTGAACTGGCTCAAATATCCCCTCGATTCACCCATATTGTTATTTGTACAATGGCAAAGAGGAGAGTAGCTAGATGGAGGAAAGAAATTACACAGGACATCCTTGATGGCAGAAGGGGAGAAGTCGGTCACAACTTGCTTTATTCTAGCTTAGCAGTAGCAAGGCAGGCAGGGCATGAAAACAATGGTTGGGTCTGCTAAAACCTTTTATCAAGTCATACTGTTGGTCTCCTTACTTCAGTATTGTCTACTCTGACTGGCAGTGGCTCTCCAGGCCAGGTACCAGGCAGGAGAATGTCTCAACCCTACTTGGAGATGCCAAGTCTCTCTAGGTCTGGAGAAGTTGTCTCTCTAGATCTGTCCAACTCCTCCCTTAAGAACTTAACCAGGTCTTGATTGTGGGATTCCTATAGGCATCTGGTTGGCCAAACTAAATGAGACACTGGTCTGATCCAGCAGGACTCTTTTTATACTCTTAACCTGACCAACTCAGCAAAGGAGGAGATCAGTCTCCCCAAGTCAAAGCCAAAACAGGCCACTAATGGCCTGCCACTACTAGTGCAGAGATACTTCTGTCCTCCCTGTATCCTATCACACAGCACAAAGCAAGTCCACTAAAGAAAGCAAGGATCCAGCATTTCCTAAATGATATATCCCATCTGCTGAGAAATCAAAGTCATATTCCTTTCTTTAACTAATCTTGCTAAATAAATTCTTGGTAATCTGCAGTCATCACAATCAAGACAGGCTCGTGGGTTTGTGTTGGTGGGTGACACATCTGTCCACATGTTGCCACCCAGGGGCTGCTCTGTTAAGATCCCCTTTCCAAGGCCGTGACAGTAAATTATATCAGACATTCAAGTGCAGACCATCCAGTACTCCCATTATTTTTGAAAAATGAGATTGTGAAAGTCTAAGGTGCCTCATTCAATCTTGAGCAGCATAACAAATAAAGCAGAGCTGCTCTATTTGTAACCTGGTAGCCCAGTTTGGAAAATAAATTAAAGTTTTGATTAAATCAATGTGTTTTAGATATGGATTTAAAATTTGAGCCTTCAGAAAGTTCACAGTATGAAAAGGCGGGAGAGAACCCTGTGCTTCCTTGGTTCATTTTGTTTAGTGGTCATTAATACAGTAATTGCCTCATGAATACAACTGAAATAGCTACACTTTTCAAATTGCAAAGCACTTATTATTGGAGAAAACTGTGTCTCATTTCCATGCACTGAGGAAAATGTATTGTACCTATGTTTGTTTGTTTTTGAGAATTCTCCAGTATTTTTGGAGAGGTTTTACTTTTTTTAAGCCAATATTTAAAGAAATAGTGGGGTTTTGTTTTTAGTAACTTCATCTTTCTCTTGGTATTTTGAAGGGCTGTTACCTCTCTTCATGACTATTTGAGAAATTGAACCCTAGCTTTTAAAATTTACCTGTTAAGATTAAATCAGATATTATGGGAATACAAAGAAAGCTAGAAGAACTTAAAATAACAAACTATCTAACTGTACATGAAAAATTCATGTATAGTTTTATGATCACCCCCCACTTTTTTCCCTTGCGGCTGATCTGCGATGAGGCAGTATCCTGTTTTACTCACTGACATTGGCCCTCATGACATTTGACTACCTAAAAGGAATATTAATGTATACTTTATACTGGGGCTTCATTAGACCATACATTTCTTGCATTAACTATAGCAGTTTAGATCGTTTTCTTCCCAGCAGCAATTCAACAAAATAGTATCCTCTCATATCACATTTAATCTCTATTGTTTGACGTTCACTCATAGACTCGCTGATTCAGTGGCATTCAAAACAGTTTGCTTATTTATTTAACCATATTTTTAACCTACCCACCTCTTTTTCAGGCAATTATTCTCTCCCAAAGCAGCTTGCATCAATTTAAAAGAGCAGAGGAGCACTGCCATCAGGCACACAAAGACCCACAAGGGAAAAGAAGTGGATGGAAAAGCAGAGAAATGGAACATCAACTCCTTAAGGCCAGACTGAAGCAGTGGGCCATAACCAGGCATTTATAGTCACCTGTTTATAGTCATCAATTTATAGTTGATCTTCACTGGCCAGTGTTCTTGCTTGAATAGCAGTTGATGGCTCTCAATGGATGGGGCCAGAACGTCCTCTCATTTTGCTTCTGCAATACTAAAGCAGACTGGAAGTTGGAGCGGAGTGTTCTTTCTGGCATGGAGGAGAAAGCAAGCTCCTTCTGTGGCCAGCGGATGGGGCCAGGCTGGCCACCCCCTTGCCACAAGGTTCTTCCTAGGAGCCTCCCAGTGGCCTTTGGTGCCTCTTACACTGAATATAATCTTCCATCTACAATTGTCTGAAGCACCAAACAGAAGCTTTAAAACATATCTAAATAAATCATTTCAATCCCATCCAGGGAGTATGTACAGACTTGTGATGTTTTCATGTCATGCAGACATGATGTTTTCATGTCATGTTCCTGAAAGAGAATCACGGGGTGGTGCTGCGGAGGAAGTGTTTTGGACATTAACACAGAATGCACAGTGCTGTGTTGACAGCAGAAGAGAAACTCAGTCTGTTCACATTTTTATTGTACATGAAAAATATGTTAAGACACCTGTGTGGTGCCTGTACAGAGCCGAAGAGAATTTTTTTGAGAGAGAACGAATTTAGTACCACAGTGGAGATGGAAAAATATGAGCTTAGCTAACTCACACAATGTTTTTATGCATTTAAGATTAATTATGGGCACAACCCATACATAGCATCAGTGTGGTGTGGTGTCATGCGAGGATGGGAGAAGCCAGTTCAAATATATACTATATTATTGTTATTTTGCTATTGATGTTGATATTATTAGTATTGTTTTATACACACACATCGCCCTTATTATGTGTATTTTATATACCACCCTTCGATGAAAGAGCACAAGGTAGTTTAAAACACAGAACACAAATGTCAATACATAACATAATATCTGTACAATATAAAAATCAAAATGGTTACAATTGTCGTAAAAAATACGTAATGGAATATAGATTTTTTTAAAAAACATAAAATACAGATACTCATAACAGCAACAGCACAAACGAAAAGGAAGGAGAACATCATCAGCCAGGTATCTAAAATACAAAAATAGTGCACAAATTCACAATTGTCTCTCTGTCCAAAGTAGCTCTTAATTCCAGCCCCACACAGAAAACGACAGACACTCTGAGCTTTCGCCTGGGAGCTTTCCTTTTCTCTCCCAGTTTCTCACCCTGGGAGATGTTCACACTGTTTCTCACTGAGGGTCCTTCACTGAGGTCAAGCAGAAATCTGCCAATTCAAAGTCAGACAAAGCAAAGGCAGTTAAGTACAGATAAGCAATATCAGGCAAAAGCAGATAAGGGGTCAAGGCAAAGGCAGTTAGCACCTTGGACAGCTCCACGTCACCTAGATTGGAAGTTTGACAAGACGGTCTTGCATGCTGCTCCAACAACCAGCAAAGTCAGATTTAGCCTTAACTGGACTGCAGCTTCCACTGAGTAGCCAGTCTCGCCCCTGGTGGTTGGAATCTTGTTTGGGAGCCATTGACTCTGGCAGCTCAGAGCAGCCCATGATTCTTCTATGATCTCTGAGCTGTCACCCTTAGAGTCTGAGAAAGGCAGTGCGACCTCTTGGGACTGGAGAAGTGCAGGCATCACCTGCTCCTCTGGTGATGTAACACCTGAGGAGACAGGAACAACCAAGACTGGTTCTGAGGGGAAATCCTCCTCACAGTCGAAGGTATCCTCTGTATCCACAGTCTCAGTCCCTGAGAAACCCTGAGTCACATGACACCATAACATTTTTGACACATTTAGCGAGTAAGTTTAGGAAGTTGAAGAATTTTGTTTTAGTGTTCAGGGATAGGTGGAGGTGAGGAGGAAATTGATCATTGTCCAGAGAAACCACCATTAAGGGACAATTATCTAGCCTGGTTTATGCAGCAGAATTCAGTGGTAAAACTCTGGGGTAATAGAATGGACTGTACCACTTCAAAATGCAGGTGAAGGTATCATTTTTAAAAAAATATAAAGGAACATTTAAAAATGGTATCTTCATTCGCAATCTGAAGCAGACCCTCTCTGTCTCTGGGGTATTCCCAACTGACAGCTAGCAGAATAATATACTACACCCTCCTTAGGGTGTTCCAAATTGGCAGCTACTGGAATAATATATTGCTCCCTTCACAACAGTGACATGTATACTGAGCAGCCACGGACTCCAGAGAATTTAAATTGGCTTTGCAGCCACATTTTCAGGGGTATAAAATGCTTTCCAGCGGCACTTTATAGACTGGCTTAGTATTTCAGTTATCTAAAGCCAAAATGCTCTTGAGCATAAAACACACACACTGCTTAAGAGATAGTTAACTCTTCACCTAATGAAATCATGATTGCTATTTCAGAAATGAAATAGGACCACTTAATTAGATATAAGGCCTTCCTTTAAAGTACTCTTTCTTTTTCACTTAGCTCAAAGTGAATTAATTTTTAAACCAAAACTTTCAGACTGAAGGATGGAATTTTTATCCTAATCGTAATAGCACCATTATGGGGTTCAAATATTCATAGGAATCACTTCCGGTGCTGCCGCCATGGTGAACAGCGGATCCCACGATTGCAGATGTCAGCCATGCAGTTAATTAAGGATAATCTGGGAGTAAAATCCTGGGCCCATTTGGATCGCCATGTGTGTAGCCTCTCTGCATGCATATACTGGTTACACAGAGAGCTTCTTCTCACACATGTAGGACATGCGGGTGGTGAGGATGGAGCCACTGGGTGTGTTGACATCAGGCCTATCTTGTCCACAAGGTCCTCACATGTTCTTTTAATGTTTATCTGAACTCCCCTATTGTCATAGCATATGGCATTTCACCAGCATTAAAAGACAAATTAGTAGCTAGGGACGCGGGTGGCGCTGTGGGTTAAACCACAGAGCCTAGGGGCCACTGGGGCGCATCAGAAGATGGCTGACAATAACATCTCTCCGAGCCACACGAGGTAATTTGGAGGCTGTGATGGGAGTAAATAGCCTCCCTACCCCCCCAGGATTGTGGGGGGGGGCTGCCCTTGCCTGCTGTGCCCTATACCACCCCCGAATTTGTGGGGATGGGGGCACTAGGCACAATGCCCTCCTGTGGGATTTCGGCGCTCCTGGACGCCGTCTCTGATTCGCGCCACTAGCTGCAAGAACTTCAAAAGAAACAATTTGGATGAAGCGAATGCACATATTTCAAGGAAGGAGGGGGAGTAAAGACTGCTAACAGAAGAGATCTCTGATAAAACAAGATGATTCGGAGGAACAAGTATAAATCATGAAAAGATACGCCAAGACTCAGTATGGCAAAGGGACTGATGGGGGAGAGGGGAAAAACTTTCCTTTCTTTCCTTTATGTGATTAAACAAGAATCCCCCCCCTCACAAGTCAGAAATGTCGTTTTAAGGACTTAAGCTGTGGATTTAAGGCTGTGTGGAGATAAACTTTCGAACCAAAGCATGTTTTAAGAAGAGCGTGGAATGTATAAGGGCTTTGGAATGACGCAGTTAAAAATACCATCGCCATATTGGGAAGTTCTGTCGGAGGACTTAAGTCTGGGAGGAGAAATAGAGAAATAGAGCTGTTTTTATATTGTGGGTGAAACTCCTCAGAGGGACTTAAGAATGACAGTTCTGTAATTAATGATGGAAAGAGCGATGTTATCTATGAAGGCGATGATATATGGAAACCATCTCGATTTGAGGATTGGAAGAACGGAAAAATTCACACAGGATTATTATTGGTGTTTATCGGCTTAAGGAGACTATCAGAAGAGATCATAAAGAAAAAAGAGAAAATATATGAACAAGATGTGATGTGGAAAGAGCAAGATAAGACTGGATAGAATTATGAACTTTGTTTGGACTGATTTGGACATTAACGCAGTAGCAAGAAGATGATCAGAATCCCCCTTCGGATCTTGAAATATGGGTCCCCTCAACAAAATTTAAAATTCGGCTTTGTAATTCGGAATTTATGTGATTTGATTTGATTTGATTTGATTGGCCGGTTAATAAAAATTATTTTAAAAAGCAAACAAAAACCACAGAGCCTAGGACTTGCCGATCAGAAGGTCGGCGGTTCGAATCCCCGCGACAGGGTGAGCTCCCGTTGCTCGGTCCCTGCTCCTGCCAACCTAGCAATTCGAAAGCACGTCAAAGTGCAAGTAGATAAATAGGTACCGCTCCGGCAGGAAGGTAAACGGTGTTTCTGTGTGCTGCTTTGGTTCGCCAGAAGCAGCTTAGTCATGCTGGCCACATGACCCGGAAGCTGTACGCCGGCTCCCTCGGCCAATAAAGCGAGATGAGTCCTGCAACCCCAGAGTCGGTCACGACTGGACCTAATGGTCAGGGGTCCCTTTACCTTTAAGACAGAGCTATTGCCTGTCAGCAGCTACCACAGTGAAATTCTGTATTAATAACATTATGCAAAGACATTTCAAATAAGGGATAGAAATTCAGTGTAGCATGGGCACATGTGTTGATTGTCTGTGTATCTGAAAGAATTTTGGCCTCTGTTCATCACAGAGTCAACTACCAGTGAAATCCTCTATACGAGGGATAGGAAATTTATGGTCTTCTAGATGTTGTTGTACTACAATTCACATCATCCCTGACCACTGGCCATATTGTCTGGGGCTGATGGGAGTTGGAGTCCAATAACATCTGGATGGTGACAGGTTCCTCACCCCTATATACTTTGAAATATTTATATATAATGAGATGGGTACTGAAAAGCCACAAAGCAGACATGCCCTACCACCCTACCAAGTTTAGCTCCATCAGTGTATATTACTCTGTGTTATCACAGCAATACACCCACCTTTAGGGTCATCTTGAAAAGCCTTAAGTGTCCCACTAAGTAACATTGCCCCAAATAATCTGGATCTTTCACTCTCAGACCAGCCATACAGGATCATTACTTAGTGTAAAAGAACATTATGAACATTGCTGGAAATCCTCTGTGATGTCTGGCGTGTTAGTATACAACATAAACAATTAAACGAGGAAGGAAATGAAGGTGTAAAATCCTCTGGAGGTAATTTCCCCACTGGGTTATATAAAGTTGATCTCTTCACTGATCTGAAACTTAAGTACAGCAACTTTATGCTTGAATAGTTTTATAGTCTGCTGTAGTAAAACATCTCATTTATGCTGGGCTATGTTCTTGTCGGCAAATCTTCACAAGCTTTTGCACACTTTAATTAAATAATTATCGCCATATCCCTGTGAGCCTTGAAAGGTGTCAAAGCTGTTCTAATGAAGCAGACAGGTAGATGTTATTAAACGCCTTCTTTGGGGGGGGGAACAAAGTGTGTTGGGTCACTGCAGTTATGTAGTGTCAACATTAACTAGCTGTATTTGTCTTCTAATCTTTCATTAAGGTGTTATTGTTTTAAAAAAGAAATTATTAAAAGTTGAATTCAACTTGTAAAATTAATGGTTCCTATTCAGTAACTGCAGAAAGGGTTGTAGCTTAGCAACAGAGCTTCTGGTTTGTATGCCAGAAACCCAAGATTCCCTACCATTTCCAAGTAAAACTGGGAATATTCCCTGTCTGAACCTTTGGACAGTTACTGCCAGTAAGTGCAGATCAGAGGAGGTTAACATCTGGCCCTTCGGATATTGTTGGACTCCATCAGCCCCAGCCAGCATGGCCAATGGCCAGGGATGAGGCAGACAATACTGAGCGAGATGGACCAATGGTTTGACTCAGCATAAGGCTATGTTCCTAACTAGTGAAACTTACTAAATGCAGCAAGGTGGTCATAGTACTTGTGACATCATGTCCACCTGCAACCCCACTGTAACATTCCTGCAATGTTCCCTTGATGTTCTACCAAGGTCGCATTTGCATGGACACTTTACTACGGGAACTTCTCCTAGATCTGCTGCTGGATGTGCATCTACTTGTGATAATCCATCATCTTCCATATTGCTCTGTATCCAGTGCATGCGGCACTGCTTCCATTCCACTGCAGTTTCAGTTCTGCAAGAACATTATTCAGCTTGTTGTGATGATACCACATGACTGACAGGTAGGCACCAGCAAGGATGGGCAAGAGAGAAGAGGCAGGAGCCCGCCTGCCTGCTTCCCTGCCATCCTCAAACTTCCACCCCCCTCCTTTCTAGGTTCAGGGCAGCAGCAGCAGCCATTGCTTCCTTAGGATCGTTCAGCCAGGGATGGTTTCTGCTGCTTCCCTTTGTTTGCTTGGCCTTTCTCTTTGGGTGGTGCAGCAGCAAGGATTTGGCTCAGCAGCAGGGAGCCAGAAACAGTCAAAAGGAAGAGCTATTTCTGCCAGCTGACCTGTTTTCTCTTCCTCTTATGAACCAAGGTGGGCAAACTTTTGGCTTGTTGGATTTAAAAAAATCCTAAACATTTCCCAAACCAAATAATTAAGACAATTAAACCACTAATAATATAAAAGCACACAAGCATTCTAGATGCATGGGTATGCTCCCCTAAACAAAAACGTCTTTAGCAGCAGGTGCCAAAAAGAGTACAGTGAAGGCACCTGCCTGGCTTCAACAGGCAAGGAGTTCCAAAGTGTTCGCCACACTACAAGATCTTTAAAAACTTCCATCTAACTTATGTCGAAACGACAGGGGTTGGGTTTTTGTAATTTTAAAATAAGGCTCAAGATCTTCGCAGAACCTCAAGACCAACCAACACGCCCCAAACTAATCCTGGTTAAACCCATCACTGCAACCTAATCTGGGTGGACCGGGTCCTACAGCAGCTGTTCGCAACCGTCTTCGTTTGTCCTCCCCGCAGAAACACGGAACTCGCCGGGTTGGAAAAAAGAAGGCACCGCGCACGCGCACATTCGCCAGCGCTTCCCTGCCGTTGTGGGGGGGGGGCAGGCGCGTGCTAGCGCGAGAGGGGCAGTGGGCGGGGCCTCCGCGTCACTCTCGGCTTCCGCCTCCTTCCTCCGTCCGGCGGGTGAACTTTGAGGGGAGAATCTTGTTGTTGTTTGGCTTTCCCCTCCCCCAACCTTCCCTTCGCTTTTTCTTCCTCTTCCTGGTTCAAGGATGGTCGCTGCTCTCCTTGGAACTGCTCAGGAGCTCGTTTCTTCTGCCAGCCTCGCCGCCGCTGTCGCCGCCGCCGCCGGGCCCAGAAGGGGAAGCCGGGGAGGAGCCCCAAGGAGCTGATTCCAACCCTCTCAGGTGCCTCAGGCTGAGGAGAAGCAGCGGGTGGGAGGTTGCAGTTAGTGGCTTCGCCCCCACCTGTCGCTTCCACACTTACACACACATGTGTGTGTTTATAGTTTTATATATAGAGGGAGAGACAGCTTCTTCATTGGTCTATGACGTGCAATAGGCCTTAATGTGGAGGGGGGGGATTGTTACCGGCGCCTTGGCCTTGTTGGTATCCCTATTATCTGCATATTCTTATAATATGCACAATATAATGAATAATTCTCTTGCGGTTTTGTATCTCACTCCCCTCCCCCCACCAACAGCCCCTCTTATAAGTTGTTGGGAGGAGCACGCTAATCTTCTCTCTCCTTCAAAAAACAAAAAATCATTTTCTGGTATGTCATGTGCATGTACAGCCAGAGCTTATTATATTCGTGATTTATCTGTTGGAAACAATCGTAGAATATTCGTAGCATCTTTGTTTATAAGCATACAGTGAGGTGGAAGAAGGGGAATACCCCACTGTCTTTGCCCAGTGTCTACTCCACTTTGAAATATGGTAGCATAATTTACACAGTTTAGTAAGGAATCCAGATTACATGGTTTTGAATGTGCGTATATGGATTATTTGCCCATTTTACTTCCTGTCAGCTGATGTGGATTAAATGTCCTGAGTAACAGATGGGTCCCAGAGTTCTTGGTCACCTGTAGATAACATAATGCAAATATGTATCAAGTTAGGTTTGTATCTGTGGCATAACTTCTTTGTTTGAGGTAGATGTATTAATTATGGCTTTCATTTGTTAAGTGCAAATATGTTTGATAGTATATGCAACAAAGAGTCTTGTGGCACTTTAAAGACCATCAAATTTATTATGGTGGTCTAGAGTCAAGTTTTTTGGTTTCATGATTGTAGTCTATAAATGTTTATGCTGTAATTAATTTATTAATCTTTTAAGGTGCCATAAGGCTTTTGGTGTGTTTTGCTCCAAGAGCTACCCCTTTGGAATAGGTTTGATTGTGTGGCTGATTTCCTCCTTGAGACAAAATGTCATGTGTTGGTACCAACATTAATAGGCCTTTCATGAAGATTTAAAAATACTGCCTGCATCCCTCATCTCTGCCTCCATCCCTCATCTGTCCAAATATTTTAGCTTTCAGGCAGTGAGGGCGTGTTGTAGTATAAGGTGGCATAAGGCAAATTCTGAATGGCTGCCCAGATAGAAGCTTTCTGAGGAACAGAGTTGTGGTTTTTTAAGTTGTTAATCAGCAGGTATTCATATGCCTGGCCCTTGTTGTCATATTAACTTGGTCATTAAAGCAAGTCTCTCATTTTCATAGAATCTTAGAGTTGGAAGGGACCCAAGGGTCATCTAGTCCAACCCCCTATGGTGCAGGAATCTCAGCTAAAGCATCTGTGACAGATGGCCATCCAACCTCTGTTTACAAACCTCCAAGGAAGGCGAGTCCACCACCTCTCGTGGGAGTCTGTTCCACTGCTGAACAGCTCTTACTGTCAGAAAGCTTTTCCAAATGTTTAGTCGGAATCTCCTTTCTTGCAACCTGAAGACATTGGTTTGAGTTCTACCCTCCAGAGCAGGAGAAAACAAGCATGCTCCCTCCTCCATATGACAGCCCTTAATATATTTGAAGATGGCTATCATACCTCCTCTCAGTCTCCTCTTTTCCAGGCTAAATATACCCAGGTCCTTCAAGCACTCCTCATAAGGCCTAGTTTCCAGACCCTTGATCATCTTGGTTGCCCTCCTCTGCACACGTTCCAGCTTGTCAACATCCTTCTTAAACTGTGGTGCCCAGAATTGGACACCGTATTCCAAGTGTGGTCTGACTAAGGCAGAATAGAGTGGTACTATTGCTTCCCTTGATCTGGACACTATATTTCTGTTGATGCAGCCTAGAATAGCATTAGCTTTTTTTGCTGCTGTATCACACTGTTGACTCATGTTTAGCTAGCGGTCCACCAAGACCCCTAGATCCTTTTCTCATGCACTGCTAGTAAGCTAGGTGTCCCCCATCCTATATTTGTGTATCTAGTTCTTCATGCCTAAGTACAGAACCTTACATTTGTTCCTACCTATTGAAATTCATTTTGTTAGCTTGCGCCCAGTTCTCCAATCTGTTAAAGTCATTTTGAGTTCTGATTCTGCGGCATTAGCTACCCCTCCCAGTTTGTTGTCATCTGCAAATTTGATCAGCACCCCCTCAATTCCTTCATCCAAGTTGAACAATAACGGGCCCAGGACAGAACCCTGTGGCACCCCACTTGTCGCTTTTTTCCAGGATGACGAGGAACCAATAATGAGTACTTCTGGGGATTTAAACTATATATTGGGTGCATGGTCTCCATCCATTTGCAATCACATGCCTATTTTTAAATAACACCATTTCATAATTAAATAGGCTTATGTGTCGAGATGAAGGGTACAGATCCACTGGTGAATTCACCCTTTAGAAATGGTAATGTTTTGAATTATATTTAGAATTAGAAAACAAATTTGGAGGGAGGAATATTTAGCTTGTGAAAATATTGCTGTTGTAAGCAAAACTGATTAAGATATATTTACTTTTTACTCAGGACTTACATTTTAGATGTGCCTGTTTATATAATTTTGACAAGTGTTGTGGCTCCTTCACATGCTACTATTTATCATTCTTGCCTTGAAACCATTTGCAGCTAGAGATTAAACCACAGTTTCTGATCAAACCCCAGAATATTCTTTCGTGGGTTGGTGAGAGACAGAGAGAGGAGATGGGACACAGCACTCATTCTCTGTTCAATAAACTATGGATTGTTACCTATACATTTGAATCAGGCCTTTATTGTTAATAAACCAAAGTCTACTAATCCATGCAGAAATGTAAATGTATGTCAATCTGTATTACAGAGATTAAACACTGCTAGTGAAACATAAAAATGAGTGGCCGTCGAAAGCGTGCTCCTCCATCGAGGATCAATGACGAGAAAAAGAAGCAGCTCTGCTGGAATATGCATGATGACCGTAAAAATGAAGTGATAGATTTGGATGCAGTGGATGAAGGCCAACCTCTTGCAGGCACAAGCTCATCTTTTACAACACATGTTGTTATAAATGATGATAGCACTGATGAAGTTTCGACGCTCAAAGTAAACAACCTAAAATCATTGAGCTTTTCAACCATTTTGGATGAAGCAGAAGATTCCTGCCATCTCTTGAATTCTATATCCATACAGCTAAATATTGTGATATTTCCTTATATTTCTGATTCTAACTGGAAAACCTTGCTTGGAGAGTTCATTCTGCAACCTCTTCCTGGTCAACAACTAAGTGAGAATGTCCATAAAAAGAGTTTTACATTGATGAGAGCAGAACCTAGTGATCATTTGCGTATCTGTATTCATGCAAAGAACGTTGAGAAGGTGGATGAGAGGGAAGAATCATTACAGAACACTTACCAAGAAGACGTGTTAGTTGAATCATCTTTAAATAATGAAATGTTAGAAGACTTGATGTGGCTGCAAAAGAAGAGAGTAATTGTACTTTGTCAAAGATCCGGAGATGGCCAGTGCTTAAAGGTACTTGATTTACGTAATTAATAAGACTTCCTAATTGCTAAGAATAAGCCATTTATTTCGTACTTGGAATTAACATATTACGTGAACATCTGGCAGCACCATAATATAATTCAAAGAGTACCCTTTCTGTTTGATTTTCAGAGAATTGTCTCTATTTACATTAACAACATTGTCATGCATATTTATTCAGAATTAAATTCCATTGAGTTCATTATGCACATAATCCTAAATATGTATAGGATTGCAATGTAACATTGGTCCAATAAATATTAAAAGTTAGCCAAATGCTTGCCTGCAACATGAACATTATAGGTAGTTTTTTTGGTAAGATTTAGTTTAGCATATCCTAGGATCCAGGAAGCTGTAGTTTACTCATACCATGGAATGTTATCTGAGCCACTTGGGGTCAAATATAACATTATAATCAGGATTACATGTAGAATCCCCAATTTATGCTTGACTAAGGCTTACATCTGATGGACTTTGGGCTCCCACAGAGAGCATTGACATTTCACACGTGAAGGTTTATGTTATTAGGGAAGTTAGATTATTTTCAGACTGCTAAATGTCACTTATTTGCACTGTCTGCTATCTAGCTTCTGGGCATAATTCAAACAGCAGTTGGCTGAAGGATGTATTGGTTACAGTTTTTGACTAAGAACTGGGAGACCAGGGTTCTAGCCATGAAGCTCACTAGGGGGCCTTGGGCCAATGAGTCAATGTCTCTCAGCCTAGCCTACCTCACAGGGTTGTTGTAAGGATAAAATGGAGAGATGGAGATCCATGTGTGCCACTGAGCTTCTTGGAGGAAATGCGGGATATAAAAGCAAGCAAGCAAAAAATAAAATAAGGCATCTGGGGATTGGGTAGACTGTTTTTCCTTGAGTATTGTTGCTTTGATCCATGGCTGTGCTTACGGGAAAATAATTATAATGGAAAATCTAATAATGGATCACCCACATACATATAATTTGGTCCTTCAGCCACAAGTTGCCAAGGGTGGTCACCTATGAACTCTGCAATTCTAGCCATGTTTACTTGGAAGTAAGTCCTATTAAATTCAGTGGGGGTTGCTCATGGGTAAGCAAGTTTAGAATTCCAGTTTAGTCACCAGTAAGCTTATGATCTTTTTCTCACTTTTTCTCTCCTTTTCTTACATGTTCCAAAATTCATCTAAAAACTACATTCACAGGTTGGAATGTATCTTCTTGAAGTTGGCTTAAGCAAGCTAGAATTCCTTAGTGATGGTGGTGGCAGAATAAAAAAAGCTAATCAACTTATTCAAAAACTGATGGAAAAATTCTACCACTTCATAATTCCAGGTAATCTTATTTGATAATATTGACACATATTGGTTATACCATTAAAACATATATATGAGTTTTGAGGGAAATGTTCTTATCTTGGTGTTACATTTAGGTGACCTTAATTTATCTTCTAAATTCTGTTTCTGGAGTAAAGAAGGTTTTAGCTTCTCTTAATGTGTGGAAAGCAGAACATAAATTATTTAAAGTCTGTCACATTTGTCAGTGACTTTTGATACTTTTAACTTGAGTAAACGGCACACATACACAGAATATTCTCTGGTACAGCAAAGTAACAGGACATACTTCCTTCAGCTCAGGGGTGAGGATTCTGGAGATAATCAAGAAATGAAATGCCTGCCAAATGACATAAAGGTATATGGAAATGTGGCCTAGAGTTGGGTGTGCCTTTATATAAAGAGCAGAATATGTGTGATTCAGAATCATGTAGAAATATATCCCTGTATGTCCTGCACTATCATTCAATTGTTGGTCTAGGACTCTAGGCAATACCTGTGCTATGTTGGTCAAATCTATGCTAATAATATTTATCCATAATAATAATAATAATAATAATAATTTATTATTTATACCCCGCCCATCTGGCTGGGCTTCCCCAGCCACTCTGGGTGGCTTCCAAAAAAATATTAAAATACTATAATACATCAAACATTAAAAGCTTTCATATTTCATATGAAAATAAGCAATAACTTTATTAGAAAGATAATGTTTTGACCTCCAGACTCTGTAGAGAACATCAGTCCAAACTACTGTACCGAAATGGTCAATTGTTGCACAATATTGCTAGAGATGTGTCATGTAAACTGGCATGATTTCTTTTGAAATTGGTGAAATTGTGCTGAGTAAATGAAACCGACAACTCTGTTTTGTGCATTTTTAGATGTCTATCTTTAGTTAAATATATGTATTCTTGGCTCATAATGTGTAAAGTGCACATAATGTGTAAAGTAGTCACAATTCGCTTGTAAAGTTGAAAAAAAAGTGATGATTGAGTATAGTGAATCAATGCATAAGTTGCACATTATTACCAGTGGAGACCCACACAGAATGGCAGAGGAGAGTGGAAGAAAAATAACTTGGCCTTGCATTTTTAAATGTCTTTTGATTCTTCATTCTCTCCCTTCATCATCTGCTCAAGCCCTTACATGTTCCTCTTCCTTCTGTTCAACCCTATCTCTGTTCATAGTCACTCCACTTATTTTTCTTACTTTATACAGTGAGGGTGGGAAGTGGTTGGCTATTAAAGGATAGCATCTGGTTTTCTGCATCACAGCTGCTGCAAGAGGATTTGTTCATCAGTAGCAAATTTAATCAACACATTAATTATAATATTAGCACCTTCACTGTTCACCAAGTACAAGGAAAGTGTTGTGAATGAAATCAAGATTTTGTTTTTTAAAATTGTGAACTGATGTTGGTACTGTAAGCTTTTTAAATAATGGAAATATATTATAATTTCTTAAAACAAACTCAGTACTTTAAAAATTGTATTCTAGCCAGTTCCTAGTATTATTTATTGGTCATGTTTTTGATCTTAAAAGAGAGCCAAGTTCTCTTCTTCCCCTCCAAGAACTATTTGGTATTGTACCTAAGATTGGGAACAACAAGGTACTGAATTAATATTTCCTAGTACAGGGATACTATTTTTACCCATTTGTTTTGTTACTTCATTGCAGTACGTTTAAGGTATTGCAAACATTACTGACTGTGAATCAGTGCCATACGGTTCTTTTAGATATTCTGGAGGAAGATGAGGAGGAATCCGATAGAGATATAGAGCGGCAAAATATTGAAGAGCTTTATGACTATGTGAGGCATACACACCAAAAAGAAATTCAGTTTTTGAAGGAGAACGTACAGCACTCTGCACTGATTCCTGTATTGAGGCCATACCAAACTGAGGCTGTAAACTGGATGCTTCAACGTGAGAACTTCAAAAATGTACCAGCCAATGGCAAGTATCTTGAAAAAGGCAACATAAATATATATCTTGATTACATTGATACTGATAGAAATTCATGACGATGTATTAGTTATAAGAAAGTCGCACATCATTCCCCCACCTCAGGTAGCAAAAATTCGATGCCCTGCTTGTGTGAATAGAACTGCTTTCTGCTAAGGCAAAGTTGCCATTGAATACAACCCACTGTGCATCCTGAATTGCTGATCTGAGACATGCTCATATTGCATACATCAGCACTTAGTTTATACACAACATAAGGGTTGTTTGTGTTTCTAACATACCAGGTGTGGCATTAATGTGCATCACTTGGTTCAGAAGTGGCGAATTACGAATAGAACCCCCTTTAGGGAAATTTCATTCCCCCTCTCCCATATTTATATTTTTGGCAATTTCCTTCCTAGTTATTGCTTATTTCCTTGATGCTGTAGGCAGGAAATGTATGTAACCTGAATCTTAGATTATTCCATCTGGAATATAGTAGGTACTCCATGTAAATTTCCATTTAGGGCAACTGGGTTCTGGGGATGGCTTAAATGCTGGAAACCTGCTTATGAGCTCTGAGAGTTAGTTTCTGTAGATTACGTGTGATTCATAGTTCCTATTTAATTTACACAATTATCTTGAGAAGGAATAAAATAGACCTACCATAGCACACAACTAAGAGTAAGCTGTGGGTCAGAAAGTCTCTGGTTCATATCTAATAATGATCATAAACTCACTAGTTGGTCTTAGGCATGTACTTGGACAAGTTGTCTTTCAAGCTTCTTGATCTGTAAAACTGGGCTTAATAATGCTGGTTTACTTTATGGGATTACTGTAAGGATTGTGTATGTAAAACACTATAAAGTACTAAGTGGTGGTGTTATCCAGATTTACAATCTGGTCATTTAAGGGTCTTGTAACTATTTGTACTGGGTTCATTTAATCTTATAGAAGCTGAAGGGGCATTGGTCTGTAACAGAACATAGGGCTCGAGGGATTGTGGAATGATCAAATAAGATTCCTCAGAGCTTCAGTTTCTGTACTTTCAACTTTGAAGATAAGCGAAGACCCAGTCAAAATAAATTTAAATCATATGAGTAGAATTTGTATGAATCTCATTGTTTTCTTCTTTCTCTCAGTAGAAAATGCACTCCACTTCTTATGGAGAGAGTTTATTACTTTAGATGGACTAAAACTGTACTATAATCCTTTTACTGGCTGGTAAGGATTATTGGTCTTATTATTACAGCCAAAGTGCATACAATTTAAGTAATTGTGTTTAATGCTATAAATATCACTCCAGCACTTGTTTTATGAAAATGCCTTAATGTGACTATTTCCTAGATTTAACCAATAAGAAATTATATAAATATCTTTTGAATACTTCTGAAGATGAGAAAGGAAAATATGACATAGATTGTGAAAGGAATTAAAACTGTTAGTGTGATTTCATAGAATCATAGAATTGTAACTTGAAAGGGACCCTGAGGGTCATGTAGACCAACCCCCTGCAACACAGAAATCTCAACACATGGTCCCCCATTTGAAAGCATATTGGATCCTGCTTCGTTTTGCAAATGAGCAGTTTTATTTAATTCTGTGCTTGATTGATAATGAAATATATATATCATCTCCTTTCTGTTCTTAAAAAAACGTGTAGGTGCTAGGATTAAAGCAACTCTTGTGATGGATTTTGTTATGTGTACATCTTAAATATTAGAGACTGAGTTGTCCACGATCCTTCTCCAAATGCATGTACTTTTAGAATGTTACCTACTTCAGAAAATGCCAATGTAGTCATTTGCTTCTGTTAAATTTGTGATCAGAAATTATACATACACATAACATGTTCTTAACTAGGATGAATCTTTGGTCTTCAGCATTATTCGTGAACGCCCAGTTGCTGGGCCTCAGTGGCCTGGAGGAATATTGGCAGATGAGATGGGCCTTGGAAAAACAGTAGAAGTATTGTCCCTTATCCTGACACACACTCGAAAGGATGTTAAACAGGATGCTCTGATGTTACCTGAGGTGAGAAATTTGTAGTAGGTGTGAGAATGAAGCAAATGGTTCCAATACTTGAGAAGTGATTTGGTCCTTGCTGGGGTAGGTGGTGAGGGGAGAAGAGACCATTCTTGGTAGCAGAACATTGAGCTAGGGGTTTATTAGAACTGCTCTTTTATGTTTATATTCATAATAAATTATTCATTTTTTTCATTTCCACAAGTCTTTCGCTTCATGTCCCTCCATAATCAAATCCCATTTTATTAAAAATGGGGGGGGGGAGTTCTAAGGAGTTTAAGCATATCTATACAAAAACAAACATGGGACTGGTTGCTTAACAGTGTATCTTCAGCATTAATAAATACAACTTTAAAATCTCTCTATAAATTGAGCAAGAATTTACCACTCAGCCTCGGGTTTATGTTGGACCAGATTGTATGCTTATTTTTTGACATGCCTGATGTTTTTCGACTGAAGTTCTTACTATTCTACAATAGATTACAAGTTACCATCTAGAACCAAATGCCAAATTGGTCCAGAACTGAACCTCCTGAATTGAACAAATTGATATGCAACCTACATAATCTGGTTGATCATAATAAATTTCGTATTAGACAATTTTAGAAGATACCAGAAGCACCAAGTTTCACAGAATAGGGTTCATGAAAGTCAGGAAAATTGTTTTTGTTGACAAAATTTATGTACTTCTCCTAGGGCCAAGCAAAATATACAGCATTCACTAGGCTAAGCTTATTGAGAGATGATCTTTATTTGTAAATTACTAGAATAACAAATTTCAGGTCAATGTACAACCTTATGTGTTTTTTTCTATGTTTTGAAGACCTTGCCTCATACCTGTACATTGCTGTAGCTCATATTCTATATACTAGGGCCAATCTGGTAATAGCAAATTAATATTTTCTCTGTGCCCAGTCAATTTATTATTAACTTTTTCTTTTACTATTTTATGTTGGTCATTATCAAACTCTCATTTTGTCCCATGATGTCGTTCCTTTTGTACAAAGACTTCTGCTTATCTGGTGGAATTTCCCCTCTTCTCTCCTCCTGCCCACCACCAAATTTTTAAATACCTTTAAATATTAGTTTTTCACTTCAGCTGGGATATCTGTTTGATATCACCAATCTTCACCATATTGTTAGTGAATTGTTACTGTTTGCCATTGAATCGTCACAGCAAGCATTACACCCCCAGCCTTAGTTTTTCTATGTGTTTTCAAAACCAGAGAGTCACTACAGTGGTGCCCCGCAAGACGAATGCCTTGCAAGACGAAAAACTCGCTAGACGAAAGGGTTTTGCATTTTTTGAGTCGTTCCGCAAGACGAATTTCCCTATGGGCTTGCTTCGCAAGACGAAACGTCTTGCGAGTTCTTGCGAGTTTGTTTCCTTTTTCTTAAAGCCGCTAATAGCCGCTAATAGCCGCTAATAGCCGCTAAGCCGCTAATAGCCGTGCTTCGCAAGACGAAAAAACCGCAAGACGAAGAGACTCGCGGAACGGATTAATTTCGTCTTGCGAGGCACCACTGTAGTTAATATTCAAATATTCTTGGCATGCTTGTTTAAGATACATTAATTGTGCGTCAGACTCAGTGATGCAAATGTTAATTTTGTGAAGCAGGTCAGCATGGTAGCTGAACGTAAATCTGATATTGTTAAAATTATCTCTTAGGGTTTTTTGGTAAACTTCTTTGTTCCGCCTCAACCTAGTGAAGGAAGCAAAAAGAAAAGCATAAAGAAAATGGAACTTAAATTGAAGGAAAAAGTGCACTATCCTAGTAAGTGTTCTTCAGTAGGTTTAATTTGCCAGAAGCAATAATAAGAAATATGTACCATTTACAGTAGATTTGGTACTGGGTCTAAAGGCTCCTTCCTGCAGAAACATCTAACTAGCACAATTTCTGTTCTCATCCTGGAGCAAAGTTCTTAACCTGAAGCACTATGTCTGGGTTAGCGGAGTCTGTAACCTGAAGCATATGTAACCTGAAGCGTATGTAACCTGAAGCGTATGTAACCCGAGGTACCACTGTACATTCTGCCTCTGTTTCCTACTATTCTTTGTACCAATTTGGTGCAACATATTTGCAGATACATTTATTGCTGCATAAAAATGATTGCAGAGATTGATAATATAAAATAACTGACAGATCAGTACTGCAAGACATATTTCGGATTTCTGTATATTACAGAAGAGCCAAAGTCCATGTATTAGTGGTGCACGTGTTACATTTTACTTTGATACACAGATGCAGACATGGTTCCCATATCAGTGGGGGGACTCATTCAGATGTCTCAAGCAGACATTAGGGAACACTGTTGAGAAAAATTTTTGAGAAGTTGCTGAGGCATGCATGAGGTCGAAGGAAAAATGGGTTTTGGTCTTTCAAAAAAACCACACCTTTTAACATGAAAATCATTTGTAGCATATATGTAATGAATAAAGCATTTACTACAAAGCCCCCCAAATTTATCTTTATTTATTGAGGTTTTAGTATATGATAATGATGCTTTTCACATCAGGGCAGGTCCTAAATTGATTGCATGCAATTGAATAATTATGTTTAAGGTTTCCCCCAGAAAATTATTTGAAATACTGCAATAGGTTCCTTTAATTTTGTTAACTTTTCCTATTAATTAATTTTGCAGAACTGATTATAGATGAAAATTAATGTTACATCAATAAAAAAAAGAATAGTCGGTGCTGCATTAGTATTGTATTGGATTTGAAATTGTTCTTCATTTTGAGATGTTTTCATGGAAAGTGATTCCTAAATAAATACATAAATACTGTTAAAATCTTAACATTATTTTGTGACCTCTTTTTGCACAACTAATCGTAGATATTTATGCCTTCACAATAGGTTTGCGAGTGATGCTCTTAACAGCTATAAAAGAAATGAATGTGAAGAAGGGAGCATCTATTGTGGCAATTTTTAAGTATGTCCATGCCATATACAAGTATGACACACACAGAAACCGTCGCATTCTTAAAAGGACTCTGGAAAAATTAATTGCAGAGAAGGTAGTGGAACAGGTCAAAGGACATGGTCTTGCTGGTTCTTTCAAGCTGGGCAGAAACTACAAGGAACAGAAATTTTGTAATAAATTCAAAAAAGAGGTAACCTGGGAGTTTTTTTTTAATTCATGGAGGGAATAATTTCTGTTTAAGTGTTTTGATACATGTCCATTATAGTGGTTTTGGGAATGGGAGCAAATGAAAACAGAGCAGCTAAGTCAATTGAACAAGAGCTGATAGAATTCAGGGTGTAATCGCTGTGTAGGAAATCTGATCTGGATTTGCCATTGGATATTTTCCGCCATCTCCTTTAATGACTGTAGTCTCAAAAGTTGTTGTGAGATATCTTCATATCAATCCCTGAACATTTTAATGGGTTGAAATAATTGCATGTAATTTAGGCCAGGGAGAACTGGGTATTAACCCCAATGGCTGATAACGAGGATGAATGTACTTATAATGTGCAGTAGATCTCTTGGGTGTAATGCTATTACACTGTTTAATGAATTACAGATGTGTTGCATCTGTGTAGTTTGGGGTGTAGTTTCTCAGTGTTAAACTGCAGTGCTGAATTAGAGGAGAAAAAGAACTGAAAATGTATAACGCACACATATTTATATATATATATTCCTATATGCATTAAAATGTAAGATGTCAACACTGCAATTTGCATGGCCACTGATAGGCAACCTATCAGTGAGCTGTTTATTGGAAGGAGTGGGATGCTGTAGCAGAGTTTAATGGGGAAAGCCCTTCACACAGTAGTTGGGCAGGTAAGGGTTGAGATATAAAAGGGCGGTGGGGTGGGGTTGGTTAGGTGTGTGGAAAGGGCAAAGGGGTTGGTGAACAGAGCAGGGGTGGCAACCCCTAGTAAGAGTGTGTGTGTGTGTTTCTTTGTTTGGAACTCCCTTTAAAAAGTCTTGTAAAAGTCTACTCAGTATCCCTGAAAGTGTATTTTGTTCCAAACATGCACAGAATGCAGCATGCACATTGGGACTTTTCCAGCTCCCCTTCCCTTGTGCCTCCTAATGAAGTGTTTGATTTAATCCAGAGTGTTTTTATGAAGCTGAAAAAGCAAAATAAGTTTATTTTATTTGTTTGTTTTAGAAAATAAAAACTTCAGCTAGGGTTCAGAAGAAAAATTCACCAGAAAATAAGAATGAAACCAAAGAATTGGGAGATGAGGGCACGTGCTATCCAAATGGTCTTAAACTATCTCAGGCAGTAGACATCACAGCAGAAGAGCATGATTACTGTACAAGAAGCAAAGATAATACAAAATCAGAAATGGATCCTAAGGGCTGGATAATGCAAGAAGATTCTCTGCATAGAACTTCTGACTTGCAAGAAAATAGGCCTATTTCAAAAAACAAAACGTATTCTACTGACATTTCTAAAAAAGATGATGAAGCTGAAGAGCAGCAAGACAACTCAGAAGGCCAGTCTCCAGCCTCTCAAGAACACACTGGCATTTTTGTACCACATCCTGGTTCTATTTTTCCATTCAATACCTCTGATTATCGCTTTGAATGCATATGTGGTGAGCTTGGCTTGGTTGACTATAAGGCCCGTGTGCAGTGCCTGAACTGCCACCTGTGGCAGCATGCTGAGTGTGTGAACTACAAAGAAGAAAATCTAAAGATCAAGCCCTTTTACTGTCCCCATTGCCTTGTAGCAATGAAACCAGTTCCAACAGGAGCTACTCTGATAATCTCTCCAAGTTCTATCTGCCACCAGTGGGTTGATGAGATTAACAGGCACGTGAGATCATCTTCTCTTCGAGTGTTGGTAAGAAAAGGTGTTGTTTCACAGCAATCAATAGGGGAAGTATACTATGTTGAGGTAGAGTGTAGCAAATGCAGTTATTAAGTGAGTAGAATGAAAATATTTTCACTCCTGGGTAGTTGTTAAAATACATGCCCAGCATTTCAGTACATTTTGATATTGGTAGTAATCCTTAAGATTTTTTTTGCAGGATAGATTGATTTATATTAAGACAATTTAAATCAGTGATTTAAAATCAACAAGGAAAAAAATGCCAATGTAAATCAAGGGCTGTATCCAACAAAATTGGTCATGCAAATACTTGTCCTTTTGTCGCAGAACTTCCTCTTATCTTCTGAAAAAGATTATTTCTTGTAAATCTTTGTTTCTAAAGTAGTCAGTTCTTGATTTAGCAATCATTTCTGTCATGAAACTTGAGAGCCAAGTTATAGAGAACCTACATTTTTTAACCACAGCATGCTTAACTGTGAATAAAGCTGTCATCATAGTATTAAAATCCTCTTGCAAGGCAGGAAATTTTCAGCTTCTCAGTGTTCTGTGTCTCTCCCCCTCCCTCAATTTAATTGTCAATGCTTTCTCTCATGTTCATTGTGCCCAAATTTATGCAGGTTTATCAAGGAGTGAAGAAGCATGGTTTCTTGCAGCCTCACATCTTGGCAGAGCAGGAAGTAGTGATCACCACATATGATGTCCTTCGTAGTGAACTGAACTATGTGGACATTCCTCACAGTAATAGTGAAGATGGACGCCGTTTCAGGAACCAGAAGCGTTATATGGCTATCCCAAGTCCCTTGGTAGCTGTGGAGTGGTGGAGAATTTGCCTGGATGAAGCACAGATGGTAGAATGCACCACTGCAAAGGTGAGAATGAACATGAGTTGCTTGGGTATGACCCTGTTGAACATGTACAACATAAAAGCAAATGAAAGAGCCTACTTGTATACCCTTTTAACACGCGGGCATATAAATTTGACCTTAACATTTATTCTTCTGAAGTGACTAATATAGTTTCCCTTGGAGGTGTTACTAAATGTTTTATCTGCCGGAGGTTTGACTTGCTATGAAGCTTAGTACTTTTTTATAATTTAATCTCTTAACACAATGTATTCTGACAGTTTAAAGAACTAGGTCATCATGTATATTACACTGCTTGATAGTTGAAAGCAAGATGTTAGTCTGTTTCAGTGCCTATCTAAACAGGCAGAGGGTCTGCCCTTGGGTCTAGAAGCTGTAAAACGGTCTTTATTGACATTAAGAAATATTAAGCAGGACCATTTCAGCTGTTTGCAAAGCGATACTGCTGTGAATACCTGCTCACCTCCGGTAAAGGAATTTCTTGGTGGATGACATTGCATATTTGAACAGCTAATCTTTTGAACAGTAACAATGTGATATTCTCATTCTCTCTCTCTCTCTCTCTCTCTCTCTCTCTCTCTCTCTCTGGGTGTGTGTTGTGTATGGATTGGAATGAGAGAGAGAGATGTTGGAACACACCCACAATGGGTGTATCCTCATTCAGATCAGATAGCTGTTCAGTTTTACTGAGGACCACCATGTGTACAAATGAATAGGCATCTGTAAAGTAGAGTGAAGGAAAGAACCCAGACGATAGTGGGAATGAGGGGAATGGGTTCCAGAAGCAGGCTTGCTGAAGAAAGGAAGGGGAGGCTGAATTGCAGTGATATGGAGTGTAGGAAATTGGAACAATGTGTAAAAGTATTCCAGTTTGAAGAAACGAGAAGCTATGGAAAAGTAGTCACACCATGTCTGTGAATATAAGGGGCTTTGTTCTGATGGCAAGATGCAGTAATGATGGCAGGCCAGGAACTCACTGAGTAGGAAAATAGAAATGGAATGCTGTCTCAGTACTTCAGTTTGCATTGCTCAAATGTTCAGCCTTTTTCACCTTTTCCCTGTTCACAAAACTGAGCCATAGCAGTGTGGACAGTGCAGGTTGTTGGGATATTCCAGCTGAGCATTTTTCACTAGGACTCTTTCTACTGGTTGGTCTCTATAGGGGGATGAAATAGAAAGGTGGGGAACTACCATGTCGTCAATTTCCTAAAGCAGTTATTCTTCACTTACCATTGTGGTATTCATCCTTGCCATTCAAGTCATGTAGGAAGTACATTTAGAAAGCGTGGTGGCAGGTGGACCCTTAGTATTGCTTAATATTCTTGGGCTAAGCATGAGGTTGTTCCTAGTAGTCATGGGCTTTAATTATATTTTCTATAATATTTTATTAGGCTGCAGAAATGGCTCTCCGTTTGAGTGGAATCAATCGCTGGTGTGTCAGTGGCACACCAGTGCAACGAGGATTGGAAGGTGAATAGTATAGCTAATCTTCTGTCTATATCAACAAGCATGCAGTAATGGCAAGGGTATTTTGGTCCAAACTCCCTTCTAGAAAGCAATTCTTTTTTTTAAATCCAGAATATTTGTGTCCTGGCTATCCAACAGCATATTGTTCAAGACAGCTAATAATAAAAGAGAATCCATCAAGTGCAAACTAAAGCATATTTAAAATACACCTTAAAAATCACATACCAAAGAAAAAAGCAGCACAAAAAAACAAAAACAGTACTAACTGTACCTACAAGTAGGTCTTCTCTTATGTTCCCACCAAATGTACCTATGACATTGGTGAGATACAGACAGTGACCTCATTTGCAGATCTTAATGCCCAGGCAAGTTTGTACTGGAGCAGGCAGTCCTTCAGGTACACTGATGCCAAGACATTTAGGACTTTAATGGTCAAAAGCAGCCCTATTTTGATTTGGGCTTGGAAACTAATTTGAAATCAATTCATTTGTTGTGATCAGAGTCACATGCTCCTCATCAGCTACTCCAGTTAGCAGTCTGGCTGCAGCATTTTGGACCAACTGCAATAGTCCAAATGTACGTAGAGCCCAGCATCCTATTTTCACAGTAGCCAACCAGATGCCTATGGGATGCCCACAAGCAGGACATGAGCACATCAGCAGTTTCTCCACTTGTGTTCCCTAGAAACTGTTATTCAGAGGCATACTGCCTCCAGTACTAGAGGTACATGGCAGGTAGTCATTTATAACCTTATATTTCATGGGTTTAACCCTGTGTTTAAGACTCCATCTTGTGGTAGTAAATTCCAGAGTTAAGTTGGGTGCTGTATGAAGAAATGCTACCTTTTGTTTCTCATGAATCTTCTGACATTCAGCTTCATTGCATGGCACCAGGTTCTACTAGCTAGGGCATGTGTTGCCATGGCCAAATTCGTACCTCAAGTAAAGGATGTAGTTGACATACTAGCCAAAGCTATGCAAACATAGTTCCAGCAACAACCTGTTGCCTGTGTATCCAGTTTCCAGGATTACTCCCAAAGTGTGAACTTCATTGATCAAGGGAAGTGGGACCTTCTCTAAAACAGGATGAACTCCAACTTTTTGATCTGCAGTATTATAGATTATGACAGTGTTGGCCAAACTTGGGTCTCCAGCTGTTTTGGGACTACAATTCCCATCATCCCTGACCACTGGTCCTGTTAGCTAGGGATGATGGGAGTTGTAGTCCAAAAAAACAGCTGGAGACCCAAGTTTGGCCAACACTGGATTATGAGCACCTAATAATTGCATTTACAATTGGCATCTATTCGTTTTTAGTAGTAAACTTAAGAAACGACAACAACAAAAATATTTTTTTAAGCACTGGGAAATTTTCTACCCTGTATCATTGCCACCATGCAGTAATCCTTGTTCAGGAAAGCCTCCTAAGAATTAGGAGGAAACTGGAAACTGTCCTTCCATGAACTTCCATATAAAATTTACATTTGTGATTGAAGCCTAGATTTTGAAAAATGTCAGTGCTTTGAAATTGCTGGTGGACTCTGTGTGATACTTTTAAGGGAATGTACTGCTTATTTTAAGCTTTCACAAAGATTTGGTTTTATACGCAGCACCCAAGTTCGATCTCTCCTCCCCCCAAAAAGCAAGCGTGAAGCAATTTAACTTGTCAGGCTTCGCTAAGTTGAATTGTGTATAAGTTTTTTTTTTTAAAGGTATTTCTTGCATGCAGTAAAATGTGCTGTTCCTTTGCCATAGATTTATATGGATTAGTACTGTTCCTTGGAGCTGATCCTTACTGGGTCAAATATTGGTGGGATCAGCTTCTGTATCGACCATACTGCAGGAAAAACACACAGCCTCTCTACAACTTCATAGCCAAGATAATGTGGAGGTCAGCAAAGAAGGACGTGATTGACCAAGTAAACACACAAGTTCTAAGAATATGTTCATAGACAACATTTTTCACCCAATACTTGAGTTACTCATTTGTCGTTTCGTTTTATTATTAGATTCAGATCCCTGCTCAGACAGAAGATACACACTGGCTCTATTTTTCTCCTGTGGAGAGACACTTTTATCATCGCCAACATGAGGTCTGCTGCCAGGATGCTCTGGCAAAACTCAGGAAGATTTCTGATTGGTCCCTCAAACTTAGCAGCTTGGATCGGAGGACAGTTGCTTCCATTCTGTACCCTTTGTTGCGCTTGAGGCAGGCCTGCTGTCACCCGCAAGCTGTACGTGGAGAATTCCTCCCACTGCAGAAAAGGTTAATTACATTTATTCTTAAAGTGACTCTAGACCTCTCATAATTACGGGACTCTTATACTGATGTACCTGGGTCAGTGGGGCTTATTTCTGGGTAGACTTACAATATTGAAATGTAAAGGTTGGGCATTTTCTGTAGTTACTCTAAAGTCAGTTGGTGGGTGAAATTCACCAGTTCGGTATATGAAAGAGAAAGCTATTTGTTATTCATTTGGACTTCATATTCCAGGCAGTGACTCTAGAAATAGTAGAGTACTTGTGAAGTTGAATTTACAGTGGTACCTCGAGTTAAGTACTTAATTCGTTCCAGAGGTCCTTTCTTAACCTGAAACTGTTCTTAACCTGAAGCACCACTTTAGCTAATGGGGCCTCCTGCTGCCATGCCGCCGCAGCACGATTTCTGTTCTCATCCTGAAGCAAAGTTCTTAACCCGAGGTAATATTTCTGGGTTAGCGGAGTCTGTAACCTGAAGCGTATGTAACCTGAAGCGTATGTAACCCGAGGTACCACTGTATACTTACAAGACAGCGTTTGAAAATACCCTGTATATTCTGCATACAGAGCAAGACATACATACATATATGCAACCTGCTGTAGTCTTGTTACCTCACCTGATGGAACATTAAAGATAGTTGTTGAAGTTCAAATGTCAGATAATATGCAAAACTAAGATCCCACTCCATGTTTTTAATCATTGTGACTTGCATCAAGAAAGTGCAAGTGAGGTTGTAGTAGGAAGGGGAAATTAGTGGAAAGTGAGGAAGGAAGCAGAGGTGCCCTTTGCTTGCAAAAGAGCAGCTTTTGATCCAAGGCTATGAATGAAAAGATATCAAATCTTTTAATTTTAATTATCTTTAACTTACAGTACTCTGAGACAACTAACTGAGCAAAGAAATAAATAGATCTAAACCATGAAGATAGGTTTACCCTAACTGTAGTTGGGATCCATTGACCTGTTTGGTCTTTGCTCTTGACTCAAGACTATTTGTTTACCATAAATCGAACAGTGCTGAAGAATCTTTTACTGCACACACCACCAATTGAAATTCACATTTTGATCCGCAACCAACAAGTAATAGTACTGATTGATTAATCCTTTTCAACTCTGCAGATTACATGTTTCTATACTCTGCTGTGAGAAGAAATAGCATAACAGTATGGCAACTGATGTTGACTATTCATACTATCACAGCCTAGAAATACTAGCTTGTATTGGGAGCAGAATATTGAAACTAACTTTTTAGTGTTTACGTTAATGCAGCAAGTTCAGGAAATGTGTCAGTGAAATAAAGCAGCTTTAATTTTAACTGAAGGGTTTTATCTGTCCTAGCAACCTATATTCAGTGGAATGTTCATGCGTAGCAACAACATAGCCACTTCAGTAAAGGAGGAGTACAGTAACAAAACAAGTAGCTCCCATAAAAAGGACTGCAGAAAAAGGATCTGTTTCTAAGCTCTTTTTGTCTGAGAGCAATAGTCCATTTTTACAACAAATGGTTGAAATTACATGTGGGTATCCTTTTACTTCTGTGTCCATGACACAGTGCTAGAGCTTCTGAATAATAGAAACAATGAACCCATCGTCTCTATCAGGTTAGCAAGCTAGTTCACTGTTGCTTTGCTATCCTGCCCTCTGTGAAGCTGGGGGTCCCAGGTTGTCTTTTATCCACATAATAGCCTGGACCAGTCTCTTGGTTTAGATATAGAATGACATCAGGTTTCTTTGCCTCTTGTTAAATATATATCCTTTTCCTCACAGCATGTCTTTTAGAAATCAGCGTTTATTATTTATTTTTACAATTTGAACCTGACAGTGAACAATGGCTACTTTCTCTGTTTCTCCCACTCTGGTCCTGTATTGTGCCTGGGGAATGTGAACATGAGAGTACTGTTGCACTCATATCCTGCTTGTGGACTTCATAGATAATCTGGCTGGCTCGGTGAGAACAGAATGCGAGACTAGATAGCCTTTGCTCCGATCCAGATGGGCTCCTCTTATATTCTTAGAACAATCTGCTTCTCTGTTAGGGTGCTTCCACCTGGAAGCCTTCTGCAGGTTTCTGTTCCTTCTTATTCCACTTTCATCAGATTATGAGATAGCAGTGTACTGTCCACACCATTTTAATTTTTTTAAAAAGCAAACAGCTGAGTTGAATGTTGTCACCATCAACAAGCCCAGACTAGAATGTTTTTAAAGTGTTTCTCCCTTTTCCATGGGCCAGCATAGCAGGTCCAGTGGAGAGTTTGGGGCTGTGTGTCAAATAATGAAGATTATTTGGTTTGGCCAATGGCATCATGAGACCTTGAGCAGCATGGACCGGGGGAAAAGGAGGAGACCCCTCTTCAGGGTAACAATCCCAACTGCAGTTACTTGTCCCCCTCTCCTGTAGGCTAGCAGTGCCATTCCACTATTTGTTGTGTCACTAAGGTCATGTTACTTGGTCATGTCAAGTCAGTCATTATAGTCTCTCACCACACTTTTGCATATAATGTGGATTACAAGGCATCTAGGCAAGGATTGTATCATTTTTTTCTGTATATTAAATGGAATATATTTAGTAAAAATATTAAATAATAGCAGTAGAACAGCATCATATTTGAATTATACCAGTTACTAGCCCTTTCGGTTTATTATTGTTATAAAAAGTACATTCTTGAAAAGGTGGGCTTATTACCTCTGATGCATATTGAATGCCTGCACTTCATGCTTTGGGTCTCTGTTCCAGCACAATGACAATGGAGGAGCTTCTAACATCACTACAGAAAAAATGTCGAACAGAATGTGAGGAAGTCCATAGGCAACTGGTGTGTGCTTTGAATGGATTAGCTGGTATTCATATTATTAAAGGTAAAAGTGGCTCATAATAGTTTGGTGTAGTTCTTATGAGTGCAGTAGCACTCATATATTTTATTCTGAGAGAGAGAGAGAGAGAGAGAGAGAGATCTTTACTATTTGGTTAATTCAGACTAAATCCAAAGGGCTGATTTGTTTTGCCTCAGATTCTAGCCACTTACTAACTTCGAATATCCCTTGGCTCTGAGCACCAAACTAAATTGGGCTAGCTGTGGAATCTGTTGGTTGTTTCTTAAATAGCTAAGTACCAGCCCAGGTGTTTAGCCATTTCTTTAGTAGAGTTACTGGTAAATACTAAAGGAAAATGTGTATGTTCAGGATACTCAAGAAATGACATTTGTACTATAGCTGCAAGCAAAGCTGCAGAATTGTAAGTCTGTGGAAGGTTAGGAGGTGTAAGTCACTGAAATATTACTTCAAGGTAGACTTGGTACACCAAGTTGCAGGAAGAGAAATTTAATCAGAAATTAAGATGGCACTTGGGGAAATACTTGCATGCCTTTTTAAAGCAGTCAGCAAAGAGGAGGGCAGTTTTACAGGCCCACTCAAAAGTCTGGTGACCCAGCATACAACTCTGCATCAGCATATGAAGTACTTGAATCTAACAGGGAATAGTGACTATGTACAGTTTTATTTTATATCTCTTATCTCAAAAAATATTTTTTACAACATTTTAAAAATATGTTAACTTTATCAGTGGCTGCATACACAATTTTACTGTTTTGATCTTAATGCTACAATAGGTTTGCCGGTCTGTCTCTGTCAAGCTTCCATATGCAAATAGCCAAACAATTTAATATAATACTTTACAGTGATATTTCTAAGTGTTGGAAATAGGGAATTATTTCTGTTTGGGAACAGACATAGAAAGTGTCTGTATCTTCCATATCCAGGGTGGGGAGAGGGTCCCGTTGCTTCTACTTCCCTGGAATGAAAAATCACAGTGGTAGTAGTAGAATGCTGTGTTTTAGCTTTGTTTTCACAGTTGGAAATTTATTCTCCAGCTCCTTTTCAGTTATAATTTGTTTATGCAGCATAGATGTCTCAAATTAAAGTGCTTACTAAGAAATCCTGATGGCACTGCGTGTACAGTTGTAGGTAATTAGACATTTGAAAGACAGAAATCCCAATACTCCAGTCTGAAATATGCTAATTTTTCAGGTGAATATGCATTGGCAGCAGATATGTATAGAGAGGTGCTGCGTTCCTCTGAAGAGCACAAAGAGAAGCTCAAAACAGATTCATTGCAAGTATGTGCATAATCTCTGAAGGCACTCTTTAAACTAGTACAGAAATTTTGTGGAACTTTTTTTGCCTTTTTCTTGGCTTTTATGTCTATTCATGAGCTAAAAGATTGATCACCTGATCAGCCATCAAGTACCAACCTCTTTTGCGAAGAGAGACCTGGTAATGTCGTCAACTTTCAAAAATCATCATTGTCACCAGGCATATATTCTGATATTTAGGAACCAGCTTATATTATGCATCCGTTTAGTTCAATCTATCCATAAGAGGAAAACTAATTCCTCTGTTTGAAATAGTGTTACATCCAACTTCACATATGAATAGGCAGGTGCTAGGCAAGCATTGGGTTGCAACTAGTGCGTATACTGCAAGTAAAAACAATGATTTCTTCACAAGGATCTCATAATTGTTAAGCACCCTGGAAGTATGGAAGACCAGGATATAAATATTTTGAACAGTAATAATCTATGGTACCAGATGAACAATGTAAACAGTGAGCTAGGCCTTTCAGCTGGTGATGGTGGTGTTTTTTTTTTTTTTTTAAGCATCACTATAGAATACCTGTGGGCACCTATAGTTCTATAATGTACAGGAGTCAGTTTATTACACCATTACAGGAGTAGAGAACAGGATCTGGCCAGTGGACCAAGTTTAAGAGTGGGACAGAGATGCCCACCAACCAAACGCCTAATTTCAAAATGTTTTTGACCCTACTTGCCCACATAGATTTTGCAGAGAGCTTTTCAAAGGACTGTACAAGACATGACACTCAGCTGTTTTTTGAATCTTCGAAGTCTGCTTACACAATTTCACATATGTGCGCTGGGGTTCGGAATGTAACCCCCACATAAATGGAGAGTCACCTGTACTGTTCTTTTCTGTATAACATTCATGTTATACAGTGTATAGTGCCATAACTTTGAGATGTGGGTAGAAGATTACTTACCGTATATACTTGAGTATAAGCTGACCCGAATATAAGCCGAGGCACCTTATTTTACCACAAAAAACTGAGGAAACTTATTGACTCAAGTATAAGTTGGTTCACCACACCACAAACCTCTCCCCCCCAGCCCCTCCCATCCCCCTGCCTACCTAGGGTGCTGCCGAGAGGCAGAGGCTCGGGGCAGCAGCGGAGGAGGAGGAAGGAGCAGCCCGAAAGGGCTGCGTTCAGCCTGCTCGTTCCTCCTCCTCCATCTTTGCCGCTGTTGTATAAGCCATGGTTTTTTCCCCGCTTATATACACGAGTATATACGGTAGTTCTATGTAGTAATGTGTTCATGTTTCTGTGGGGATTTTACTGCCAATTTAAACTGCTTATTGTCCGTAATTGTCACCATACGTCAAACTGCTGCCTTTTTTATTGACAAACGCAGAGACTTCATTCTACGCACAACTTGATGGAGCTTCTGGCAGGAAAGCATCCTGGGATATCACCCACTTTGCGCGATAGCAGGCTTCAAGAAGAGGTGATTGTACACTGTGTGCACTTCAGTGTGTTTAGGAATACTTCCTGCAAAAGAATTTATAAAAGAATGTAATTTGTTATAGGATAGCTCCGAGGCCTCTTACAGAAATGCTTACAATCCTAAGGTCAAATGAAAGGAAATTCCATGTTTGCCATATCTTTCCAGATGCAGCTACATTGCACTTTCAAGGTCACAACTGTCAGTAACAAGCTGCAAGAACAAATGAATAGTTTCCTTAAGGAGACTGCTGTGCTTAACTTCTTCATAACCTTATCCTGGCTATTGTTGTAGAGTTAATGCAGTTCTTCTCAAACCTCCACTAACCGTATTGGGCTGTTAATAATAACAGAAAGAGTTTATGGTTGTGAAGTTGAAGCTAATTGAATTGATCAGTACTTTTAAAGGATTGCCTTTAGGAAAAGTTTGGCTGGAATAACTGAAGCTGAAAAACTAGCAAGGCAAGAATGAATACCAATAGATCAGATGTTTTGAAGCTGACCAAGTAACTTTTCACAGACGATGAAAACAAGGATGTGACATTTAATGAAGAACAAACTGTAGAACTGGAACACAGAGTGGGAATTAGTGGCAATAGTTGTAGCGTTATATTTGAATAAGAATTAAGAGGGATAACATGCAAGTCCATTTGGATAGGAACAATGATTTGAAGGCAAGATTTCATGAAAATACACACTAAAATGATGGCATCCACTCAGGAGGCTGGTAAGCTTTTGTCTTGCTTAGGTGAGGCTGTTCTACCTTCAGTTGATTGCTGATAGAGAAGAGCCAGCTAGGCACACCCTCAAACCCTGACAAGTTCTTTCTTTTATCATCCTTTGCTAGCTACTACAAGTGCCTGAGTCATGTTTCAGGTTGTACAAAGGAGCATTATTTATTAACTTTATTTGGAAAATTCATAAATCGCTTGATATATATATATATCCAAGCAATGTACAGATAAAATGTGGCAAAAAACCCTATTAAAAATAAATATGCAGAAGATAATGATTTTTTAAAAAATGATAAAATCAACAAAACTTTTAAAGCAGATGTTTCTTGATAGGCTTGCTAAAATGGGAGAGTTTACAGCATGTGTTTTAAACAATGTAGTAATGGTGCTTTCTTAATGTCAGTAGCCAGGGAATTCCAGGGCACATGCCACACATGGAAAAACCCAATCACAAATGCACAACAGGCAGCTTATGGGACTGCAAAAGTTGTAGTTCTGCAGATCAAAGGGATTGAATAGGCACATGTGGGGCAAGGTGAATTTCTTAAATAAACTGGTCCCAAGGAATTAAGAGTTTTATATACCTTAATATCAGTTTATTTTGCTGATGTCATTAAAACATCTAATGCTTAATATATGCTAGCACTAACGAGGTGATAGACAGGATCTCTGCCCAGAGTTGAAATTCACAATGTTAAAGGTAATTATCCAGATAAGTGTTAGGGACAAAGTAATATTTCATTGTTGTCCAGAACTGGTAAGTTACATCTGTTGTTGATGATATTCAAATAAACTTGCAATATTCCAGATAAACCTGAATATCTGTTCTATTTAGAAAAGCTGTGTAAGTTTCTCTGTGTTCTAGGGATAAGGGCAGTCCTTACTGAAATATGGCTTTCAAAGAAAATATTCCCTATGGTTGGTTGGTCTTACTTACTATGGCTTGCCCATAGACTCATAGAGTTGGAAGGTACCCCGAGGGTCACCTAGTCCAACCCCCCTGTGATGCAGGAATCTCAACACAAATGTCTCTTGAGTCCTTCTGTAGATTTTGTTGTCGGTAGCAGCTATGTTCATATGTGATTCTAGCTTGGTATAGCAATTTATGTTGTGGCCTTTCTGGAGAGTGAAAGTAATTAAAAATGGCCTAACACTCTTCTAAAAAACATAGTATTCTATTTCATCTACATTCACTGGTAATAATGTATCAACTATTAACTAACAGTGTTGTAAGTATTTCAGTGTTTGGTGTCTTTCTCTTTCTGTCATTTAAAAAACAGTGTGAGCAACTCCGTCAACATTATATGAGCAAATCAAACGCAGAAGTTTCTGAAGCCCACCAGGCTTTGCAACCAGTGCTACAGACAATCCATGAACTCCAGAAGAAAGTAAGATTTTAGTAATATTTTTGACTTGCCTTTTGATGATATGTGAGCTATGTGGGATTTGTATACAGTGGTACCTCAGGTTAAGTATTTAATTCGTTCCGGAGGTCCGTACTTAACCTGAAATTGTTCTTAACCTGAAGCACCACTTTAGCTAATGGGGCCTCCTGCTGCCGCCGCAGCACGATTTCTGTTCTCATCCTGAAGCAAAGTACCGGTACTTAACCCGAGGTAATATTTATGGGTTAGCAGAGTCTGTAACCTGAAGAATATGTAACCTGAAGCATATGTAACCTGAGGTACCACTGTAAATCTCTAAAAATGTGCCCATGAAAAGATTCCCTACTGCAACAAGGTGGATCAGAAATGGAGTTCTTGAAAATTGGCCTTCAGTGGGCTATATCCAATGCTGCAGTTCCATTAATGCAACAGACTTCCACAGTGCAGGTGAATTTCTACCCGTACAACAGGACTCTCTGTGGTTCTCCTGCTCCCTGCAGCCCCACTTGTGCCTTCAGAAGTCTGCTCCAGAGCAGATGTTTGTGGATGCAGAGAGGGAGGGAGCAAGGAGAGGAAGGGAAAGTCCTGTTATGTGAATTAAAATGTGCATGCCAGTTTTAGATACAACCAATGCATTGTTCTTCCACAGAGTTTGTACGGAATAATGTATGTTCACGTTTCTCTCTGCCTCACTCCTGTCCATAAACATTTAAGATGCATGAATTGACCTGTGAATATACAAGTTAACAGCTTCAGTACATGCAAATGTTATAAAACTTTGGAACTGCCCCAATAAAATAGATAAAGCAAATTTTCTTTATCATGGATTTTTTCTGTTCCTCCAAGGAGCTCATTCCATCTTAGGCTAATTTACTTCACACTTGACAATGGACAAAAGAGCATGTTTGGCTGAAGCTCATGGCTGATCCTTCTGAGCCTAGTCTGACACTCTGTTTGCTGCTGCACTCTACAAGACACATTGTGCGCTGGGATGATAATGAACACTGATGGCTATGTTCAGGCATAACACTGTGATGTGAATGAGCCTGGGGCTTGCACACAATTCCCCTTCTGCCTTGGCATGGCCACAAGGAGTTCAAAAGGTTTCACTTCCCTTTTTGCTTATCCCTGGCATCTTGTTTAATTCAAACTGACAAGTTGCTAGTTTAAAAGAAGCCAGCTCTTTCCTCCTCTTTGCATTGGAGGGGAGAGTACGAGTTTCTGAGGCTTACGTATGCTCATTCACAACACTCTAAACCAAGGTTTATTTTAACATCCAAACGCATCCACTGTGACTTCCTCAATGAATCACATTTGCATTTGTTTCTTCAAATGTAAGTTGAGCAATCGCTTATACCAGGTGTGGAACAGCAAGATCAAGGGTAGTGTCATTTCTGTAATCCTTAAACAAATGGTGTTTCACTTGGAGATGCTTTGTTTCTCTAAAACTAATAAAAAGCAGTTCTCCAGATGAGACTTGCTTTTCTCTCTAAGAAGCAAAATTACTTTAAGGCAAGAATATGTCAGTTTTTAACACGTAGCTCCTCAAGGAAGATCTTAGGAAATAATTCACTACAATAGGCCTTTCTCTTTTAAGCCTCATTTTGGGGTGTAACATATGAAGAAAGGGGGGAAGTACTCATGTCATTAAAGAGATATGCTCACCTAATTGCACTGTTTCCACAGTTTCAAATATTCCTCATTTATTTTTCATTGTTAAATCTAGCTACTGATTTGTCTCTCGCTGTCTTAAACGCTACAGAAAATAAGTAAACAGAGTAAGAGAAAATACTTAAACAATTGTTTATATTTAAAAATCAGTTTTGAAATTATCTAAGATGACTGCAGTGTGTCAAAATTTACCTGGGGAAAAGCTGCTGGTCTTGTATTTAGTCACAAAAAAGTGTGTGTTTCTCAGGCATGTCTTTTTATCACACAAGATGTGGCACATGTATTTATGGGCCTATTTTCTGCACCTAGATGCGCTCCAATTCACCTTGGTGGTTGGATGTGATCCAGTCAGCAATACAATATGCTATTGATGAGGAGCTTGTTCAACGGGTGCAAAACGATCTTACTAGCAATTACAAACAACAAACTAATAAACTCTCTATGGCAGACAAGTAAGTCAGCAGCTACAAAGGTAATGTTCCTTATCATAATTCTCAAGTTTTACTCAGTTTGTGACAGCTCATACACCTTGCCCCAGGCACTGCTTGCTTGCAAACATCTGGGCTATCATTTAAAATTTGAAAATGCTTCAAGCGATGTATGTATCCAAATACAACTTTGGTTTTCAAAAATGTAAGTCTTCTGTTCCCTTTTATTTTGATTTAAATCTTAGTTGTGCATTAGGTGTATTTTTATGTTTGAGATCATAGTCTATGGATTCATTCATCTCTTTAGCAATTATTTTTGCTCTGGAGCGTAACATTATTTTTAAAAAAATTACATCATTTCGCTCTTAAAGCACCATTTTCTAGGAATAAGTAGAATTGTATGTATATTTTAAAATATCAGCTTGGTATATATTGCATTGGTGTATGCTCTACATTGACTTGCCTTTTCAGAAAACTGCAATTGTCTTGTATAGGCACATTACCTCACTTATAGGCTACTCACAGAGATCGCTCTGCATTCTGCCAAAAGTCAAAAGCAGAAATGTTTGCAAGCTGTTAGCCACATAGCCAGTTCTGAATGTTCCCCTGATAAAAATTTGAAGTAAGGTTTGCATCCTCATGCCATTCAGCCAGAAGAAGTTGCATACAGTATATGGGCCGTGAGTCAATCCAGTGATTTCAAAATAAAGTTTTGACTTTTCCTGTTTTTGCTAGATTCCGTGACTGCAGGGGTCTTCAGTACCTGCTCACAACTCAAATGGAAGAAGTGAAGAAATTCCAGAAACGTGTGAGAGAGGCTGTGAAAAAACTGGAGGGCCCTCCTTCCAAAGAGGTTATTGAGGCTGCCACTATCTGCCATCTGCGCCCTGTGAGGTTGCCCCTAAACAAGTAGGTGTGAAAACACCTAGACCTCTGTCACTGGGATTCCAATTAGCATTTCTTCTAATAATGAGACACATATCCCACAACTGAAGTGAAGCAATCAAGTGTGTGCATGGATCCTGTTGAGTTTTTAAAAACCTAAATATATTTTTCTGATTCTCATGTTATATTTCTTATTAGGCATCTCAGTGGGGTTAGTTTCCAAATCTTTTTATTAATTGAAAGTATACTGATACCAAACTTTGGAAAATTTAATTGTTTATTGATCTTCTAAATGTTTCTCTTTGTAATATCTTGTATTCCAGCTGTGTCTTCTGTAAGGCTGATGAATTGTTCACAGAATATGAGTCAAAGCTCTTCTCCCATACGTAAGTGATTTTCTCCCTTTTTGTGCACTTGTGATGAAAGCAAACTTCTTTCATAGATCAGAAAGCAGTTTCTGCTGTGACCTTCTATATCCTTTCTGGATAGAAACAAGGTTCCTTCTCTTTGAGAGCTGCTCCACCTCTTGGGAGTGTGAAACTCAGGTGAATTATGTTCTCTTTCACTGTGTTCTTGTGAGGAGAATTGGTATAAGTTTTAAAATAAGGTCACTATATCAAGCACTGTAGCGTTTGTTTGCCTATTATCTTTGATTTTATTAAGATTCATATGGACTTCAGATATGATGACTACTCTAATTCTTCTACATTATTTAAGTGTAAAGGGACAGATGGCAATCTTTGAAGAAATGATAGAAGATGAAGACGGTCTGGTTGATGACCGCTTACCTACCACAAGCAGAGGTCTCTGGGCAGCAAGTGAAACTGAGCGCTCTTTGAAAGCTATACTGTCTTTTGCCAAAGCTCATCGAATAGATGCCAAGGCAATTGAAGAGGGCAGCATCTTCTTGGAACTTTTTGAAGCATGGAAAAAGGAATATAAGGTACAACAGTCAGAAGAAATCATGGTGAAAAGTTCAGAACATAAGGAGCATTTTAAGTTGTTTGGTTGATATGCATATAGACAACTCATGCATAACAGTCATAGCGATTGATTGATTTGTAAACCTCCTTTCCACAAAAACATGCTTAAAGCTGCTTACAAGAATTATAATGACAAGAGTCATAAAACAGCAATATATCATGGTGGCGCTGTGGTCTAAACCACTGAGCCTCTTGGGCTGGCTGATCGGAAGGTTGGCGGTTCGAATCTGTGCGACGGGGTGAGCTCCCATTGCTCTGTCCCACCTTCTCCCAACCTAGCAGTTCCAAAGCATATCATCCAGGGGTCCTTTACCTTTAACTTTTACCTAACAGATAATCATTTCATACAATGATAATTTATTCAATAAAGAATAAGGATGGTAATAATACATAGCACATACCACCACAACATTTCATATGTGTGATCAGTATGTATATTCTTATTGCTGTGTTAGGCAATTGTCACAAGCCACCATGACCCCTTGCATTGCATAATCTTTTGACTTCACTGTTCACAGTTGTTTTCATTTGTGTGGAGATGCACATAATGTAAATGGTCTCAGTGGGCAAATATGTAACCAAATATGTTGGGTAACATATACTCAAAAGGTCCTGCTCTGATTAATGAAAGGGTATGCCACAACAAAATGGTTAATGTGCCACAGAGCTCTTTGTTATAGATGTTCCCAAAGCAGTTTTCTCTAAACTAAAGGGCTCATTTTGAAATGTCATTCCCAGCTCTTCATTGCTCATGTCTCAACCCTTAAGTGCAGGATGGAGGCTTTGTCATTCAGGCAGTCAAATTACTGGTGCTAATCAGCCATTTATGACATTAATGTCCTTCTAGTGTTGCAAGTGGGGAACAAATTGTCTCTTCACATATGGTTGCTTTGAGGACACATATGGAGACCTGTTACCAGTGACAAAAAAGGCTGTGCATTTGTTTCTTCCATCTGTCCAGTACTAGTAAACTTTCAATTGGCTATGTAGCCTTTGCAGTACTGTACCTGGTAACTCTACCAAGGCCTCGCATTCTGTGCTGCATGGCAGCAGCATTTAAAAACTGAAAATTGATTCCTGTGAAGGCATTTTTAAGTTGATATAGTTCTTTATTCCTCAAACTATAGCTGTTGGCTAAGAGAATGAATTGTAAACTAGGAAGCTGTAGGTTAAGTCTCATTTTAGGCAGAAATTAAGTAGTCTTTAGGCAAGAGGTAGTGTCACAGCACTGGATCCATAGCTGCAGTTTGGGGATGATAATAATACAGGCTTACTTCCCTAGGTCATTGTAATGATATATACATGATATATGTGCTAAGAGTACTGTACCTTTAAAATATTGACTTACATTTTCTCTAGTTTGGCTATGTTTCAAGTTATTTTGTGAAAGCAGGCTTTTTATTCTGTCTTTGGACCCTTTAAAAGCAATAACAACCAGGAATTGTGCATACTGAAGTGTGCTTAGTTTTGCGAAAATAGCTGGTTTTCCCACTCATAGCTAACACAGAATTTCTAGTTTACTGTAACTTTCTTCTGTGTACCTGTGTGGGTGGGTGTGCATATGTTTTGCACTACAAAGTACAGTAATTTTACAGTGCAAAGCTGTAATTTTCCATTAGATTTTTTTCTGTTGGTGTTATTTTGAAATCCTTAGTGCTGGGACACAGAATTATTTGTTAACCACAGGTTACTGTGCTGCTGCTGATTATCTTTTTATCTTCCCTTCAGCTGCTTCATGAATATTGGATGGTCCTCCGAGATCATGTGTCTGCCATTGATGAGCTTGCCATGGCTACAGAACGGTTTAGAGTGCGTCATCCGGAAGAGCCAAAACCCAACCACCCTGTTCTTCACATAATTGAGCCACATGAGGTGACAAGATTGCATTGTATCTGAAAAACAGTAGTGCTGATTAAGCCACCATTTGGGACTGCTGCTTGCCACTAAACAGGACTTTAAAACCTCAGTCCTGCTGTTTGTTGAATGTTCTTTTTTTAGCATCTCTTCATTGTTTTGGGACTAGATATAACTTGCACACCAGGATTATGTGTTTATTGTATTATATCTAGAGATTGCCTTAATGATCACTGAATGGTTCCATTTCTTTTCTAGGTAGAACAAAATCGAGTGAAACTCCTGAACGACAAAGCAGTTGCCAAATCACAGCTTCAGAAGAAACTGGGCCAGCTCCTCTACCTCACTAATTTGGAAAAGGTAAGGTTGACTTGCACCATTTCCAAATTACATTCATGCGGAACCCTCTATTACCTTGTAGATACGATTTTCTCTTTAATCTTCCCTCGTATTGTTTGAATATCTAAAAGAAAGAAATGAGGGAACAGGGATTCCTACTTTGCATTGGCGTTATCCTCAAAGAGATTCTTGGAGCCAAGACAAGAAAAGCTGTGCTGAGGTTCTGCAGATTTTACCTCATACCTTCAAGTATGTCCAGTATGGATTTAAAGGGTACAGGATAGACTCAAAACTATGACTCCTTAAACAGCTGTAGATACCTATTGCAGATGTTTGTATAGCTATGTCAAGAAGCAGGATACCTTCCAGACTGTGCTTCATAGCTCTAAATAATACAGTGGACCCTCCGGACATGAACTTAATTCGTTCCGGGTGTCTGTTCGCACCCCGAAAATTACTTAAGTAGATGCAGCATTTCTGTGCAGTTGAGCGCTTCTGTGCATGTGTGAGGCACGCAGAGTGCTTCTGTGCATGCGCAAGGTGCGTAGAGCGCTTCCGGGTTTGCCGTGTTCACAACCCGAAAGTTACGTTACCTGAAGGTAACATAACCCGAGCGTCCACTGTATACAAATTGCTAACCTTCACATAATTGGGACTTACAAATTGGGACAGCTGATTTGAATCACTGCAAACTGCTCTAATTAAACAAAAGGAAAAATCTCATTCTTCCTTTAATGCCAGCTTTGTAATTTTTAGATCATAGTTATGAGAACTATGCAAGCCATTTTTTGCACAAAATGTTATGAGAACTATGCAAGCCATTTTTTGCACAAAATGAATTCATTCTCTCCCTCTCTTATATACATGAACTTACCATACTACATAGCTAGCTAATTCTCGGGGAAGTTTCAAAACCAGTTTGAAATACTGAAGCAGGCTGTTGCCTAAATGATAAAAAAGACAGAAGTCCCACTGGGCTTGTACAAGCTCTTGGACACACCTAAAATTGTCTGAATTGTATTTTAAAATCATGACTCAGAATTAAACCCCCCCCCCCCCCGGTTGCCCCTTGGAAGTTTTAATAGTTTTCCATGGAGTTGTTTGCATTCATCAACCATAGTGCTTTAAACAATTCTTTTTAAACAATATCTCTCATAGAAATCCTAAAGTGGATCACTGAATCTCAGACAGCATTTTCTCTTTTAGTTTTATAACTCCTGAAAAATACTGGCTTGAATCCAAATATGCCCTTCTGGTTACAGAAGGGCTGTTGACCGAGAGAGAGAGAGAGAGAGAGAGCACATAGCATGAGAAAGTAACCCCAATTCAGAAAAGATTTTTCTTTTTCCACAAGTTTATTAATGGAGTTTGTATGCTACAGCTTGTATTGTATGGTTCTCATACTGTAATAATGTAATCCCAAGTACATTATGGTACTGCACTGTAAGATGTCTTCCACAAGCTTGCACAAGAACACTTGGATAGCACTAACACACACATGAGTCTTTGAATCCAAGCTATTGCTTTTATTTTTCCAGGTATTGATTTATTTTTAACATACTTACAAACAGGTCCTATATAATGAATTGCCAAACTTACCACACTTTAAAGTTGTTCCAGCTTCAAATCATTTGTAAGATTACTTTAAGTATTAATTTACTTTTACTCCCTTACCCAAAATGTTTTTCTTTAATACTTCCATAGTCTCAGGATAAAACAACTGGAGGAGTGAATCCAGAGCCATGTCCAATTTGTGCACGGCAACTGGGAAAACAGGTAAGACATTCACCTATGGATTTTTCTGTAGAGGATCTTAAGATTTCATATTTTTAAAGTTAGTGCCAACCAAACTTCCCTGGGGAGAGCATTCCACAGAGAACCACCACAGAAAAGGCCCGTTCTTGTGTTGCCACCCTCTGGACTTCTTTCGGAAGAGACACCTGAAGGGCCCTTGATGTTGATGACAGGGTCCAGATTGGTTTAAGTTGTGTTTTTATGCTCTATTTGTAATTATATCCATTTCACTAACTCCTTGTTTTTTACCTTTCTTTTGACTTTATAATCAAAAGCTCCTTGTGTGTAAATAGATAGATAGATAGATAGATAGATAGATAGATAGATAGATGATAGATATAGATACAGTGGTAGTTTGGATGCCAAACGTAATCCATTCCAGAAGTCTGTTTGACTCCCAGAATGGTTCAGAAACTAAGGCATGGCTTCCGATTGGCTGCAGGAGCTTCTTGCACTCAATCAAAAGCCGCGGAAGCTGCGTTGGATGTTTGGCTTCCAAAAAACGTTTGCAAACCGGAACACTCACTTCCGGGTTTGTGGCATTCGGGAGCTGATTTGTTCGGTAGCCAAGCCGTTTGACAACCAAAGTACAACTGTATATAGATTTATAGAGATAGATAGAGAGATATGAGAGATTTTTCTGATTATTCCAGAGATCAGTGTACAGTTGGGGTAGCAACATCACTAATGGCTTCTTCCCTGATTCATGCCTTTAGTATCCTTAAGTAATGTGTACATATTAATTGCAACCAGCATTGTAGATGGATTTCTTCATAGAACTTAAATTCGAATGTTTAAAAATTAAAATTTTCTACTTAGTTCTAATGTATTGTCATGTTTGCATATGAACTCCAACATCACATATGTCTTTGCACTTACTTGCTGTTATTTCTCCCTCTAGTGGGCAGTGTTGACATGTGGACATTGCTTCTGCAATGAGTGTATAGCTATTATTATAGAACAGTACAGTGTTGGCACCCGCAGAAGTTCAATCAAGTGTGCCATCTGCAGACAAACAACATCACATAAAGAAATCTCCTATGTCTTCACTGCAGAGGCAGCAAACCAAGAAGATGATATACCTGTGAAGGTAAACTGTCATACAGATGGGCACTTCTTATATTGATTCAAGTTTCTAATAATCCTGTAAGAGTATTTACATTTTTCTTACTTGGAAGAAAGTTTAGATGCCATGCTGACTGGCAACAAACCTAGATTTTTAGGAGGGAAACCAAATGACTGATTTTTAATGTTTTAGTATGTTTGTTTGAACTGAGTTTTCTGTAAACTTAAAAGTTGTGGCCTCATTTAATCCCAATACTGCTGTCCCGTGTCTTATTTTGTGTTACTTTACATGTGCCTGCTCCACTGCACCTCAGTCCGCAACTAATTACTTTTAATTAAAAAAAAAAAATCACATGGAGGTACTTCTATTTGAATAACATTTTTGTGAAATGCTTACAATGTTTCTATGTAACTTTTAAAAATAGGATAGATTTCTTTATGGAAATCATTTATGGCAAATTTCACTGTATATATTTATATAAACAAACATATAAACACACAGTGATACTGAATGACTTTAATCAGATGTGAACTATATAAAGGAAACATAATCTTCAATTTCTTTTTCAAAGGGAAGTCACTCCACCAAAGTGGAAGCTGTGGTCAGGACTCTAAAGAAAATCCAGTTCAAAGATCCAGGAGCCAAATCCCTAGTTTTCTCAACGGTATATCTAAAAGTTTTAAAAATTAAAACGTACATTAATCAAAAGGTGGTATATCGCTAGATTGTTTATTTCATACATTTTGTTTACTGCTCGATTGTAAATGCACACACACACCTCAAAGCTGTTTGGATTGGGTGATGGTATAGCTAATGAAGATAATTTTAAGTTAAGATGAAATTAGGATACATGGGAAAGTATAGCTTCTTGTTTTCTTCCCACCTATTTTAGATGCTGGGTGCTCTGATAAGTACCATCTTGTTTGTAATATGGAAATATCTTCTTTTTATATTTTATAGTGGCAAGATGTGCTCGATATCATTGCAAAAGCGCTATATGATAATAGCATGGAGTTTGCTCAAATCAATGGAATTAACAAATTTCAGGTATGTTTCTTCAACTGCTCACTGATGGTAATTTAATCCTTTGCTTTGTCTTGAGAGTAACATTATGAGGATTTCAGAGAACAGACGTCTGCCGGAACATATTGGGAGAGGATTCACCTAACAAGTCCCATTAGCAGAAGCCCTGCTCCAGGGTTTCTACTTGCACAACGGAGCTTTCTCCTGTGCATTCCTGTGCCCCCAAAACTGGGGGGGAGGCAAATTCCCAGGACTAGGAGGTAGGGAGAACAGGGGAGATTGTTCCATCTGGCAAGCTGAAATGCTTGTCCTGAAGGAATGATCAGAAGACTGTGACATTGTATTTGAGCTGATAGCACCTAGCACTTGCTTGGCGCGGAAATAAAAAGAATTAAACTGTCAGAGAGCTAGGCTAATTTTAGAGCTACTAGAAAGATAATGCCTACTCCCTGTTAATTGCAGCTAAGCAAGTCAAATAACTCAGGAATGTGGATGTAACCCCACCCCCATTGTGTCTGGACCAAGCTCCATCTGAAAAACCCCCCTCATGCCCACCTAGCACATTTAATCTCTGAGGTCATCAGAAAGAAAGGAGGCAGCAGCCAGGTAACCCTCTATCATGCCTGAATACATCTGCAGCTGTACTTCATGCCCAGGCACCCTTCCCGCATATCTGTGCTAAGGTATAGTGCACACCTGCTCTCTCTGTCTCAACACTCTCACATCACATCTAGCCTAAGACTGTTTATTGTGTTTTAATTATTTACAGTGATTTTAATTAGTCTTGTGTCTGCTTAGGGAGCCAATTTTGGTTTATAACTTGGGATTAAAATTTAATCACCCATTGTTCATGTTCATCGCTGCTGTGAAGTTAACAGTGGCTAAGGTTTCCATTTCATGCAAGCTTTGAAACCCCTTCTGACTAGCTTCAGGTCCTTTGCTGCAGTGGTGATGAGCTGCTTAATCGCAGGGAAGTGAGGAAGGAAAATTATTCTTCCAGAGCTGCAAGGGAAGGAATAGTTATAGTCATTGTTAACAGGAGAGAGTTATTGATATATGTGCACCAGCCCTAAGTATTCTCGGGTTGTGTATGATCCATTACCTCTCAGATACACTCTGTCTTTGTAAAGAATTTAGGATTCAAGGGTCACTAGTCTGTCACACTTTATACCAGCTGAATTTGTTCTTAAATATACAGGGATCTGGTGAAGTTTTGAAAATATTCTTTATTTTGCCTTTCAGGAAAATCTATCTGCATTTAAGTATGATCCCAAGATCAACATATTGTTATTGCCTCTCCATACTGGCTCAAATGGATTGAATATTATTGAGGCAACAAATGTCCTCCTAGTAGAACCTATCTTGAATCCAGCACATGAGCTACAGGCCATTGGCAGAGTGCATCGCATTGGGCAAACTAAGTAAGGATCAAAACTGTTTTGGGCTCACCTAACTGCCACTTAATGCAGTGTATGTATAACCACTCTGAGGTTTTCTACAATTAAGCGGTATATAAATTCTAGGAAATAAATTAACTAAATGCAGCGTTAGGGTGTCACATAGTGTACGACTATAAATTGCGAGTAAGTGGCAGGTCAGTAGAAACAGGAAGTACCAGCAGAACCAACCACTTGCCAATAACCTGATCTCATTATGACATTGGCTGGTCAACACCTGTCAAAATTTCTGTAGCCAGTATTGTCCTAAAGCTACATTATAATTCTAGCATTTTCTGAAACATAAGTGGTTTATAATACACATCACATGCTTGTTGTTGGAGCTATTATAGAGTAAGCAATAAAGACTATGAAGGCTGTAATCCTAAACTCCCTTTCTAGGGAGTAAGCCCATTGAACACAGTGATCTACTGCGTAAACTTGTAAGGGATATCCTTGTAAGTGTAACAACGTGTGCTGAATAGTCTTTTCTTTCCCCCAAAAAAAATTCAGGCCCACAATTGTTCATAGATTCTTAATCAAAGCAACAATTGAAGAAAGAATGCAGACAATGCTGAAAACTGTAGAAAGGAGGTAAGTAAAGCCTGTCTATACAATATTTCATTTTTCAAATTTGTATTCAAATTTGCAAGGGCAGCTACCCCAGACATAGAAACTGAAATCCTAGACACTTACTGCTATGTAAGTAAGTCCTAGTGAACTCAAGAGGACTTACTTCTGAGTAGATATGCATGGTGTTAGAAGCCAGAAAAAAATGTTAACAAAAATGTATTGTGGTGCAAGAAGGGGAGGCATTATGCAAGTGATATTTCTGCAGTCACAAATGATTACGAATTTCTACACAGTACTCACAAATGCAACAAGTGGGCTTGTTGCCCAAAGAATATTGCTTTCCCCAAGCAAAATAAAGCCCTTTGAAGTATTGTGGAAATCAAACCCCTACAGCAGAAGAGTTTCCCTAAGGATCAAACATTTGAATCCTAGGCAGTAAGGAACTGCATGCACACTTAGATATAAACTGATCCTATGGTAATGGTTCTCTGGTTTGTCCTTCTAATTTGTATGTATTTCCAGATCTTTCATGTATATAGAAAGCCCTAGAATCAAAACTAGTGGTGTGGTTTGCCATCACATACATTCAAACTTTACTCCTCATTGGCATTATTTTCAGGCTACTGGAACTGAAGGGCTTGGGGGCATTTTTCCAAACAAAATTAAGACAGAGTGAATTTACTTTGAATTTTTGTATTGTCTGATATTCATAGCGAGCCCACATTGTCAGGTAACATGCAAAGCAGTGTGCACAAAAATCAGTGCGGGTTGTTACAGGTGGAGAACTATATACCTGTTTACCATTCACAAGCACAAATCGGCCTTTTCTGTAAGTCTGCTTTTACGATAATAGAGCAATCTAAGTTGGTTTTTGACCATCTTTTGCCGGTAACATAGCATGTTGATAACAACTCTCATAAGGTTCTTTAAATACACAAAGGTTGTTTCAGTAAAAGAATATAACATTCTTTTGCATATAAAATTCAGCAACTTTCACAACTTAATTTTGTGAACCTTGATAATACAAAAATGACTAAAGCAAAAAACTGGCTTAGAAAGAACACAGTTCACAAAGCAGCTTGTCCTTGCAAACCTACTTTTGACTATTTTCTTCAGGTAAATAGACAGCTTGGTCCACCTTTAAAACCCAATGCTGTGCTTTTGAGACTCTCCTTTTCAACCAGGATCATTGCAACATAAACCTCTTTAGTAGAGCTGCCTCTTGTATTTAATGAATGTAGATGTGAGCTACATTTCTCATATTTTAAAATGTATTTTTCCCTTCTCCCCTCCGATGTTCCCTCATCCCCCAAAGCCACTCTAGTTCTTCCATGAAGCAGTCGGAGGCCTCTGTGTTAACAGTAGCTGATCTCGCAGACCTTTTCTCAGCAGAAACGGAAGAACTTGAATGAAGCAATGGATTTCATGCTCTTTTGAGACCAGAAGAGGGCCATAACCTACTTGTTTTCTAAGCAACACAATACAAATAGCTAACTTCAGAGGTTCCTGTAGATGTCACTAAACACCCACCCTTATTAGGCTTCCATGAACTGATAAGTCTTTTTAACAGTTTCCTCTAAGTTATGTGGTTGTGGATTTCTCCAGCACATTTCTGTTAAGAAGAAAACTTGCACTTTACACAAGCACTACATTAAGTATAGCTTTGCACTTCCAAAGAACATGAACACCCCAGTCCAGCTTTTGTTTTGTGATTTAAAAAAATAAAATGTATGACTAGTTGTGCCAGAAAATGGATGGGGATTCACATACCATTGAAAGCAAGGAGTATGAGTAGATAGTATCCATACTCAGATGTACATCTGAGTTATCCCTGACATTCCTAAACCGACATGAGACTTGTTTGCTCAAGGTGTTTGACTAGACATTGAGGAAAGAAAGCTTTGCATGGCAGAAAAGAGTGTGAAAATCATGAAGCAATTCTTTTGCCTTCATTTTATTCCTAGAATTAATTACTAAAATAAGTTAGTGAGTAAGCAAATCTTTTTTCAGAAAGGGCTTCTAGCGGTGCTGACATATTATCATGCAAGTTTTACCAGTTAATCCTAGCTACTTATTTTTAGACACCACTTTGGCATTTGTAATCATTTTCTAGTTATTTATGCTGTGATATGTTATAGAAATCTGAAAATAATTTGCTTGTTTATATTTAAACGTTTGCTGTTAATGTCTGCTCTTCTCTTGATAAATTATGCCTTTTGTATGATCTTTTGTCTTGAAATAATAGCTGAAAACATCTGTTTGATAGATTTTTAAACATTCTTACATTCTTGTTTAAATTTTGGATTCTTGTATCCTATTAAACTGGTAAAGCTTCCTCTTGTGTAGCTCACTTGATATCTATTAATCAGTTTAGCAGCTTATCAGAATTACATCACAGGGCAAATGTTAATGCTAACAGATGTGTTTTCAACACTGAAAAATTAAATTGTTGAAACACTGAGATTCAATAAGAGCTTCGTGGAGAAGACAAATACTCCTGTTAAGAGGGAATTTTTCATAGTATGTCTTCACATGGGAATGCATATTAGAAGTAACATCCTCCTAGCTTGCTTGGGCCATCACTTTCAAGTACACCTCTCAAATGGGTATTTTGCATACTCATCTTCCTGCAGCATCTGAGCTACCGTCAATCACAACTGTCTTTTGGAGTGTGTGGGAGGTGTTTGTGTGTCCTTAATCTTTACTCATCATTTGCTACCTTGGAGGTCTCTTATTAAGCAGAAAGATGGTTGAAGTGGAACCCACATGTGGAAGGAATAATATTTTTACACAGGGCTCAATTCCAACTTCATTTCCCTGCAAATAGCGCTTGACTTCAGTCCTGGGGACCAAATACAACTCTCCAAGTCTCATTGGCTGGCTCTTCAAGGTCTCTCCACACCACACAAGTACATTCTGGCCACATCCCTTGAGTGTTTTTACTTGCTGGTATGCATATCTTTGAGCTGCCTTTTGCTTGCCGTGGATGGAGGATAGAAAGAGGTGTGTGAGTGTGTGTACTGCACAAAGTTAAAATTTGCATGCATTGCTACACCTACTTTTGCATTTGGCCCCATTCATCACTCTCATGTCCTTCCCCCCACCCCAAAGTGATTGTGGTCCTTGAACTAAAAAAGGTTCTCCACCCCTGACCTAACCAAAACCAACATACCATCGCAGAATACTGTGATAGCATATGAACCTATCCTGAAAATTCTTAACATTGGTTCCATGGAACTGGGGTTTGTTAGGAAAGTGGAGATGAATCATCATTTAGCCATGCCCTTTCTCTAGAAACCGTGTTAGCAGGGATTATTGGGAATGCCCAAAGATTGAGAGCAGGGTCCCAGAACAGACATAATTGAGGTGTGTGCTGTGTTTATCAGCCATATGAGTTTGTTTGTTTTTGTATGGAGCTGTTAGGCTTAAGAATCTTGGTTACTCTTATGTTAGCCACCCCTGTAGAATAGATTCTGGTGACTGATCTGCTCTTTTAAATATACAGATGTTATTTTACTATCTGTATTTAGTATCTTAATATTTTACTAAATATTGCAGATTGTGATACTCCCTTGTAAAATGGGGATAAGTTACTTAAGGATGTAATCATATACCTATTTAAGAGAAAGCTCCATTGAACTTGATGGCTTCTGAGTACACAAGTAAAGGATTGTGCTGGAACGCATGGGTTTTCTGTGAAGAAAACGCTGGATTATAAATCCATTTGGCAGATCCCATGCCACCCCATGCCACTTAATCTTTTCAAAGCAGACTTTGGGGACGTATTCTGAGTTGTTTTATGATTGTTGCCCTTGATTTAGTGTTAGTCCTCCCTGAGGCTCAGAGGCTTGGCAGTTTCCCTTTGGTTGCTAGAGCTAAAGCTTGTGCATGGATGGCATGTAAACATGGATGCCTCACTTTATTGGGGTGATGGATGTAGCTATCTTTAAGCTGCTTTAGACTTCGTTACAGATTTTTAAGATCATGTTTATTTCTGTTTAAGCATCTTTTTCTAACATCGTTATGCATAAGGCAAAGAATATCTGAGCTAAAACATAGTACAAATAAGCAATACATGTGTGTGTTTGTCTAAGCTCTAAGCTGCTGGTTCAGTCACAAGAAGAGTTTCGACCGTTTCAAGGAGCTGGACTTGGCCTGCAACGCATCCGTTGGTACAACCAGCCTTTTTCTTCCTTTTTTGGTTGCCTGGAACATAAAAGTTGTTTACGAGAATGGTCATGTACTATAAACGTAGGCTTGAAAAAAAGATCCCACGCTGGGAGAAAAAGGAAGCCAAGGAAATTACTTGCTTGCTCCCAACCCCCCTCGTTTGCTCAGTCTGACAAAGATTGTGTCTGGTCAATGACATTACGGCAGATGAGTCACAATCTATAAATTGGCTGCAATGAAAAGTGTGTTTTAGAACTAACATTGTAGGAAAGCCAAGCCACTTTTGAGAAGTTATTCACTCAGCAACACTATTCTGGGAATTTCTGTCCTTTTAAAAGCTGACCGAGCTTCAGTATGGTGAAAAATGCCAACTGGCTACTCTCGTTGGCCTAGGCGCATGGAAAATGTTCCTGTTTATCACACCTATAATACCCATCCGCACTGCTTCACAAGTTCTGCAGCCCCATGAAACAGGAACCCGCAGTTTGAATGAGAATTGGAGTTTTAAATATAATAATTTACTTGCCTGCGGCTTCCCAAATTAAACCATGGGTAATTAACCATGGTAATTGCATTTGTTTCTCATTAAAACCAGAAATTCCATCGTTGAAGTGGTGACTTGAACAAAACCTGCCTCTCAAAATGAGGGTACCATGTTTCACAGCATCACAGCTGGAATTGCATACATCACAAGAAATCAAGTCACATGCTTATAAGGGGGAAAGGGATCTGAATATATCGATTTGGGGGTCCTCTGATAAGAGGCTATTGATTCAGTGGAGCTCTCTCCTGCAGCTCCTCACGCTGTTCTGAAGGGGCAGGCAGGGGAAGAAGAAATCCCTATGATCCCTGTTCTGCTGAAAAGCTTCACTGGGTCAAAGAGCCTTTCAGCTGAATTCTGTATCCATCTTTTAAAAATACTTGTGTGATACAGCAGATGATACCCACAGCGAATTAAGGAGCAAACACAACCATTTCAGAAAACAATTTCATACCCCCTTTTGTGCTTTAATAAGAGTGTTGTTTCCAAAATAATAATACTGCTTAACAAGCAGGAAGATTAGTAACAAAACTGCTTGTTTTAGAAATTCACAATCGGAGTATGTACTGTAGAAATTATACTCTAACAGAACTTGTGCTTTCAACGGTCAATAGAGGTTTCCCTAATAATAATGATAATAATTTTATTATTTGTACTGTACCCATTTGACTGGGTTGCCCCAGCCACTCTGGGCAGCTTCCAACAGATATAAAAACAGATACATCAAACATAAAAAGCTTCCCTATACAGGGCTGCCTTCAGATGTCTTCTACAAGTTGTATAGTTATTTATCTAAACATTTGATGAGAAGGTGTTCCACAGTATGAGCCCCACTACCAGGGGCCCGCTGCCCGGTTCCCTGTAACCTCACTTCTTGCAATGAGGAAACTGCCAGAAGGCCCTTGAAGCTGGACCTCAGTGTCCGGGCTGAATGATGGGGGTGAGCATGCTCATTTGGGTAAACATAACCAAGGTCATTTGGGGCTTTAAAGGTCAGTGCCAACACCTTGAATTGTGCTTGGAAATGTGCCGGGAGCCAGCGTAGATCCTTTAGGACTGGTGTTATATGGTCCTAGTGGCTGCTCCCAGTCACCAGTCTAGCTGCCATATTCTGGATTAGTTGTAGTTTCTGAGTCACCTTCAAAGATAGCCCCACATAAAGCTCATTGCAGTAGTCCAAGCGGGAGATAACCTGAGTATGCACCACTCTGGCATGACAGTGCGCAGGCAGGTAGGGTCTCAGCCTATGTAACAGGTAGAGCTGGTAGACAGCTGCCCTGGACGCAGAATTAACCTGTGTCTCCATGGGCAGCTGTGAATCCAAAATGACCCCCAGGTTGCACACCTGGTCCTCATGAACCTGAAGTGGCTTCTTCATGCGTGATTTGTTGAGGATTTGGAATAAATTGTTGTGCGTCACAATTTTGTCCACTGCTGTAAGATGGAAACACCACTGATTTCTGTTCAGTCTTTCATTGGGACCTGCCTACCTTTGTAGGCAAGGTCATACTTCAGACAAGTGACAATCTAAGTAAGTTATTTTTATCCTCCTTGAACCATAACATAAGCCAGTTTTAAAATGTTTTAGGCAGCAATCCAGAACTCTGACTGGATTATTCCCGGTAATTTCTCACTTGGGGATGGGGAGATAGTGTGGTGTTCGTACGTTCTGGGTGTTGTACTGCTCTTGCTTTTACTTTCATGTATTTTATTTACTTTAACATGCCTTGAATCTTTCCCCCTTTTTTTCAAAAAAGGGTGCCTAAGAAATCGAATAAACCTAAACATATGTGTTCACATTAAAGTGTCAGGCAGACTGTTGACTGTGAAGATGCCTCATCTTTCCCATCAGTCAATATAATCAAGAAAGAGGTGGCTTATCTTATAAACCACTAATGGACCCAGGTTGAATGCTAGCTCTTTCGTTTGGAGCATCCAAAGCATCATATTTAATTTGGTCCATTGCTGAGTTTAAATTATATAGTACACTGAAGAAAGGAGAGGGTTTGAAAGTTTGAAGATTTACATTCCTTAGCGTTCTATAATGAAAGTGGTTCCAGAGTTCAGTTTGGAACCATTGCTCCTGGGAATAGCCTTTCTGTTACTAACTTTGTAACCTAGTTACTGTGATCGTAATGTCTGGAGTCGCCATTCCTGGCTAGGTTAACTGAGGGATTCCTCCTGCTGACAAAAGGAGGAAGTTTGCCTAGATTAAAACACAAACAAGGCTTTTAATTCTTCCTTTTCCCAGTTGAATTAAGAGTTTGTTGTGCCTACAAGTAAAGACTACAGTCAGAGAAAGCTAATCATTTACCGTGTTTGAGTACCAGTGAGATGCAGGGAGTGCAATAAATTGTTAACTGTACATGTTTAGTCTTGGACCCAAGACTAGCAGTAAAGGGGCCAAACTATCAATGTGACATTAAATACAAATACATTAATTACACACTCTCACAATCACCCTTCCACTATGATCTCACCATGATTCTCCACCTTCCAATGCTGCTATTTGTATTGGGAGGAATGTTCCCACTGAATTAGTCCAAAATTTGATCAACTAATGGTAGTGGATTTTCTTCCTAAATCTTCTTTATTTGCTTTAAACCCTAATCTTCATGTTCACTCAGAAGTAAGCGCCGCTGAGGTCAAGGGAGCTTAGTCCAAAATAAGTGTTTATGGGATTTCAACCTTTATTGCTATTCCCACAGCATTCAATGCTAAAGCATTACACATAACTAAATACTAAATAAAATTATTATTGTACTACTTGCCCTTGAGTGGTCCAACTGACATTGGTGTTTTTTTTAACATTCTGAGTAGCGCTAACTGTGGATTTTTTTCTTCTCTCTTTTGAACAACTGGTCACCTCCTTTCCAAACACTAGATTGCAAGCATCTTCTGAAAACTCAGATTCTAAAGCAGTTTGATTTGCAGAATTGGGTGTGAGAATCTAGGGTCTCTCGGAACTTGTTTCACTATCATTTGGATCCTGAATGATATTTTGGCATCATTCTCTACATCTTCCAAAATCCTTTTACCTGATAATACTGCTGTGGGTGAACACCTGCCCTCTAAAACTCATTAACATAAAACTCCAACAGTTGTTAGATCCAATACAATTCCATGGGCTGCAACAGACAATTCAAAAAGCGACTTAGCAACTCTTGACAATCCAACATTATATTGGGCCCGTTAAATCTTTAGGTTTGTCTCCCTCATATGTTACAGGCAGCTACAGGCAGCTTTAGCTGCTGTATTTCCCGCTGAAATTCTTTCCATAGAAATGGTTGGGGTCATTGCCTGAAAATAACAGAAAACAGTGACTTGAGGGAAGTACACATTCTTTCAGGTTAATAGCATCACTTTGAAAGTGATGCTGCTTTTTTCCTCTGAGAAAACTCTCACCTCTTTTAGAAAGGCATTTATTTATTTACATTGCCCACCGAGAAAATTAGGACATTATTTCCAATTCATGTTTTGTCTTCTGTGGGGATGGTGTTAGTGTCTTCTATTATTTTGTGCCTTTATTCCCAAGAAACAACAACAACCTAAATGAATGCATAAATAAACAAGGAGCTGTAAATCATTTGCTGCCCTTCTGCAGAGCAGAATGGAAGCATATAAAACACCCAGAGGGAGAATCCCAAAGAGAGTCGAGGGAGGTCCTCCTCCTCCCAGATAAAGGACGTGCTAAGCGGCTGCTATAGTAAAGACAAAAATGTGAGGTGGGGGGGAAGGGTTTTCTTCTTGGGGAGAATTCAGCTCTAAAATCGGTGGTGACTTTGGCGTGAGTAATCATGGTCTCCAGTGGCTATCTCTGTGGAATCCTATTGTTGGACCCAGAACGCCCTTGCGTCTTCAGGCAGGAGACATTCAAGTTTAGAAAGGGAGGGGGGGACACCACAGGGTAAAAGCTGTGAGGAACCATTTACACCACACCCTCATCCAAACTCTCATCCAAGAGACCAAGTTGAAAGCGCGGGAAGTCTCTGTTCAAGTTCCTGGCTGGTGCTCTTTGAGGAAACTTCGGTTGTGATGGCACCTTGCAAAATGCCCTTCTCTGTCCTCTTGGCGGCTTCTCTGCTGATGTCTTCAAGCGGGACCAACACTGGGGAGGGTGAGTTCTCTCAGGAGGAATCTACTTTGAAACAATGTCTAGATCTTCTGTGGTATTATTGGTCCAATTCTAAATTTATCTTTGTCATATCTACAGTTTAAATGCGTTTGTCATAGTGTAGCTTTGAAAACATAGCTTGTGACACACTTTGATGTTTCTGTGCGTTGTGGCAAAGGTTCAGTATAGATACCTTAACAGGTTTTTTAAAAAAATTACAGAGTCACCTTTTCTATTAAATCAATGTTAGTAATAAGAATTGGCCTGGACTTGCACAGCACCTTTGTGACAGTTAATAGATTTTAGAATAAATAATACACTGTTAAAGTACCTGGTTGGAAATTCCTGAAACTGCTTGCCTCGATGGGTAAGTATCACTTGTTGCAATACTGTACTTTCTTTAAACGGTTAATACAAATTTGCTGGTTATAATAAACTACCATGTAAGGCTTGTGATTTTAAGCTACTACTGACGTCCCCAGTTTTAATAATACTCTAAACTGAGAAAGTATTTGGGTGACTTTTTATTTTCCTGCTCTAAGGAATGCAAGCTTTCTTGAGGAGCAAGGATGAACCCTAAGAAACACAAACACCAGCCCTCCTTCATGTAGGCTGGGGGAGCCCACAGTGGGGAAAGAGCGAGGGAGCAAAAAGTGGAAGGAGGGGCACAAATAAAAACGGAGGGAGGAAAGGAGGAGGGGAAATCCTCTGCAAGTAATCAGCTCAGACTTGTGGCAAGGGAGAAAATGAGATGGAGGGATTAGGGCAAAAACAAACACACAACACTCTATAACGCTGCAAACTCTCCACCAGTGGCTTTGGTGCCACTCACCATCACAAAGATGACCTCTGTGGGAATGTGGCCGTGACAGAGAAAAAAATGATTCTCTAGTCTTGCATTCAAGGAGAGGACTCCTATGCCATTAACATTTTTGAAAGTTTAGAAGCAGGAACACAAGTTACCGGTAGTCTGAGTTGTCTTTTTTGAAAAAAAAAGGAAGAATTGATCCCTCCTGGAAAGTTATGAAGCAAATTCTGCAGGCACCCTTCTAAGCAATTTATGTGAGATGAGCCAACCTGGCTGCTCCCATCTTTCAGTATTTTAGACAATAAGTGAAGTCAGAGAGGTTATTAAGGAGTTTGAACGCCAGATGATAGAAATCCCTGGGTCCTTAGAATCCACTCTTTTCACTTTGTCCTCAATGCACTTTTCCTGCTTCTGTCTCATTTTGTACTCCTTGAAATTTCTATAGTTTGCACTTCCTTTTTTGCCTAGGAACTAGAGATGCACGTTTCCTGGTGATGGGTTAATTTTAGTACAGTACTCTAGAAGTTATTTTCTGCAAATCCTGCCACACAATAAGTGCAGGTGGATGCTATAGAATCCCACCCACTGCAAAATAACAAATAGGAAAACTTTGCAAAGCTTAGGCACATTTAAAGCTAAAGACCAGACATGCATCAAGAATTCACTATTGCAGCTGAATTTTATACATGTCTACTGATGAGTCTTTGCTGTTTAATAGGGTTTATTCCCAGGTAAGAGAGTACAGGGTCGCAGTGTAAGTTTAGGGTTGGCATTGGGGAAAAGCAGGGTTCTTGTGCCTTTAAGAGCTGAATGGCAGCTAAAAATTCAACAGGTTAAGCATTTTCTAGTATGGACATACAATTGGGGAAAGCTTCACCTGCTGACATTCTGTCTGTCAGATATTTTGTTATGTGTGTGGCAGAAGATTTATTTTTGGACCCTCCAATCCACCTGCAAAAGAGGTTACAAATTTGCATATTACATAAAGCATCTGTAAATGTTATGCAAATCTCTCTCCTCTTTTGCAAGTGGGACAGAGGGCCTAAACTACACACAGTGGACTGGGTACAGAAAATTCTGTTGGAACCCCTGTGCTCCATTGCTTCAAGGGTGAAAGAGGCTACATCTATTTACATCCATGCTGTCACACAACTGTTAAAGGTACATGAATCCTAAGATGAATTGTGCCTAGTCACTTTCCATCAGTACAGCACTGTCATGCTCAGAATAATTCTGCGTGTGCTGTTGTTCAGGATTTTTGCTGGCACTCTCCTCCCTTCCCGTAAATTAACTGCTGCTTCTTGGCAGCTTTACAGACAGATTGGCAGCTGCAAAGCTCTAGCTTCTTTCAACAAAACTCTGGGAACATGAAAACAGGAGTAATTCTGATCCCATCATTTTACATGTGGACAAGTAGGGTAAATTATTGAAAGCTGGCCCACCAGCCTTTGGGCATAAGTCCTCCAGATAAAGTTTGATAGTGAATAAAGAGACACAACAATATTTCCCCTGATCCTTGGATAAACGACAACATATCTTTCTTAAAATTCATGGGACTTCTTTATTACTGATTTTAGAATAACACTGGTGGCACTACATTTTAAAAATCTACAGTTTCTGCTGAATTCATAAAATAACCCACTGTTCTACATTTTACATTAAAAAACACTATAAATGTTTTAGAAATATTTTTATTAGAATATTTTCGTAGAATAGTTATTATTTAATCAGATTTTCCATATGTTTGTTCCATTTGTTCAACTTTTTATTTTGCATTATACATCTAAGACTGAAACCCTTTCTATGTCCAGGGCAGCTGTCTACCAGCTCCATCTGGTATGCAGGCTAAGACCCTATCTGCCCACAGACTGTCTCACCAGAGTGGTGCATGCTCTAGTTATCTCCCACTTGGACTACTGCAATGCGCTCTACGTGGGGCTGCCTTTGAAGGTGACTCAGAAACTACAACTAATCCAGAAATGCAGCAGCTAGACCGGTGACTGGGAGTGGCCACCAAGACCATATAACACCAGTCCTAAAGGATCTTCAGTGGCTCCCACTATGTTTCTGAGCACAATTCAAAGTGTTGGTGCTGACCTTTAAAGCCCTAAACAGTCTCGGCCCAGACACTGAGGTCCTCCTCCGAGGGTCTTCTGCTGCGAAAAGTGAACCATTAGACAGAGGGCCTTCTCAGTAGTGGTGCCCTCCCTGTGAAACATCCTCCCTTCAGATGTCAAGAAGATAAAGAATTACACAACTTTTAGAAGACATCTAAAGGCAGCCCTGTATCAGGAGGCTTTTTATGCTTGATGTTTTTATTATGTTTTTAGATATGCTATAAGCTGCCCAGAGTGGCTGGGGGAACCCAGCCAGATTGGCAGGGTATAAATAATAAAATTAGTAGTAGTAGTAGCAGCAGCAGCAGTAGTATATTGTAAACCACTCTGTAAACTGCATTGTAGATCACTTACTAATTCAGGGATAGATCAGTTCAGTGTTCTTCCATTGTAACATCAGTTCTAGACTACAGCTCAAATTTATTTTCAGGATTCCAAAAACAAACAAACAAATCCTGAGACAGTAATAATAGTTTAGGGGTTTGGGCAGGGGGTATTTTCCATCCCTTCCCCTCCCTTTGAGGCCTCATTTGCTAACCTCATCTTCTAGCTGATAGAAATATGACAATCTAGATTAGTCATTCATCTCTGAAAACAATTCTGTGCTAAGATTAGGCTTTCAATACATACTGATCAACCACTGAGAGCAATGTGCTAATTCATCTTCCATTTTAGCCACCCAAAGGCTAACAATTCTTTCCTGAATGTAAATTATATTTCTTTCAAGCCAATAACCTCTGTGACATTTCAGCAGACCATTAGTAAGTAAGGACCTTCAATGGAACCTGCTCTGCGATGCTTCAAGAAGCGCAAGAATCAATCAGCCAAAAGCTCTGTTAACATTATTTGGGTCTGATAAATATACAATTTCTGAAAGGCCAAAGCTAATTGGTGTTCTGAAGATACTTCCATTGCATCCAAAAACAAATGTGTTTTATGAAAAGCACTGCAGCTGATTTGACCTAGAATACAGAAACAGGATTTGCTATCAAGCTAGCCCAACACAAGTAGACTCTCAACTCTATAGTGACCTAAACACTTAAGGCAGTGACTCATACAGCAAATTATTGAGGAAACACTAGTCTCCCATTATCATCTTCATCTTCTTTGACGATCACTCATAGCTGAGTAAGATTGTCTTCCATAAACACAGTTTTAACAGTGAGTCCGTAAGTGACTGTGGAAGCCAATTCTGGATCCACAAGTCTTTCCACAGTGGGGACATTGGTTTCCGGGCAGGAGTTGATCACGGTGTGGATCTGCCAAGCGTGCCTTCCTCTTAGCACGTTTGTCCCTTGCGTCCTGCATTTGAGTGTCTTCAAAGCCTATGACACCTTTGGTAAAGGTTGTTCTCCAATTGGAGCACTCACAGGCAAGTGTTTCCCAATTGTTGGTGTTTATACTACATTTTTTAAGATTTGCCTTGAGGCAGTCTTTAAACCTCTTTTGTTGACCGCCAGCATTATGCTTTCCATTTTTAAGTTCGGAATATAGTTGCTTTGAAAGACAATAATCAGGCATCCGCACAACATGACCAGTCCAACGAAGTTGATGTTGAAGAATCATTGCTTCAACACTGGTGATCTTTGCTTCTTCCAGTACACTGGTATTAGTTCACCTGTCTTCCCAAATGATGTGTAAAAATTTTCAGAGACACCATTGATGGAATCTTTTGAGGAGTTGGAGATGGCATTTATAAGTGGTCCATGTTTCACAAGCATACAGTAAGGTTGGTAGTATAATTGCTTTGTAAACAAGCATTTTGGTTTCCCTGTGAATGTCGCGGTCCTCAAACACGCTGCACTTCAATTGGGAGAAAGCCTCGTTCACAGAGCTCAGGCAATGCTGAATTTCGGCATCAATGTCAGTCCTTGTGGAAAGATAACTGCCCAGGTAGAAGTGATCAACATTTTCCAACGTTACACCACTGAGTTGGATTTAATCACTCTGATGTTGCCATTTATTGAAGATGTGAAAGACCTGGCCCCATATTGACTCATGTCTACAAAGAGATTGACCAGAAAATCTCAACAAAACCAGCTATCTTCAAAAAGCTCAATAAAACTAGAAAATAGCTTACTCCCCCTCACATTTGTAAACTCTGTAATGATCCTCAGGAACGCAACAGGTCAAAACACCTCCTTTCAAACCACTCTATTCCGATCCCCCAATCCACATGTGAAAGAGAGTTTGGGGAGCCATGTTTTCCAACAGCTCTTGCATCTTAGAGGCTGCTATTAAGTTCTAGGCATCAGGGGAGCTGTGAAATGTAATTATCCCAAGTGTCTTGAGTCCACATCCTGGAGGACTCTGGTTTACAAGCTCTCTCGTGTTTTTTACTCAGCTGTTGGAGCACTGTATGTGCCAGGGAGAGAGTCAAGCCTTACACAGATCCATCTAGAGCTCTTGCTGGGGTCAAACTACTGCCAAGTGAGTTTGGAAGAAGGAAAGGGATGGTAAAAAGGGAGGGAAGACTGACTGACAGCTCTGGCAGGCTGTCCTACAATATAAGTCAGGCTCAAATGCAGAAGGATCCAAGTATGGGGAAACTCCAGTTTGCCTCCATCACAAGCAGGAATATGATTTCCCATCATAGACATCAAAACCTATTGAACTGCTCCTGCAAATGGAATAGATTTCACCCACAATATTCCTGTATCTTATAGCAAGGCAAGAATTCTGACACTACACCTGCCAAAAAAAAAAAAGAAGAAGCTTGGATAAGCAGCAACAACTGGTATCCTCAGTGAGGAAACACGCACTGTAGCTGTTCCACAGCTGGGACAATCTGGTCTAATCCTAGATACCATTAACCTAGCTTAGCATTTCAGCTACACTGAAAATACACAATAAAACTGAACACATGAGGAAATATCTTTATTGCAGTGGGTCATAAGACTGGGCTATACAGAAGTGTTCGCTTTCCCAGAATAGTAGTAATTATTGTAAGAATTGGACATGAGTGACTGACAATGTTTGCAACTGGGTAATAAGGCCCCACATTACAAGTAGGGCTATGCCATTTTTGGAAATTGCTAAGAAACCTGTACACTACTAGGGAAAAACTGGCCATGCACATGCAAGTTCTGAACTGCAGCCAGTGCATCTGATTTGGGCCTTAACTTTGGTAAGAATCCCAAAGAGAGCCAGTGTGGTGTAGTGGTTAAGAGCGGTGGACTCGTAATCTGGTGAACCGGGTTCGCTTCCCCACTCCTCCACATGCAGCTGCTGGGTGACCTTGGGCTAGTCACACTTCTCAGAAGTCTCTCAGCCTCACTCACCTCACAGAGTGTTTGTTGTGGGGGAGGAAGGGAAAGGAGAATGTTAGCTGCTTTGAGACTCCTTCGGGTAGTGATAAAGCGGGATATCAAATCCAAACTCTTTTTCTTCTTCAAGTGTTCCGGAAGCCGCAGAATTTACTGATATTCACTAACCTGTTTTCTAGAATGTATCCCAAGAATAACATTTCCTTTGCAATTTCACCTTTGCTTTTCAGTGATCCAGATTCAAACTCTGTACATACACACATGCAGATCACACACACACACACACACACCAGAAAGCCTGGACTGTTCTTCCCATTCCTTCCCCTTTAACAATCAGTGATTTTACATACAGACACAGAAATCAATGAGACCATCATATGTACTAAGGACCTGATTGAAGTAGAAATTCCGAGTGCATTCTTCCTGTCAAAGAACCCTCCAATATTAGTAAGTACTGTGATTTTATAATTTTAATTTAAAAAAACCAATCCATTCGGTCACTTTAACATGAGGTAATCCCCTTTATTTTGGATGTATGAGTACCAATGCATATTTAGCAACCACTGCAAGCACGCACGCGCACACACACACGGGCGGGACCCTGAAGTTTGTAGAACTGCAAACAAAAAAATGGGGGGGGGCAGACCCAACAAGGAGGGTGGGACCCAAAGACAGCCCAAGGAGGACTGAGTTGCCATGAATGCTGACTGTTGTGTGTGGTGGTGTGGAGGTGAGAATGGAAGGGCATGGCTGGCCCCCTGAACAGGAATACCCCACACTGCAACATTTTGTTGTAGATCTCAGTTGGGGGTTTTATCTGGATGCTTTCCTTTTTCCTATTACAATTCAATAACCCAGAGGAGCTCATAAAGAATTGTGGCTAATAGCCCATTTCATTGCCTCTAGTTTCTAGAACTGTAGCATAAGGGAACATTATTTATCCAGATCTTATCTGTAGAGATCTTCCACTATCTTCATGGTCATATGCTTTATATTCTAATTTTCTGCGAGTTGCCAGCCAGACAATGATAAAATGTGAGCTGGTACATTGCAGACTACGCCACATCAAAATATTAGGGAAATGCCAGGCCTTTCTTAGTGCCTTCAACCATGAAGTATTTTAGCCGTGCTTAGAAAATTCAGGAGAAGTGCCTTTTGAAAGAGGGGTAGATTTTTCTCATGCTGCCGCTTTCTCTGTGTCCAACTCCTAATGGGATCATAGGCTACATCACACGAATGGATTTTCACTCCCCCCAAAATTGTTACTGTCACATGATAGAATGTACCTGTTGATAGAAGGCAGGTTGGCACTTGGTAAGATTGTATCTTGATGACTGTGAGTCCCAGAAGGCAAAGGAGGCATTTTTCATGCAATAATGCCATGCTTCCAAGTAAAATGACAGGTGTCAGGACCAAGGATATGCTGATTAGCTAGGGCAACTGTAAACATAATCTAAAATTGTGTTGAGAATTATATTGTAAAATTAAAAGGAAAAAGAAAGGTTTTTCCTTTGCAGGTCTCTGATTTACACCTTAATGACCCAGCATGTCATGGTACTCAAGTAGGAAACCTCTACATATTCAGCATTAAGACCAACTTCACAGACTGCGGAACACGAATGGTAATATGCAAAAGATGTTGCTGTAGTCTTATGACTTTTTACATACCTTCTCTGTACACTGCATTTATCCTCTTGTGCCCTGCTTATTTAGTATACGAAAGAACAGCTTTTGAAGAATGACAGAATCTCACACACATTAAATTCTATATGGAGCTAAATAATCATCTGCTTGGTCTCTATTCATATTGTAAACTACAAAAACATCATTCCTGCCTTTTAGAAACTGATTGAGAATAGCCAAAACACCAAGAACCAGATTCACATGTGAATCATACAGAGGTGGCATACGGTAGATTTATATGCAGCTGTCAGGGCTGCCTCAAGTCTCAGCTCACAAAAGACCAACGCCTATGTCTTCTTATATACAAAAGTGTTTATTGCAGTTCATTGTTTGCTTGACATCCTAGGCGCGCAGCCCTACGTCTGCTACGCTTAGACCGCTGAAGTCCCCTCTGAATCTGTCCCTCCCCTGCACCAGTTTAAGAGGCTTGTGCTGCTCCACCTCTTTCTCTCTTTCCTTTTCCGCAGGGTCCTTCTGCCCGCTGGGGTCTCGCCCCTCCTGGATTCCTCTGACGCGGAATCAGACTGCTCTTCCCCCCTCCTGCGGGCTTTGGGACCTGGCCCCTCCTCCGGGCTCCCTGTACTTCCGCGCGCCTCTACATTTGAACTTGGCGCGCGCGCCCAGCCTCTAACCTTCCTTTCAACAGCTACACTACTCCCTTCACTGCTCCCCTCCCCTTCCGGGAGAGTGGCTTGCTCCGACCTCCCTCCTTTCTCTGCTGCCGGAGCCGCTTCCCCTGACACACTGAAACCTCCACCCCCTTCTCTGCACTCTGGCGGGGAGGCTGGTCCTGACACCCAGCTGCCACTTTGGGATGTCCAGCTGGCCCCCTGCTCCTGACACGTCCCCCCTGGGGCTCCCCTGGGCTTGACCACCGGCGCCCCCTTCTGGGAATCCTCTGATTCGCTGGAAAGACTCATGGAATCTCTTGAGTCATTGTCATCCTCTTCCTCGCTGTCCTGGGATTCATCCCCATCGCTGTCCATCTCCTGCCTACCCTGTGCTTCTGTCCCTGAACCCCTGACAGCAGCTTTCAGCGATTCTCAACCTGTGGGTCCCCAGATGTTGTTGGACTACAACTCCCATCATCCCTGAGCTCTGGCCTTGCTAGCTAGGGGTGATGGGAGATGTTCAACATCTGGGGACCCACAGGTTGAGAAAGGCTGCAACTTGATTGTGTTTGCGGAAGTGTGTGTGTGTGTGGTGTTGCTTTTTATGTATTCCGTTTCTTACATGTCTTTCATGATAAGGTCCCAGGACAGGTTACATCAATTTAAAAATACAATATTAAAAACAGTTCAAAACAAGTTCCATGATACTATTGGATTCTATTATTTTAAGCAAAAACCATTGGTTAAACATTGGTCACCTTCACACCATACATTAAAAGACATGACTTCCCTCAAATAACCCGGGAACTGTAGTTTGCTAAGGGTGCTGGAAAGTGTAGCTGTGTAAGGGCTAAACTAGAGGTCCCAAGATTCTTTGGGTGAAGCCATGTGTTTTAAATGTGCCTTAAATATATTATGTGGATGTGGCCATTCTAGGGTGGCAGAAACTATACCAATACTCAAAATCCCCCAAGTGCATTTGTGACTTATCACAGTATTTCACTACACATCTGGGTTCAAGGACAGAAGCAGTCTGTAGAGGTCTCTAGTGCCTCTCCCCTCTCCCTGTCCCTGTTATTACTTGTGTGATCCTTAATCTCTTTCTTTGAACTGGGAGAGCAGAATGGCTAAGAACTGACCTGGGTCTGGGGCTCTGCTCAATGGACCTTTGATAAGACATCAGTGAGGATCTTCCTTTCCTTACTGGGTGCTCTAGTTCAGGCGTAGGTAAACTCGGCTCGCCAGATGTTTTGGGACTACAATTCCCATCATCCCTGACCACTGGTCCTGTTAGCTAGGGATCATGGGAGTTGTAGTCCCAAAACATCTGGAGGGCCGTGTTTGCCTATGCCTGCTCTAGTTGGTTAAGGAGCAAAGCTTCCAAGTCAGGAAGCACAGCTTCAGAGCAACCTTCAGTTCCCACTGCCACTACATTATTATTTTCCTATCAACTTAAGTTTGGGGACTTACTGGGATATTTTTGTGTTTTACTAACTTGTAGGATTCTGATGGTGCACATATTATTTTCATCAACACCATACAGAACCACCTCTCTGATATAATCACAAGAACTTTTATCAATATCACATTTGCCTGCCGATATCCTATTAATTATATGGTACAGCAACCTAATGGAGAAAATAAAATCAGTGTTGATATCAGGTAAGCCTGTTGCCCTTGTTGTTTTCTGTATACCAATATTGTGCCTGGATTAGAAATAGACAAATCTGTAAATTATGGTTTCTCATTTTTCCAATTCAGTTATCACCATTTCCAGATTAGTTTGTGATTTATTTATTTTTAAATCCACATGGACACATTTTGGCACACCATTTCCCCCGATATATGCATTTTTGCAAGCAATGTTCCCTAACATGATACATTTCTGTATTTCCCCCCACAAATGCAAGCATTTTTGTGTGCACTTTTCCATATCATGCAATATTTGGGCATGCTCTTTTGATTGCATAACTGCACTGTAATGTTTGGAGAAGTGTGAATTTTGAAAAGGAGCTGCATTTTGGTACACATATTGTTTGGGGAAGTTCAAATTACATATGTTCACATTTAAATACAAACTGAACTCATTTCGTCCTCCATCCCAAATCTGGATTAAAGTCACTTGAGAAGTATGCAGGCAATATTGGGTTAATCACTGCACTAAGTTAGCTGCATAAATAGTGTGCTCTGTTGAAGTTCCTTGAGACGAGTGGGGCTCTCTTGCTTAGAGCTCTTACTGTGTTTTCCATAGCATAGTTTCTGTGCATGAAAGGCAGGCATGCATCTAGTTAGGACAAGCTTATTGTTGGATCACCATACTTGGGAAACTTTCACTGGCTGAAAGCTTCTGCCTGTCATGCAGCTGGTCCAAGTCACAGGAGCTTGCCAGAAAAAAAGTTGCAAATTTACTTAAAAGGGTATCATCACCACTGGCTTCTAGAGCTGCTCCATTCCTTGCAACCTGATCCTAGGCATTTGTGTATAATACTGAAGTACCAGTATAAGAGCTCTGCAATGCCAGTGTTGCAGTTTCCATAGCTGGCCCAGGCCTCACCATTAGGCTTCCCTAGTAAATCATGCACACGTGTGTGTGTGTGTGTGTGTGTGTGTGTGTATAATGATGACAAATTATCATGCAAATTGTGTCATTTCAACATCTCCATCATATCTATTTGTCTTTGTTTGTGACAGGACCATTACACTAAATACAGAAGATGGAAATTTCTCTGTATCAATGATGCTGTACAAAGACCAGCATTTTGAAGACATGTGGACTACCATTCCCTTTCTGACTCTAGAGGACAACGTATTTGTCAAAGTGAAAATGGTACCTGGGGTTACTGAGTCCCTGATGAATCTGAGAGATGAGGTGTTGGATAGATAGCAAAGGCAACACACCTTCATCCCACCAGGCACAAGCCAAGATACATGGGGGGGGGGGGAGCAAAAGCAACACGAATCTGAGAACATTTTTGAATGTTACTATTTACTTGTGACTTACTTTATTATCATCCATTTGCAGGAGTGGGATTGGGAGATGATAATAAAATACATAATTTTTTTAAAACAGAGAATGAATTTCTTATCAAACATACGGTTTCAGATAGATAGGCCAATGGGAATAGGGATATCAGGAGCATTAGGGCTGAGAGCTAACAATATCCAAATTAGAGAAGCTACATTCACCCATAGGCCTCAGCCTTACTGTTCATGGATAAATCCTAACCAGGGGCCTGGGGAGGAATGAAGCAGCAGATCTACTTTACTGCTCTAGCACCAGCTAAGAGTGAAGGTAGAAGACCCCCCTCCCCATTTTTTGCCATGCCAGGAAATGGTATAACTCAGGGGCTTGAAATAAGGCCCCTCAGGGGACATGTGAGGAATTGGATCCAGGAGAACTAAAATTGTTGGCACCCACCCGCTACTCCAAAATGTCCTGATTTGGAGCTTACCATTTGCCACTGCTGGTGGGAGAAGCCAGCAGAGACAAACCTATACCCCATCCTAACACCACTCCCTAACACTGCTCATCCACCAACCTTGTGGGTGGGGTAGGCACTCTTTTTCTGTGCATGTATTTGGGGATGGGCAATGCAGAAGAGAAAATTGCTTGCAATAATCTGTATCTCTGGGAGAAAGGTGCACTAAAATACTGGTGGATTTTTGCAAGGACTAAAAAAAAAAAGATTTGCAAACTGATGCAGATCTGATATGCCAAGCTGAACTGAAGTCTGGAAAAATACGAAACAGAGAGAACCCAAAATTGACAACTTTGTCTAGCCCTAGTGACAGCTGCCTTCTATTTGTACCCAGCATCTAGTTGTCACGGTTTCTTGTTAGCGATCATGGCTGACAGTCATTGTTAGGCTCATCCTCCGTGTACCTATCTAGTCCTTTTGAAAGTTACTGACTTAAGAAACAAGAACCCTGTTTATGTTCTGTCTCTGCATTTGGCAGGTCCCAGGCAACTTAATCATTAGGCTTGAAAACTGCTGGTCTACCCCAACGAAGGATCCTGTTCATGCTGTCCAGTATTCTTTTATCAGAGACAGGTTCGTATCCCGCTTTGGTAAAATGGACAACTCATTCTGAAAACATATTGGGCTGAGCTTTCCATTTCATTTTAAAAACAAAGCAAAATGACTGCTGTGAAGGGGAGGCTGACCAGATGAAGTCAAAGCTGTGCTTCAAGAGTTGAGTGTAGGTATTATCAGCATCAGACTCATTGATCTCATTGTTGTTGAGAATACTAGAACACACTCTGAGGGAGACTGTAATGAGAATGCTAGTAATAACAAAAGGTTGCTTTGGTGAATGGTGCTGAATTTGACCTCTCCCCCTTACTGTTTCCTCTTCTCTTAAGCAAATGAGCCAGAGGCTTATTTTTCACAAATAGCAGGTGCCTTTGCATCCTTGTGCAGGCCCATCTCTCTTTATATAACAAGTAAATACATGTTTGTCCATATGTGCCTGTACCTCTAAAGCTGTACATGTAAACAGTATGATTTGAGTAAATCAGCCTTGAACAATGGCAGAATCCATAGCTTCAATGGTAACCCCAAGTACTTTGGCATAGAAGGTTTTTCTGACTTGTGAGGAGCAGGGAACCATTGGTCACACTGAAAGGGCTGGTAAAATGGAAAAAGATGCCCAATATAGATCTCTTTGATGCAAGAAATGCTCACAGTTGAAAAAGCATTCTAATAGTACTATACTTTTGAGTCAAGTACTTTGCACTAAGACTAGGTTTTTTCTAGGTAGTCTATCCATAATGTGTGTATTCATTTTTTGCAGAGATGCCAGCTTTTGATGTAATCATATATTTTTGGTTTTGTTCCTGCATAGCTGCCCACAATTTGTAAAAGATGAAACCCTATCAGTAATAACAAATGGAGAAGGCGAAGAAGCACTCTTCAGGATCCAAATGTTCAAATTTGTTGGCATCGCATACAACCATGTTTTCTTACACTGCACAGTTCAGATTTGTCATGGCACAACAGCTGCTTGCAAACCAGTAAGCTGATTTTTTTACAGGAAAATTTCACATTCAAATTTTGAATTAAAACTTTGCATTTTGCACTCAAAGTTGAGGCTATTTTTGTTCTGGTGTGTTACTGTAAAAGGAAATGAAAAGAAAATGCTAAAGATGGTATTTCCTTCTAGCAGCTGGACTCTGAATGGAAGGGAGCCTGGCTGGGGGGAAATGATTGGGGAGACTAGCTGTGAGGCAGAAAGAAGCACACAAGATGTTTCAATAGAAGCCCTTGTCTGCACATCGCTATTGAAGCCCCCTCATTGGTCCTTCAGAGTCAAGTATTTTCTGTTGTGCTGTTCCACTTCAATCCATGTGTTTCTGGAGTGTGTCACACATGAATATTCATCACATATCACTTCATCATTTTGTGGCAACTTTAAGAAATGAACGAGCTATCAGAGTACAGTACTCCGAAAGGGAAAGTCATCTTGAGATTAGAGTTAACTGTAGGAATGCTTCAAGAAAAATATGTTAATGTGTGCATTTAACAGATCCTGATATGTCAAAGCTAAGAAATTGAAAGTTTTTTGCAGCCGCCAATGAAGGCGAATTCTTAAAAAAAAAAAAGCTGACTGAACAATTGATTATCAGAAGCACTGGAGCTCATTTTTTTTATCTTCCTCTGTGCTTTTTCCCTCTTGCTACCAGAGCTATCGCTGCAGATAAAACTATCATTTCATAGCTTTAATTGCAGCCAGCTCATACAGCTACAGGTTATCAAATAATGAGCATGGGTGTATGACTCATCCAGTCTCTTTCTATCAGAGCTGGAATGATCCAATCAATATCCAGCATCACTATTTATTAAGGCAGTACTGGAAGCCTCCTGGGTTTGTTTTCCTGACCCAGAGTCTGTGACTTGGGAAGATCAGAATGGTTTCTGGAGTTGAGACAGAGAAGAGGTGGTGGAGGAATTCCTGTAATCTGGCATACAAGGATTGTTGTGGCTTCCTCCCCTTCCTGATTTGGAAGGTTACAACAGAGCATGCAATTGTCAGCGGGGAGTTTGGGGTTGGGTGGAGAAGGGCTATGGACGATAGTGCATGTACTGCTTTTACAGATTCCTGAACCACAGCCTTTCAAACACACAATGCAGTGTCATAGGAACATATCTGAAAAAGTGCTCAGTCCCAATGGCAATATAACTAGGTGACCTTTACTGGCAGTCAACTAGCAAATTATCTCTGCACTTAAAGCAGGGCTTTTTAACAGCTTTTTTAACAGATTTAACAGAAACAGTACAATATCCTGTTTCAGAATGATACTGTTCCTTAAAACTGCATCTCAGTCATCAGCTGGTAGGTGACTGAATAGTATCCTTGTGAATTATTTTAGAAAATAGATGCTTCTACCTTAGCAGCAATTGTCATTGTTCTGAAAAAACTCCAGAGAAGGATTTATTTTCCTAGTGCTATAATGAAAATGTCACTATACTTATATACTGAGAAAGGACAAAATGAAATCTGAAGTCAGTGTGATGCCTTGGATGGAGACAGTTATAATATCAGAGGCTAGCACTAGATGGCTTATAAAACAGTTCAGACCAATAACAACGGTGACTCTTATGCAAACAAGCCCCATTCAGTTCAATTTAAGAGTCTACAGTGTATGTAGAATGAGAGCTTTCTACAGAGTAGTAGTGTAGAGTTCCAAAATAGTGAGTCATGTGGCTCATAGGGAGTTTTCTGGTTAGTTCACTGTGGGACTTATTACTTGCTTGCTCAGAAAAGAGATGTGTAAAAAAAATAGGAGGAGACATTACATCTCAAATTCCTACATAACATAAAAGGAAGAAATGCTGTTCTGCTATTCCTTCTGGTTTCCATGTTGAGCAGTTTCTTCTGCAGTAAACCTTCAGTTCATCCACACACCCCTCTTTCTCTCTCTCACACGCGCACACACAATGCTTAACTTCCTCTAGTCATACCCATTGCCATCTTCTTCCTACTTCCCTTTGGGGATGGGCTATAGCTCATAGTTAGAACATATGTTCTGCATGCAAAAGGTCCCAGGTTCAATCTCTGGTACCTCAAGTCAGGACTGGGAAAGACGTCTGCCTAATACCTTGGAAAGCCACTGTCACTCAGTGTAGGGAGTACAGAGCTAGATGGGCCAATGGTCTGACTTGGTATATATATGTAAGGTTGCTACCTATGTTCCTATAGTGGATAGATTGCAAGAGATTGGTGGGTTACTCATCTTTATGATTCTAATAGTCTGGCATGGTGTGTTAAGCAACTTTATGATTGAACATTCATACATGTCCCTGCATATCACCCTTCAGTACTTGAGTTGGAAAACTTTGGCAATGTACTTATTAGTTTGTTAGACACCCTAAATTCCTGGCTCCAGTAGGTGTTATCAAGCCGCCTGAACCCCTGGATCCAGCAAGGGTTAAAATCTAAGCCAGGCCAGTCTCCTGATGTGGCAACTGGCTGGGAGATTAAGAAAGCAAAAGGAAGGTTGTTTTTGTTTAGTCATTTAGTCGTGTCTGACTCTTCGTGACCCCATGGACCAGAGCACGCCAGGCACTCCTGTCTTCCACTGCCTCCCGCAGTTTGGTCAAACTCATGCTAGTAGCTTCGAGAACACTGTCCAACCATCTCGTCCTCTGTCGTCCCCTTCTCCTTGTGCCCTCAATCTTTCCCAACATCAGGGTCTTTTCCAGGGAGTCTTCTCTTCTCATGAGGTGGCCAAAGTATTGGAGCCTCAGCTTCACAATCTGTCCTTCCAGTGAGCACTCAGGGCTGATTTCCTTAAGAATGGATAGGTTTGATCTTCTTGCAGTCCATGGGACTCTCAAGAGTCTCCTCCAGCACCATAATTCAAAAGCATCAATTCTTCGGCGATCAGCCTTCTTTATGGTCCAGCTCTCACTTCCATACATCACTACTAAGAAAACCATGGCTTTAACTATACAGACCTTTGTTCGCAAGGTGATGTCTCTGCTTTTTAAGATGCTGTCTAGGTTTGTCATTGCTTTTCTCCCAAGAACAAAAGGATGGTAATAGCCCAATAAGAAAGCTATGGAGAAGGGGTCTGTGCCAGAAGGCAAGTGGGCAGGGCCCCTCCTCCAACTCCTAAATAGATAGTGAGAAGACAAAGGCAGAGTTGGAAGTAGAGTCTTTAGAGTTGGCTGTGACATGACCAAGGGAGAAAAGTTAGAGAGCTATGGCTGATATTGATGACATCCAAGGCTGTAGCTATAGGAGAAACAAGACCATTTTGGGGTGTTAATGTTGTGGGCCCATCCATTGCAGGCTCGGGTTCTATATATGTGTAAAGGACCCATATAAAGACACTAGTTTTCGCATTGTCTCATATCCAAAAGGACACACAGAACCTAGAACCCCTGGAATCTTGTAGGTAAGAAAAGGTAAAGGGCCCCTGGATGGTTAAGTCCAGTCAAAGACAATATGGGATGCGGTGCTCATCTTGTTTCAGGCCAAGGGAGCCGCCGTTTGTTCAGACAGCATTCTGGGTCATGTGGCCACCATGACTAAACTGCTTCTGGCGCAACGGAACACCATGACAGAAGCCAAAGCGCACAAAAACGCTGTATAGCTTCCCATCACAACAGTACTTATTTAACTACCGGTACTTGCACTGGCGTGCTTTCGAACTGCTAGGCTGGCAGAAGCTGGGACAGAGCAAAGGGAGCTCACCCCGTCATGGGGATTCGAACCACCGACCTCCTGAGCAGCAAGCCCAAGAGGCTCAATGGTTTAGACCACAGCGCCACCCACTCCCAGAGATTGGGGTGGCATGTAACAATACCTTTTATTCTGATTGGCAAATTATATTCTAAGTAGCCTTTTACCTAACCAAATGGGAATTTACTTGTAATCCTAGGGTTTCTTATTGTGCACTACGGTACTTTGATAATCACTTTAGGCTCACACATATTTACTAGTTTGCATTTTTTCTAGAACTGCACAGATGACAGTCTGACCAGAACTAAAAGAGAAGTCCCACCCTTTTCTAGTCACATGGTATCTTATGGCCCTATAAAGCGAAAGGTGGCAGATAATGAAGAGACTAATGTTGGTAAGTGGCTAAAAAAGTGCATGCCTTAAAATATAAATCTTCAATAGAGTTACAGAGAACAATAGTGGTTCTCTTTTGCAGCATGCAAATGTCCAATCTAGTAGAATAAAGATAATGGATGGAATTCAACATCATGCTTGATGAACATCCTCCCTAAACAAGCTTTTCAACTTACCAGACAGAACCACCCACATTCCCACCCCCGTGCACTGTTTTGGGGGGATGTGGGGAGGAGATGGGGGGAAACCTTATTGAGTAAGCAGAAACCTTTGTGCAAAAATTGAAAAACATCAATTAAACAACATCAATTAAAAATCCTAAGGCTAATAATATAAGAAGTGGTTCATCCTCCATTCCCAGAAGAATGACTTTAAACACACTGAAAACTCACCTAAGTGACTGGCCAGTAAATGTGTATGTCTGCAGGTTCCGTATTCAGCATCTCCAGGGAAGGCGAGTCGGCAAAGACCTTGGCCTGTGATCCTGAAGAGCCATTTCTAGTCAGAGTAGACAATACACTGGGCTAGATGGACCAATGATGAGCACAATGCAACTTCATGCATTTGTAGCAAACATCTCAGATCAGGATATTCCCCTCTTGCTGCCATCTGGTGCAGATGAAATCCACGTTGCTGCTCTGTTTAAAGCAGCATGCAAATGCAATTCAAAGTTTTATAATGGTTAACATTATTTCACACATTAGATTTGGTGCGAAAGTATTAACTTTTCTGGAAATCGTTCTGCTTTCTTTCAGACAGAGGAAAACTTCTACCAGTAGACATTTTGATCCTTAGTGGAATTCTGATGGCTGTACTGGTGACAACTGTAGTTTTTGGAAACCTTTTTCTTCAGTCACGGAGGACCTACCCTACTATGCAAGCACAACTAACAATGTCCCGTTTTCTCAACTCTGAAGTACCATCATGATTAACTGTTCCCATATATTTACATATTCTATAGAAATCTACTGATATTTTTATCTAGCTACAAGTAAAGATTACCCAAAGTAGGTAAATAATAAATGTAAGTGAACCTACAATTTGAAGACCACTTCAGATGTGAACTGTCTTCTCAACTTCTCATGCACAAAAAATGCCCTGAAGATTGTATATATGTGTACATTTTGCTGTGTTCATGCATGTTCTGATGGAATGCTTCTCAGTATAATCGCTGGGTGAGTGTGCATGACCATGGATGAGTGTGTGCTCACTATACTTGATGAGCTGGATGCTGATTGCATTTTTTTCTTCTTCAGAAAAGTGTTATCTATGTAAGAAATTTTTCATGCTTGAATAGCCATTCCTCCATTACATACGTTAGATACATGCCTCTCAGGAAAAGCATTTATTTTCTGAGATTCCCCCTCCCCCCATGGAAGCGGTCAACTTCAGCTGTCATTTCATTTTTAATGAATGTTATAGGTATGATCTATTGCTCAGACACTCAGATGAAAACTACGGCTTTCCTACTGTTTGCTATGAAATGGCTTATGTTGCTATTAATTGCTATCAATTGTCCTCAATAAGCAAAGCATTGTTTAGTAGCAGAAACTGGTGAAATTGTGTGACCCTTCTTCCCTTTACTCCTTTCTCCCCTCTGTGCTGCATCAAAGAGTTATGGCACAATTCTGCAAGTGCAGTACTTGCTAATTTTATGAACTGTTAAGATTTGTCTGAGCTACTTATAATAGAATTGTTTCTGAATAAACACTGATCTGCTGCTAAAAAGTTTGTAATGCTGAATGAAACAAGACCTTATTTCCCTGACTACAATATTTATCACAACCTCCAGAAAGGTAGCCATGCTCCCTCTGTAGCAGCAAAAGCAACAAAAAGTGGTGAAGATTAACTGTTAACATCTTACTGTGACAACTACAGCAGTATGCTGTATATCACTCATATAAACCCACTATTTTCTCAAGTCCAAGTTGATGCTACAAATAATACCTTTATCAAGAATTTAGCTAAGCAGAATGTAAGCACAACACAGACGAAATTGTTCTGGATTCTCCTGTCCACAGGTTCCAGAAGAAATGGATCCCTTCAGTAGTAAAAGGGGTATGCCCCTTTGTCCTGTGTGTGCATGCTTTGATCCCAGTTCTGTCTCCACAGCCCTTCTGATGGCAGTGAGCTCCAGCCATCTTTACCACCAATCTTCAAGATGCCAAGGAGAAGGGGACTGGGCTTTATCAGCACAATACATTTCTTTATAGCTCAGCAAGTCATCATGCAACTATAATTTACAGCAGCCATTCCATCAGACTCCAGGGGTCTGCTAAAAGACCAGCAATGTTTGGCTCTTCTTGAAATTCTTCTATTCCAACTGGTCATTACAAGAACTCTGCATTTAAGAAACAGTGCTTGAGTTTTCTTTTTTCGAACTCCCTCTCAAATTCTTTTCTTTTTGGGATAAAAATGATTTAAATAAATAAATAACTTGTGGACCTCCAGACATTGTTGGACTCCAACTACCATCAGCCCCAGCCAGCATGGCCAATTGTCAGATATGATATCCAAAGGACCACCCTTGTTTTATAGGTTCCCTAATGCAACATATATTCTAACAAGGTGCTGGCAAATGGGTGAAACAGATTATTCTCTAATAATAACCGGTACTTTAATATAATAAATATCATAATCCTAACAGGATACTTTACTCAGTCACATAAAAACCCAGCTGCGCATATTTGCAAATGAAATTTGGTATCTTCTGGGAATAAAGAAGAATCTCATTTATTTGAGGAACATTTGCTCAACTGCAAATAGTAACTAGAACAAGTAGTAGTAGCAATTCTACAGAAGGAATACAAATGCAGATTGTAGAATAGCAACAGAAAATATGGAGGAACATACCCTCAGACCATAATAGCTAAATTAGCTAATGCTTCAGACATTTCGACAATCGGCACACACAAAAGATGCACAAATTAGTTTTGCTTCCAAGTAACATGAAGGAATCTGTACATCTTTTTGTGTGTGACTGTGATCCACATCCAAGCCCAGCAAGGCCAAAAGCCTCTCATGTCCAGGGACATATCTTTGCCAGTTTTGGATATGATTACTGTACTGTATTTCAAAGTAAGGAAATGACACCATCAACAAACAAGGTGTAATGATAGTAAGCAGAAATCCAAGTGCCCTGTAAGTGGAGATAAGAGGTTCAGAAAAATACCAGCAAAGAATTGAACCCTATGACAGCAGCCTTCACCCCAGAATCTTTCAGTAGCAGAATAGTGGAAAATGCAATAATGCAGAAAAGTGCCTCCGTCAGAGTGCCTACACAGTGCAAAAACAGCCATTGAAAATAGTGAGGACAATGAAGAGGTACCATGTAAATTGTCTTTTATTCTTATATTTTTACTATGTGGCAAGGTAGGTAGATCTGTCAAACTCTTGAAATAATAATAGAGAAACTTGAAGCAGGGCAGACCTTCCCCCTTGCCCGCAGGTACCACCATGCCACGGGCCTTATCTGGCAGAGGAAAGGACTTTTCCTTTCGCACAGCATCGCTATATATCCCATTGCATCTGCATGCAGTGGAATGATGATGATGATAACAAAATAAAACAAAACTATTCCCGCAGTAGTTGCTTGCACTCCTCCGGGGCCATTATCCTCCGGAATAGTAACTTATACTAGTATTGTAAGTTAGCATAATTCCCGGAGATAATGGCCGCGAATAAAATGCAAGGCGCCCTTGTATTTTACAATAAGGGAGAGCGACGCGGAGGTGTCGCCGGACTCCGGGATAACCTCGGTCACGCTCCCCCGGTGGGAAGCTCGCTTCCCTTTCGCTGCGTCACCGGCGCTGCCGGCCGCAAGGACTCCCGTTGCTCCTCCTCCCTCCTCCTTTACGACACCCGCTCCCCCCACCGCCACCGTGCAGCTGAGGAAGAGAACGCGCGCGCGCGCGCGCGAGCGAGCGGCGTAGCCGGAAAGCGCCGCTGCGAGCCTGCTCAGGCAAGTCCCCCGCCCCACCCCTCACCGGAACCGGATCGAATCTTCAGGGCGTCCGGGGGAGCGGCTGCCTCTCTCGACTGCTCCTCTCTCTTCCTCCCTCCACGTTCGAGCTGCTTTACGCGCAGGAGGCGGGAGAGCGACCGAGCGGTGAGTCTTACGTGTGTGTGTGTGTGTGAGAGAGAGAGAGAGAGAGAGAGAGAGAGAACACGGACGCGGGACGGGACGCGTCTTGAGGGCTTTTCTCTGTCTGTCTGTCTGTCTGTCTCTTCTCCCCTCGGTGGGCTCGAACTACGGCTGCTGCTGCTGCTCCCTGCCGGCCGACAAGTAAACAAATGGCGGCTGGCAGGGAGGTGGGTCGGTGCGTGGTGTGGAGCTGCGGGGTCCCCCTCTGGCTCCTGCCCGAGCAGGACGGGCCCGGCCTGGTCTGGGGCGGTCAACCCACCTTCTTGCAGGGCTGTGAAGCGGGGTGGGAGTGATGGTGGTCGTCGGGGGCCGGAGGGGGGTGGCAATGACTGGCTGACAGCTGGCGCGGTCCTTTATGAGGAGGCCCCGGGAGGTGCTTTCCTTGGGGCAGTGGCGCTGCTGCTTTTGGCCTCCCCCGTTGTGTTTAAAGACGGGTCTCAAAGGAGGGTAGGGGTGGGTGCCAGGGAGGGAGGGGGAAGAGACGCCTGTGGCGCTGGCTCCTTCCCTTCTCTTCGCTGCCCGCCCCTCCTCTTCTCTCTTTCCCCTTCGGTGTAGATGGAAACAATGGACAGAGGGGAATGGACCGCCTCCTCCTTGAGCCGATTACTTAGCATGGCTACGGCAGTAATATGCGGAGCTGCTCAACCACACACACAACACACACGCAGACGCCCAGCTCCCAGTGGTCAGAAAAGCCCTATTGTGAGTTGGTGCGGCTGCTGCAGGGCATCGTCCCCGCCTCAAGGGAAGGTGTTACACAAATTAGTACAGAGAAGCGTGTTCGATTCACCGGCGGGGATTTCCCTGGGTTCCTATATGGGTGTGTGTTAAAAATAAATGGTTAAATGCAAGGGCAGTTCTGCCCTAGATGACTTGGCTCCATTGAGGGTTGTCCTGTGGTTAAGCCTGAGCCTTAAAAGGAGACGGCATCGTTCCCTATGTTAAACATGTGGGAGGGAAGGAGTATGGCTCTGCCTGTCACTTGTTATAAGGAAGAATACAACACAATGGAAAGTGGTATTGATTCTTGGAATAGCTTCTTCTTGAAGGATCTTTGCCTACATATCTAATATGGAAGAGTCTGTAATAATCAATCGCCTATTGAAAATGAATGGATGGGTATAATGTTTTGTAAACGTTTGTAAGCTGAAAGCAGAATGCAGTAAAAGCTACAGTTTGGGAAAGGAGACATTGTAGTAATTGTGAAATAAGAGAACTTTGTCAGATTTTTGAAAAGACATCAAACAGTGACCATAGGGACTATTGTTCAGAGAGGAATATGAACACTACTTTAGTTCTCTCAAAGAATTTCCCTGTCACATTTTGTTGGCATCTACTGTAACAGTACAGTTTGTTGATTTTGTGCTACGTAGTAAAAAAAAAAAAATTGATAGTGAAAGAATATAGTTGGGACTTGAGTTATGCTGTAGTATATGGCTTAAGCCTGAACTTTAAAAGAGTGGTGGGGGATAATCCTGTAATAAAACATTATCAAATGTGAAATTCTTTAAGCGACATGGTTTGTATATGTATCTGATAATTCTTATTTTATCTGAAATAAGTTGTTACAATTGTAAGCAGCTCTTTGAAAATAAGTCTTAGAGTCATTCAATATTTGAGGTTAGGCACTGAACTTCTGTATTCACAAACTTTAACCTTTTCCTTCACCTTTTCTCTACATTATTTTAGGTGCAATCAAGGGGTGCAGATGTGGTGACTGGGTGGATAACATAATATGTATGTGCTTAAGCAAGCTTTGAGGCGGCTTCCTATTTTTACATACTACTTTAATGTCTCTTAAATATGCAGTACTTCCAGAGTTTTCAGAAATTACATAGCTTTGGAAACCATATGGAGAAACTATTGCCCAGCTGTAGTACATTAAGCCATTAGATCTGTGAAGCTGTTTCTGAAAACACTTCAGTCCCAACCACATTTTTCGAGATTAAGCCCATTTGATTTTAAAGGAATTTACTATATTAAATAGCAATTCATGGGCAGTAACACCTCAGGGTGGGGGTTCTCTCCACATTATGTCATACATCAGATTATATTCCCAGTCTAGAAACTGTAACACACAGCTGCAGGCTATAGACATGCTGCTCTATGCAACGAGCTTTGTGTTGAGCAGAGCTTGGGTGCTGACAGCTCTTGCTGAGAAAGAGAAGACTATTGGTGTCTGGAATCTGTTTCCATCAGACCTAACCACACTGACCATCTGTTCAAAGCTGCATGTGTTTCTCCAATCCAGCAAGTAGCAGCAAACTTTACAGCTATTGAAGCTGGACGCAGATTTTTCTCTGTGCATCATCTTTTCATCTGTCCCCTAGGCCCCAATTTAGAACTCTATTTCTCTAGGTGCAGATGTTAGAACAGGGCATAGCAGCAAAAGCAACCCAGCATATCTAGTAAACCAGTACAGTATCTTGCTTTTAAATTAAATCCAAAGTTTGAAAGTATCAATTGAGCTACAGATATTTAAAATTAAAATAAATAGGTACAAAACACACTCGGTGTCCAGAACCATGATGAAGGAATGTAGGCAGTATTTGCATAATTGTGAAATATTGAAAACACATTGCCAGGTGTTTTAGCTACTAGCATTTTGAGAGAACTAACCACTTTTATTATATTTTAATCTAAATTTCATAAGCACCCTTAATTTTTATCAAGTGAAAACTAACAATACTATTAGCATAAGCTGTAAATGTATGGAACAGCGTAGAATATATAGATATACCTGAAGGAACGTCTCCATCTCCATTGTTCTGCCCAGAAACTCGGGTCCAGCACTGAGGGCCTTCTGGCAGTTCCTTTACTGCAAGAAGCGAAGTTACAGGGAACCAGACAGAGAGCCTTCTTGGTAGTGGCACCCGACCTGTGGAACGCCCTGTCATCAGATGTCAAAGAAATAAGCAACTGTCTGACTTTTAGAAGACATCTGAAGACAGCCCTGTTTAGGGAAGCTTTTAATATCTGATGAATTATTGTATTTTAATATTTTGTTGGAAGCCGCCCAGAGTGGCTGGGGAAACAGCCAGATGGGCAGGTTATAAATAAATTATTATTATTATTATTAATCTTAAAAAGAAGGCATTAATAAATGGGTGGCTATACACCGCAAGATGCATGAAATAGCCTTTACTACAGGGATGGGGAACATGTTGGGGGGTTGAGAGCTTCAGTGGGAGACCTGTTGGAGTTGCATTTGGGCAGGAGCACAGCCAAAACCAAAAGGAGGTGGGATCTGAATATTCAGTTAAATAAATTGTTTCAGAAACCCCTACCCTTGAATATTAAAACTAAGATTAGAGAATTAATGTTAACACAGGCATAAGTCTGATAGTGCTCCCTGATATCCTTATTTTGATATTTGCTTTCTTTTGTTTGTAACTATATCCACACTACTTCCTTAATGGTTTTATTACTGCCATTTGCCACTTCCCTTTGTTTGTATTTTTATTCCTTTTATTTGGCATGTCACACTTCCATGTTTGTGTCCATTCATTCCCTCCCTACATTTTAAAATTACTTTTGTTTTCTTGAGCTGTTTCCTTTCGTTAATTATGAGGTGGGAAGGGGTTTATTTCCCCCCTCTCCTTTGCAAAACAGACATGTCCACTATCTGATGCTCTTAATTCGAGAGCAACAGCAGGCAACCATAAAGTACACAAGACAGACTGCACAGTAGACTTTCAACCAGATGTGCTTATGGTCAGAAGGAAACACAATAGCAAGGGGCTATAGGATCGGCACTGAGTTCGGTGCTGCAGTGCAGAAGATGAAAATAAAGTTATGGGTGACCGAAAAGGCAAAAATAAGGTTATAATGCACTGGTGGGGTAAATTTAGCAGTGGAGGTAGAGGGCAACCAGTTGAATGCAGATTTCTTTCCTATGTATAGTTACAGCTATCCTGGGTTTTATTTTGTACATTTATTTGGTGGTCCAGGCTCAATCTTGCAAACTCTGGCTGTTTCTAAAAATGTTATTTTGAGAAAAATGAACCTCTTCCTTTTCTAAATTTATGTTAATTTCTAGACGTAATGTTTGACAAATTGTGTATAAAATACTATGTCCTCAGTGTTGTGTATAAAACAATATGTCCTCAGTGTCTCAGATTCCAAGCTACATACGTGGCTTCTTTAGGGCAAGTGCAACTACAGAAATTAACAATTGGCAGACTGTAGTGTAATGTGTGTGGTAGATTTCTCACCCAATCCTAAAGCTGAATGTTTCTTTTAAAGATTACCTTTGTATAAACACAGTACTGTGCAAAGCTATAATCCTTAAATTCAAATAGAGATGAAACGTCAATTTAGTTGTAGCATTTAACAGAGAAGGAAAAATTTCATCTATAGGTCAGGTATTTTCAGTGTTGATGTTTTAGAATAATGTCATGGATCATTGACAATTTGTACTAATTACAGAAGTGACTATTCTTAAGAGTCCAGAGTTTCACAGAAACCTGGCCAGATCCTAAGGAAGACCTCTTTCCCAGTGCAGTGAACTGGATGATAGTCTTGGACATTTGCAGTCTGTGCTCCTCTGATGTTTGCCTCATCTTGCTTCATGCTTCATCATGACTCCTGTGTTCCAGTTCCTGTTCAGAGATGCTTATAATTATGGCACATGACTAGTAAGAAAATCTAGGCCATGTGGTGTAATTGGGAGAGGAGAAGGCTGAAAATTTCTGGAGCAAACTGCAAAGCCTATGGTGCCTGAAACCAAATGAGGGCTTGGGTATTTGGCTGGAGAGCAAAGGGCCCTCAGGCTACAATCATAACATTCTATGGATGCAGTTTAAAAACCTGGAACTTACACACAGCTATTCTTGACTTCATGGGCTTTTTTGACATTTAAGTGATCAATTGTTTTCCCCCAACTCTAGAACAGTTGTTGGACTCTTGAAGAGAACCCTCTCCCATAAATGTTTCATACGCTACTTCTGCACAGCCTGCTATATGTGAGGAGAAATGTGCAGAAATGTATTACACATTAAATTTGACTCTTTGCTTTGGTTCCTATGCTAATTTAACCAGGTAGTGCTTATGTGTCTGATCTAAGTTCTTTTTCCTGCTATGTTTGTGTAACAGCCTACTATACCAAGTACTTAGGAAAATAAAGCATGTGATAATGAAAGCGGATCTGTCAGAAAGATACTTTTTATCTTTTTAAAAAAGATATTTTTAAAACAATTATGTTTACTGAGACATTAAGAAAATTAGTTATTCTGAACTGCCATCTCAAAGTTAAACATTTGTAATGAAATGATTGTAATCTAGTAATAAACTTAAAATTCTAATTGAAAATAGTGAAATAAACAGAATCCTACATCGCCTAAAAAGCAAAGACAGAAAAATAAAATTAGATATTTTATCCCATGCTTTGCTTGACTTGTGTGTAGTATATGTATGTGCAATAATAAGGAATTTATTGCCTACTTTTGAATGTGCTAAATATTGTAAAATAATTGAAAGTCTATTGCAGAAATATTTCCATTGTACATGAATTTATAGGCTACGGTAACAGTAACAAACAATATGCTATGATTTTCTTCCTGCCACTTTATTGGCCAGACACTGAAATTAATTACAGTTTCTGGAGGCAAGATAGAGGGTTTGTAGTATCAGCTGTACCAATAGTCTTAAGGTATGTAAATTTAGAAGGCCAGACATGCTAAAAAGATATTTGAAATGGGAAAGCAGAGCTCACATTGGGATAGGGGATTGAGATGTTCACAGCAGTGATCCCAGCTCAGACTTTAAAACTGAACATTAGGAAGAGGAAAGGAAGAGGATGATGAAAGGTGCTCATGTGGAGCTCTCAGTGTGATGTAATTTTGATCTGATTTCTGAAAATGGACAGAAATAATTTAGAACTTTTATGCAATATTTTTGAGCAATTGATTTTACAAACTAATCTGAAATACTACTTACTGTTAGGAGGCTACAGCACATTAGTTTTGCAATCCTGAATTTACACCTGTTTATGAACTATGATTTGTGAGGGGCTGCTAAACTCATATCAGACCATACATTGAACTGATGCAAGTTTCCACAGTACAGCTTGGGCTCACTGTGATTTGCTGTTACATCTGAATTCAGAACCACACTTCCATGGTTCTGTCTCAAGAGGCTTGCCTCATGGAGGTGGGAGTAAATTTATGAACTTGTGAAGTTGAGTTCTAAGCAGATGAAAAACACAAGAAGACAAGCAGCTCTAAAGCACAGCTTACTTGTTCTGAAAGTGCAAACCATGGTGTAGGGTACATTCTGAGTTGCACCTAACACAAACCAGAATGTTTGATGTCTCAGTTAACCAATTAGTAAGAGATTACCATATCACCGACTTTTAAACAGTTATCTTAGTGTACTTTATTAAATGTATGAAACGGTTGAAAAATACACACTGACATGTTAAAATTCCAGTGTTCAAAGTTTAAAGTGTAGCTATAGTAACTGGATACACAAGAAGCAGAGAAGGAGTTGAATTACACTTTGAATACCAAGAGCTTTCTATTTCAAGTCATTATTATGCTCTTAGTTGTTCATACAAACATTGGTCATCGGGTTGTTTGCTACAGCTGGAATTTTAGTTTTGGCAGCAGACGTTCCAAACACACTTTGAGAGCTCTAGTCAGCTGATTGTAGTATGTACAATAACATCAGGTGATCTGTACCTTCTGAGAGCAGTGTACATCTCACCAGAACTGTGTGTATTTTTAGGTTTCTTGGTTGGTAACAGGCAAGCACGCATACTTCAACATCTCAGATGAACTGAACCCAGTTGCTGACATTGCCTAATCAGAAATGAGCAGCTGTTCTGCCTAGGTTTGTTCATTAGTAAGAGACCAGTATATCAGAAGCTGTTATCTTACCGTACTGATTGGTCAATAAGAGTGGGTTTTGGTGAGCAAGTGTCTAGGAGCAGGTTGAAATATGTTCCCCATGTTTTTTTCACCAGAATTGCAGTTCAACCACCTTGCTCTTCCAAGTGAATGTAGTGTAGTTAGTTCTATGAAAAATAATACTTTGAATTGTCAGAATTTTAAAAGGTACGGTGTTGGCACTTGCAGGTTTTGCAGGCTTTTCCCCTAAGATACCAGTGCTGGCACCCAACAAAGAGGGATTGGGAGGGGAATTCTTGGAAAATAATGCACAGGCATTGTGTGCATGCTTGCTTTAAAAAGAACTGAAAACCTTGTAACACTTCGACCACAGCATCAAATAAAACAATCCAAAATAAAACATCACAGGAGTATACAAATATAAAGTATACATTCAAAGGAACATAATTAACAGGAAACTAAAATATTCTCTTAAACATTTAAAAAGAAAACATTACTAAAGGAAGTCAAATATAAAATGCACAATTAGCATAAGAATAAAATATTATCATAAGCCTAGAAGATATCTGCTGCTGTTGCTGCCAATCCTGGTTCATGGTGAGCAGCTACTGGAAGCTGAGGCTTGATGACCTAGGTCTGCACTAAGAGGTAGCCAAGATGGTCTCTGGCCTCTTAAGCAGCCTCAGCTTTCGTAGCTAGAGTCCATCAGGGCCCCACCAGGTGGAAAAAGGCATGGAACATGTCTTGCAGGACACTCAGCCAAAAGTCCTGCAATCTCTGCTCCTGAACCAGCATACAAAATTATTTTTATTGGTAGATCTGAGCTAAGGGCATTGGTTAACCTTTTCCCTGTCCATCACCACATAAATTTCTCTCTTCTACATCAATATGTTGTTTCCTTTCCTTCTTGTTCCAGTGTGCTTTCTTTGTGTTCTTACTTCTTGATCACTTCTGTTTCTCTCTCTATATAACCCTTCCCGTTTCACTATTAATGCAGTGACCTGTAACAGCTTCTACTTGCTATTCTTTGAAAGTACTTTCTGACTTCTAGGAATTGGAATAATATTTGTCCAACCTTGTTGTCAAGGCTGCCTCAAGTCTTAGCTCACAAAAGACCAACGCCTACGTCTTCTTGTATACAAAGGTGTTTATTGCAGTTCATGGTTTGCTTGACATCCTAGGCGCGCAGCCTTACGTCTCTTACGCTAGACCGCCGAAGTCCCCTCTGAGTCAGTCCCTCCTCTGCACCAATTTAAGAGACTTGCGCTGCTCCACCTCTTTCTCTCCTTCCTTTTCCGCAGGGTCCTTCTGCCCCCTGGGGTTGCGCCCCTTCTGGATTCCTCTGACGCTGAATCCCCAGACTGCTCTTCCCCCCCTCCTGCGGGCTTTGGGACCTGGCCCCTCCTCCGGGCTCCCTGCACTTCCGCGCGCCTCTACATTTGAACTAGGCGCGCGCGCCAAACCTCTAACTCTCCTTTGACAGTTACACTACTCCCTTCACTGCTCCCTCCTTCCCGGGAGGGCGGCTTGCTCTGACCCCCTCCTTTCTCTGCTGCTGGAGCTGCTTCCTCTGACACACTGGAAACTCCACCCCTTCGCTGCACTTTGGTGGGGAGGCTGGTCCTGACGCCCAGCTGCCACTTTGGGATCCTCCGCTGGCACCCTGCTCCTGACACTTCCCCCTGGGGCTCCCTGGCCCTGACCACCGGCGCCCTTCTGGGAATCCTCTGATTCGCTGGAAAGACTCATGGAATCCCTTGAGTCATTGTCATCCTCTTCCTCGCTGGCTTGGAATTCCTCCCCCTCGCTCTCCATCTCCTGCCTACCCTGTGCCTCTCTCTCTGAACCCCTGACACTTGTAAATTATTTTAAATGCACGCTTTTCAGAGGTGGAGTTTTAAAAACAATTTTTAAATTATGCATATAATTCATTTTGAGATAGAATCATAGAATCATAGAGTTGGAAGAGACCACAAGGGCCATTGAGTCCAACCCCCTGCCAAGCAGGAAACACCATCAGAGCACTCCTGACATATGGTTGTCAAGTCTCTGCTTAAAGACCTCCAAAGAAGGAATAGAATGTTGATAAATAATAAAATATTGGTATAAAAAAGAAAATTCTACAGGTCACAGTTTATGGACAGAGTTCAAATATGATGTTTGAGTAGCATTTATGGGATTTACTGTCACATGCACTGAACTGAAACACGAGATCATCACATCTGACTGTGGAAACTGGTTTAGTACCTGGATTACCAGGAATTAAAATATTACAACTATGAAAAGAACGGCATGGTACTGCATTGTGAAATACCAACAAAGCACTGCATTCTATTATCAGCTGTCTGGTGTTCTATAATAACTTACCTGGATGCTAAGTATATTTACTTTCACATATATTTCTTTATTTGAATAGCACTTACTTCCATGGAAATGTGCTTTGAATTGCAATATTGAAAATCATAACAACAGTTTATATGCCCACATATTTTGTAAAACCCCAGTGACTTATTTGTTAAGGGAGTAGTGGAGTTTAGAACAGAAAAGTGTAAGAGTGTGTGTGTGTGTGTGTGTGTGTGTGTGTGTGTGTGTACATGCTTATTCCATTCTGTGCTTACTGCTTCTGAAGCAGCTTCACAAAACACAGCTAAGGTGCATTGGTATATAACAGGCTGTTTCCACAGTTGATTACAATGTCCACACATGGACAACATCTACTTCTCTGCTAGTCTAGCAAAAAACTTGCCTTGTGAAAGAATGTTAATAATTTTTAAAGTTTACATTGGTGTTAAGAAGATGTGTGTGTGTGTGTGTGTGTGTGTGTGTGTTTTCTAATCAAGTCAGTGTACTATAATTCAAAGGTTGATATTATTTTTAAAAAATTAACTTTACTGAAAATGATTTGTTACAGGAAAAAATCAACCTGAACTCTATTCCAGCAATAACAAACTGGTAAGTAAGCTCTTATAACAAGGGGGCTGGAGGGCGGGGGTGGGGAAATACATTGAATGGGAAAACTAATGGTGGGGAAACTTCATCAGATATGCTGCTATCATAATTGGATGCTTTCAACCATAAGAGTTTATCAATTTTGTAGTTCTTGCAATAGATGTAATTAGCAGTGTAAGTCACTGAATTTTCTCACCTCATAAAGGGGGAAAGGGATATGATAACGCATAGTTTCTGATATCTGATTCTGTTTCTTCCTAGTTTCCTTAGCTGTGGGATTATCCTCGTCTGCATATTATACGGATGGAGTCTACACACAAAAGTCTCATTGCTCTGCTGCCCCTTGGAAGGTCTTGATTTGGTGAGACAGTTTTCCTGTTCATAGGGATGTTCAAAACCAGTACTGAACCACTTCTTGAGCAAGCGAAGATAGAGCTGAAGCTTGAAAAATGACGTCTTGCTATTTTGGTTGCATTTATAAGTAGCAGAATTTGCTCTAAGGCCTGGTGTATTTGAATGGCTTGTGAGCTGAGGAGTTCTTGCATTTGTTGCAAGTTCACTAGTGGCTTTAGCCAAGCTGATTTTTATTTATTTAAAGCATTTTTATCCCACTCTTCTGCCAAAAGGGCTCCTGGAGTGGCTTAGAACTAGAAAACAATCTTACCCAAGGACCTACAATCCAAAACAGGGATGGGGAGCTTTTCAGCCCAAGAGCCACATTCTCCTCCATGTGAACCTCATGCCAGTGGTGGGCAGGGCCAGAGACAAAAATGAGCAGGGCAATGAATGTGAATTTTACCTTTGTACCAGTAGGTTAGTTTCTACACACTTGCACACCCCTCCCTTTCTTATCTAGGACCAGGTAGAGAGGCCTGAGGTTCCCTGTCCTTGATCTAAAAATGCATGGCACAGAAGGCAAAGAGATTGAGAGGGAGGAGGAATAAAATAAAAAAAGGAAAATTCTACTAATTCTTAAGTTCCTGAATCCCTTTGGGGTGGAGCTGCGTTGAATGATTAGTACCCACCTTGGATTATCTGAAATAGGCTTTTTAAAAGTTAAGCTGAATTTTGTGCATACATTGTCACAATTTTCATCTTTGGGCCTGAATATTTTTAAGTATTGATGAAAAGAAAGCAGTTACCTTATATGGCTCTCTTCTTCGTGTGTGGTGTCTGCACGGTTTTGGAGTAAGACCAAGTGTGATTCTTTACTGCATCTGTTAATTTCATCCTTGAATGACACATGAGTAAAGCAAGAGACTAGAATACTGTTAATGCCATATAGGACTCCTCAATGACGCCCTCTTTCTTTGGTATGATGGTATTGTCAAAGTGATGGATGTCAACCTTTTTCTATTTCAGGGACTCTCCAAATCTTAGAGGAGCAAGTTCAAGTACGTATTGACAATGTGTGGTTTATTTGAAGAATACAGTTCTTAAATGTGGTGGTGAAACATTTGGGGTTAAAATATATTTTTGGTTTCTTATGCTTTTAGTTTTTTATTGCCTTATTCAGGGGCCAGTTTTTAATTCAGAGACAGTGTAGTAAGGCACATGTTGGATTTGAATGGGAGGTGCATTGGAAACTTTTTCACAGCCATAGCCACATTTCTTGTAAAGTGCTTGCAATGTACGTGTGAAGATAAAATTCAATAGTCCTTTGTATGAATCCTGAACTTAGTTGGGAAAGGATTGATACAATGTGATTAGGCTGTTACCATTTGTCAGACTCTACTGAAACATATTCAGTAGGCCTTGACCTGGGGTCATATTGCAGAAGCATCTACCTTCAAGTTAGTTTTTATGCATTTATGGTCTCTAAATTATAGCTTATTCCCCATTATTAGTATTTTCTAGCACACCAAATTCTCCTGCAAAAAAGAAAAAGAAAAAAGAGAGAAATCAAGAATTTGGGTTGCACATAGCTCCTGATTACATTGTTTAGCATGTAAAGCACCTTTCCATCAGAGGATCTTAGCAGGTATATATATTCAACTTGTGTGTGGTATTAGACAAACGTGAAAGAACTCATTGCTCACTTTATGTTTGTTGGGAAGGCCTAGATCAAACAGTTTTTCTGTAGTGCCTTTTTATAGGTCTTGTGCAGACACACAGGTGTGTGTTGGTGAAGAGCTTTACAGGGTTCCTTCCTCTTTAACAAGGTATTGAAGTCCTTGAAAATTCATATTAGCTGATTATTCATTATTTGGTCACTAGAGGGAGCTAAAATACCATTTTGAAATTTAACATAATAAACAAAGGGCTTCTTTGTGTAACTATCAAATAACTTTCGTCTTAGCTTGAAAGCCTTGTTTGCTGCATTTGTATACACCCAGACAATATCCTATTTTTGCAGATTTGTTTTGATGTTATCTAGGGTTTGATCAAAATCTATCTTGGAAACAGGTGCCACAGGACTTTGCAGCGGTGAAGTGATTTTGTCACCATGTTTACACTGTCAGCGGGGGGAGGACTTCCTACTGTGCCTGCTTTGAGTGTGCCTGAACGCAAGTAAGTTTCAATGATCCAGTGCTTTTAAAAACCACTAAAAAGGACTAGAAATCTCAATATGGGATGGTAGTAAAATACCAAACCTATAAATTTTGTGGAACACTGAATAGAGCTCCTAGGGAATAGTTTCTCTTTTGGAATGAATGAAATGCTTTTGAATACAAAGATTGACTGGCAAAACATGTGAAATTATGATTTTTTTATATGCAGTAGCCAAATCTCCTACATACAACGGCATACAATGTGCATACAATGGCACTTGCAGATATTTTATATAACCGGGAGAGTACTTTGCTACAAGTCTGATGCTTGCTTAAAATCAAACATGGACATTTGGTCTGCTTTATTTTCCTCTTTTCCTAGAGCTGAACTTGCCACCGTGGAAGAACATCAACATGTACATTGCGTCAACTGTGTTAGTCGGCGTTGTATGACCAGACCAGAGGCTGGCATTTCCTGTGATTTGATTGGTTGTCCTTTGGTTTGTGGAGCAGTATTTCATTCATGCAAAGCTGCAGAGCATCGCCTTTTATGCCCACTTGAAAGAGTGCCTTGTCTCAACAGTGGCTTTGGCTGTCCATTTACTGTAGCCCGAAACAAAATTGCTGAACATCTAGAAATTTGCCCTGCAAGTGTGGTATGCTGCACGATGGAGTGGAACAGATGGCCTGTCAGTTATGCAGATAGAAAATCTTATGAGAATCTTAGTAAAGATGTTGATGAAGTTGAACAGTTAGACATGGCTCTTGCCCTTCAGGATCAACGAATGCTCCTTGAATCCCTCAAAGTAGCAACTATGACATCGAAAACAGGTGATGAGGTGGTAAAATCCAGAGAACAGACTTCTGTTGCAGGTGCCCCAGATGCTGCACTTTCAAATGGCTTGATGCCTGTAGATGAAGAGTCTTATGGTGCACTTTATCAAGCTACTGTGGAAACGACAAAGAGTTTAGCTACAGCTCTAGATATCCTGAACACTGCTACTAGAGACATAAGCATGTTAAGCTCAAAGCTTGGCATTTCACCACCTAAAACAACTGAGGATTTTCAGCCAAAAGAGCAAAATTGTAGTAGAATGCATAAAGTAGAACTTGACTGTCTAGATGAAGATAACATGGGAGCAGTTGGTGGTATTCACCTGGATATCTTGAATCAAAATGCGCAGTTGGAACAAAATGGCTCAAGTGACATTTGTTACGACACCATGCAACAGTACAATTTGAATATGGGTCTTGATACCTCTTTATGCAATGGCTTTCATGCAGACAATACAAGCGCAGATACACTGCAAGAGAGTAAAGAACTTGGTATGTGTAATTCTGACCAATCTAATGTAGCAAATGGTGTATGTAATGCTTCTCATGTTGAAGCATTGGGCTATTGCAGCCCTATTCCTGTAGCAACACAACTTAAGGAAGAATTACCTCTCCACAGTTTGTCTAACGGCACTGTTAATCATGTATATCTGCCACAGTACTGTAATGAAGAACTGATACAGAAACAAATTGAACAAGACAGACTGAGAAGCATAGATGTATTTTCTTTAATTCCTCATCGTACCTATAATTTCCTTGCAAATCACTACATATCTGCACCAAAGGAAGACAAAGCAGTGGATACATCAGATTTGGAAATAACAGAAGATCCTATGGGTCTTCATGGAATAGATTTAATCACAGCAGCATTACTGTTTTGTCTTGGAGACTCTCCCGGTGGTAGGGGAATATCTGATAGTCGTGTTATTGACGGATACCGTGTTGATTTTGGGACGCAGACGTTTTCTCTCCCTTCTGCAATTCTGGCCACAAATACAATGGTAGGGGAAATTGCTTCAGCCTCTGCATGCGATCATGCAAATCCACAGCTCTCAAATCCAAGCCCTTTCCAGACTCTTGGGCTAGACTTGGTGCTAGAATGTGTGGCTAGATACCAAACAAAGCGTTCAATGTTTACATTTGTTTGTGGACAGTTGTTTAGACGAAATGAATTTCCTTCGCATTTTAAGAATGTACATGGTGACATTCATGCTGGCCTCAACGGCTGGATGGAGCAGAGGTGTCCTCTGGCGTATTATGGATGTACATATTCTCAACGCAGATTCTGTCCTTCAACGCAAGGGGCAAAGATTATTCATGATCGGCACCTTCGGTCATTTGGGGTTCAGCCATGTATATCTACTGTGCTGACGGAGCCTGATAAGAGATGCTGTTTAGGACTGCGTAGTGACCACCTGAGTAATCTTCCTTTTGAAGTTCTACAACACATTGCAGGTTTTCTAGATGGTTTTAGTTTATGTCAGCTTTCACGAGTGTCGCGATTAATGAGGGATGTGTGCGGAAGTTTATTACAGGCACGAGGAATGGTCATACTGCTGTGGGAAAAGAGGACATATCCAGATGGAAGTTCTTCGTGGCAAATAAAAGAAAAGGTTTGTATGCATAACTATACATGGAATTGCCTTTACCTCTGTTTTAGAATTAGTATGTTCTTTTGTCTATGGGTTGAGGTCTTCCAAGCGTGGTGGGTCCTCATCACTGCTAATAAAGATAGAAGAGGAACTAAAAGTAAGAATTGTGCTTTTTGAACAGGAAGCCTCTAGTGCCCCATAAACCCCTGGGCTATGATCTGCCTAGTTCCCCAGCACTAGACAAACCAGTTGTGACCAGGTTAATAATTCAAGAGTATGAAAGCAAAGCAACAAAAACGTTTGCTGCAAGAAAGGCAAAAGACCTTGGAAGCAAATGGTCCCTTGGGAACACGGGTCAGATTCCTCCCTAGCCTTGTCAACCAGTGGCTAGTGAACACCTATAGCAAATAGAGTGGGCAGCAAAGTAATGAGAGTAAGCAAAGAAAACATTAGCCTGTGTGGTGTGCTAATTGATCAGAGGTAAGACCAAAGCTGATGTATGGCCAAGGCAGTGAGACTTATGCTGGATGAGCCAAGTGGCACTGGACAGTGTGGGACCCTGGCTGAAGCAGGAGTTTGTAGTGAGTTTATAAAGAATTGGATCTGTAAAAGGTTATGATAGTGAGCACAAGCTAAATATTGAACATAACTCTTTTCAGTAGTAAAACGTAAACACAACCCTAATAAATATTTGTAGATGGGCTCTCTCTGTAAGACCAGCGCATTTGACTTAAAACAATTTGAGAATAAAAGAGCACCACATGGTTTAAGGGAATGCTGTTACAAAATCTGTAGATTAAGAATGTGTTAATGATGCCCTGTACCTTTAAAAATATTTATATCCTGCTTTTCATTAAAGATTGGTTCTTGAGGCAGCTAATCATTAGGATCCAGTGTGGTTAAAATTGCCATAGAAGTTAATGTGTTTGTGGCAGGAGGAAGGATGCCTACTGATAACTATTATTTGAGTCTTTCATTTTGACTTACTCTTGCCATAGCTTCTTATTGCTAAGAAAGAAGGATGCAGATGAAAGGTTTTCTGGTTGCCAAACCATTACACTTTGGTTGATAACATCTCACAGGCTTAATTGCCAGTAAGAACATTTCCCTCCTCCCCACACTCTTCACTTTTGGCGATACGTGGCTAGTGTTACATCTACAGGTGAAACTTGAAAAATTAGAATATCGTGGAAAAGTTCATTTATTTCAGTAATTCAACTTAAAAGGTGAAACTAATATATGAGACAGACTCATGGCATGCAGAGCGAGATATGGCAAGCCTTTATTTGTTATAATTGTGCTGCTCATGGCGTACAGCTGAAAACCCTGTACACCAACACCTGTACACCAACACCTGATAATCAAACCCTCATCTGAATATATTTTCAAACCATGGTTTGGCTGTAACTGGTTAGCAAAAAAATCAATTGCTGTTGCAATGTTGGCCCGTTACCTCCCATACCAAAAAGAAGGATGAGGAGCTGGGGGAACAGTCTTGATAATCAAACTGTAGCTTCTTGATCAGACCACTGTATTGTCTTATGAACTTAGGGTTTTGTGTTTACTGCTGTACTGCCATGCACTTAGTAGTTGGGAAACACTGCTTCCAAACACTGTTATAAATGCAGTCTTTGAACCTGAAAAAGCAGAACTAAATGCACTTTTATAAGAAAAATTTATTTTCTAGGTATGGCGATTCAGCACAGCTTTTTGTACTGTAAACGAATGGAAATTTGCTGACATTGTAAGCATGGCTGACCACTTGAAGAAATGCAGTTATAATGCTGTAGAGAGACGGGAGGAAGCTGTACCACTACCATGCATGTGTGTCACACGAGAACTTACAAAAGAAGGACGGTCATTGCGCTCTGTCTTGAAACCTGTACTTTAAACACGAAGAATTTACTCCAATTGCACATACACTCAAGCACCTGATGTAACCTCTATGTAATACTTTGTGACACTTTATTAATTTACTAAATACAATTTCTAGGTAAATCTACTCTGTCATTATGTACATAAATTTTTGAAGTGGCATTTATTTTTTATAATACTGTCTGCTTAGAATTAATGAAAGTTGCCTTAATGTTTGAAACAATGGAACTTGCTGGACAGGGTGGTTTATATAAAACTCCTATCTAAACTTTTCATTAAGGATTTCTCTGACTTACGGTTCTGTTTCTTTTTATTCACTTCTAGAGGTATGCACATTCAGACCGGAACAATTGTATAAACAGGAATCTGACCAAACAGCATATATTTGGTCTCTTTGCAAATACAAGTGAGAAGCTGAATGCTACTTAGCATTTAGCAGTGCATATTTTGAACAATCTTTTCCATTTTTGAAAGATTGCTGTGCTCATTTAAGCCGACTCAGTGGTATGTAACACTGTTTCTAGTTAAGTTTCTAGTTAAGGAGGAGACTTACATAGGTTGGGTGCTTTTGGTGTTGATGCAAGTAAGTAAGGGGCGCAATCAAAGCTCTTTGAAGTCCGTTAACAAACTCCAGATTTTAACGAAGCAGAATTCCTTTTAATGACACTTTTTCTTGATGGTCAACAAAGGCTGCTGCAACTAAGAGTCTGATGTAGGGCTGGGGAACCTTTAGCTCTCCAGATGTTTCTGCCCTCCAGTTCCCATCAGAACTAGCCAGCATGGCCAGAAATCAGGGATGATGGAAATTGCAGTTCAGCCAAAGGTTCCCCAGCTCTGGTGTAATGGAACAAAAGTTAATTTTATTTCAGACTTAAATGTATACCTAGACTAGCATTTTGGATTAATAAATTTTCTCCCATCTTCTGTTGGCAAAGATTGATAAAAGGTGAACTTGAACAAAATTCATGTTGCTTGTTGTAAATTAGCTACAAAGGATCCACAATTTTTAATTCATTGATCTAATGAAGGGCTTGTTTTGTGGTATCAGTGTAATACATTTTATTGTTAACATGTCTACAAATGTACTAGTTGCTTCCAGGCTATTTTAATTTGCATAGGACTCTTGATTCTGAGCACACTTTGAAGTTGGTTCCACTGAAATTTGGAATTTGCTTCTAAGCAAATGCTTTTAGGCTAGAGGTGTCATGCCATCTTTATAAGATGAAAACCTGTTCACTGCAAACAGCATATCTTAAATGCATGTTCATCTTTATCATGACTCCATGGTTTTCCAGTCTTCCATAATGAGGACATTGTGTTGAATGTTTACTGTAATTATAAGAATGCCTTTAACTATACTACCATAATTCTCTTTATACCATACTGCTAGTTTGAGCTTGTGCCATAGACTAAAACCAAGATTGTATTAAAAGGGTGTTCCATTTTGAAAAAAGATGGTTATAAAAATGGCTACATTTGAAATGTTTATAATGAAATCATTTAAGTACTTGATCCAAGAGTTCATATGTTCAGCATATATGACTCCAATCTGGGAAATAATTGCCTTTTTCATAACAAGTTGCCCCATTTTTTGAAAAACAAACCTCAGCCTCATTCTCTAGTGCCATATATTGATACCATTAAGGAACACGAATGCTTGCTCTACATGGCTTTTGGTAATGCATGCATCTTGGGATCAGTTAACTTTTCTCACAAAGCTGCCTTTCTCTTTGAAGGGTCTAGAGAATTTTCCTTTAATCCTGCATAATTTTTCTTCAATCAATAGAACACTTCTAATTTTAGTTGTTTTAAAACTTGAGAAGGGGACATTATTATGAACATTCTTTGTAAATTCAAGTATACTGCTCTTACAACCAATAAATCTCTAGTAACCAGGTATAGACATTTTCTTCAAAAATCTGTGGGAACTTGCCATTCTCCAAAACAGAGATGTCAGCCCAGGAACAACCAAGAATGTCCATTCCACAGCTTTTACAAGATACTTCCGTATACACTAATCTTTAACCATCAAATATCTCACCAGTGTGTACTTAAGTATTAACTGTGGGGGTTTGGGGGGGGTTAAATATAGAGATAGGCAAAAATATGCCCCGGCCTCTTTGAGACAAATATTATAACACGAGGCCTTTTACACTAGAAGGCTCCCTAGCTCTAAAAGTAATTGTACCTGTGAGGAAAATTGATTCATTTTTCCACATTTAGCTTTTTGAACACTTCATTCTCAATACTGTGCACTTTTACTTTGAAATTTAGATACTGTGGGGTTTTTTAAACTTTAATCCAGAGCTATTAAAACATTAATGCTAAATAATTCTGTTTGGTATACTCTTGTGTGTGCAGGAATTCAATGCAAATCTAGGATATCAGTATTTCATACTGCTATGCAGTTTTTAAACAAACAGTGGCATGTAGTTTTTCAATACTTGACTTTTTCTCCTGTACTGTACCTTGTTATTTTAAATACACAAGTCTGCCCCAGTACTTTGTTCCAGTTGGTTGCCTTTATTTACATTTTCTAGCTATTCCTTTCTCTCACCAACCCCACACTCCTTTGAATGTTTTCAGTTAATGCCATTTTTTGCAATGTCTGTCATAATCTTAATAAAATGTATTTGCCATTTCTCTCTTTAGTGCATGCTTTCCCTTGATCTAGGATGTTGTGTTTCGTGCTAATGATCCTCATGCTATTTGTGCTAGGCCATAGTATGGAGGTGGGGGGTAGAGCATTTGCTTTGCAAGCGGAAGGTCCTAGGCTCAATCTCCACAATGGGCTGGGAGTATCCCCTCTGAAATCCTGGAGGGTTGATGACAGTATAGCTAGCGTAGCTGAGACAATACTCTGCTAAATGGACTGATGGCATGACTATATAAGACGACTCCCTAGGTTCCTATTGAACCAATTTGGGTCTGAAACTGAGAGTATAGCTGCAATTTATTGTTAGTTTTTCAAAGCTGCTAAGTACAATTAAGGATTTTCTCAGGAAGCAAACCATGACTTTTCTGGAATTCTTCAAGAGATGTACTGAGTATTGAACAATTTAGTTTCCACTGTTGTTCAGTCCCAAGTAGCAATCCAATGGATTTTTGTCTCCTCTCCCCACCCTCCAGGTCATTTTGTAGTGTTTGTCATATCCCAAGTATGAATGTTCAGTATTTCCTAATGAATATAATGCTCACTAATGTGTTCAAACAAACTACTTTGGCTACAGGGAGCTGGTAGATATACAGGTGTACAACTTTTTTAAAAGTTTAGTATTTGCTCCTCTCTCCTCAACCACGTAAAAAACAAATTTGGGGCCAGAAAGTTAACTGAATGCTGCACACTGAGGCCTCAATATAGTCTTTTGAGTGGTTTGAACAGGTTCTCGTATACGCTGTATGTGGGCTCAGCAACTTGGCCTGGCAGGCAGCTATATGCAGTAGGGGACATGCTATGCCACCTCTATCCCCATCTAACCCTTCCACTCACTTCCCTCTTAAGCTGCAGCTGTGGAAAACCAAGCACACCAGACTCAACCCTAATGGCCACAACCCAGGGACCCCTGATCACCACCATGTGTGAACAAGATGGTAGGAATGAGTTGCAACTCGTGGAGCTGTGCAGGGAAGGACACATTTCAGCACTACAGTATTTGCTTAGCACATACTGGCTGGATCCTGGGCATCTCCAGGGACCGGCTACTGTCTGCAACCGTGGGGAGATGCTACCAGTAACACTGAGCTCAATGGACCAGTTGCCTGACACAAAGTGACCAGACCTTCCTTCCTTCCTTCCTCTCCCTGCGCACAAGCCTACAGGAGAGCCGACAAAGCTGCCCCTCCAGTTGCTTGCCTTCTCTTCCTGAGCCCTATAGGAGAGTCAGTGTGATGCTGCGTCGGACCTGGGAGACCAGAGTTCAAATCCCTGCTAGCCCAGGAAGCTCCCTGGATGACATTGCGGCGAGCACTGCCAGTCAGGCTAAACTACCTGGTAGGGTGGTTGTGGGGATTAAATGAGGGAGAACCAATGGCTGCCGCATTGAGGCCCTTGGAGGGGAAGGTGGGGTGGAAGTGAAACGTGGAACAAATACAACGCAAGCCGAGCCTCGCTCCCTTCGAGAAGCGCTGTTCCTTTGCGAACTTGCAGGGGGCTTTAAAATAAAATTGACAGGCGGCGCGAGAGGCCTTTATAACGGGTTCCCGAAGTGTCACGTGTCCTGCTCCGTCCGCTCTTTCGCCGCCGGCTCGCATTCCCTTTTCGGTAGCGGAGCGCGGACGGGCAGCGCCTCACGGAGGCCGAAGTGACGTCGGCCTGAGGGAGCCCGACAACCACTCTCTCTGCCTGCTCCGCCGCCGCCGACTCCTGCCATGCTGTTCCGCTTCGGGGTCGTCGTGCCCGCCCGGCTAGCCGAAGGCGGCACGGCGCTATGCGTCTCGGGTTCCCGGCCCGAGCTGGGCCAGTGGGACCCCAAGCAGGCGCTGGCCATGAAGCCCGCGAGGCCGCTGGCTCCCTTGCCCGCTCAGGAGCCGGTCCTGTGGCTCGCGGAGGCGGCGCTGCGCGAGGACGAGGCCGCGTGCACCTTCTGGTACAAATTCCTCAGGCTGCACGAGACGGGGGACGCCGTCTGGGAAGGTAACAGCCGCTCAGCAAGCCGAGGCCCCCGCCCCCGCTTTCTTCCTCTCCGTGTTTGTGCGCCCGCGCGCGCATGCGTGTACCACGGGGGCGTGGCCATGACGGCCAGTTCTCGCGTCGAGGACGGTGGGCGGTTGTTTTTGCCCGTGTCGTGGGCAGCGCGAGGGACGCGCGCTTATTGCATCAGCACAGCTGTGTCACCTTTATGTAATAAAGAAAAAAACCAGTCTGCCTTGAGCATCTTTTAGGTGTAGGTAGCTCACAAATGCAGAAAGTCTTCCCCTCAGCCTGCTGAGATATATTTCTTCGCGTACATGGTGCTGTGTTGGCTACAAAAGGGGGGACAGATGATGAGGAGGATGATGATGATGATTGTAAATAGGGGTGGAGATAGTTATTAGGTTTGCAAACCTACCTCCCTTCTGTTGAGACTGGGAATGCATTGTGAGGTGGCTCCGAAGTACAGTTGTACCTTGGAAGTCAAACGCCTTTTGAGTTAGAACGTTTTGGCTCCCAAACGCTTCAAACCTGGAAGTGAGTGTTCCAGTTTGTGAATGTTCTTTGGAACCCAAATGTCCGACGTGGGTTCCGATTGGCTGCAGGAGCTTCTTGCAGCCAATCAGAAGCTGCACCTTGGTTTTCGAACTTTTTGGAAGTCGAACAGACTTCCAGAATGGGTTCCGTTCAACTTCTGAGGTACAACTGTAGTTGCGGTTAGCTTGTGGTGACCATGGGGAATTAACAAGGGTCATGAATGAATACAGGGGCACACAGGTCTGTGGTTGGCCTCTGGCTGTCTAGAGAGACAGTGAAGTCAAACTGCTGCATTAACAGCACTAAAGTGACTTCTCTGTGAGGCGTTAGCTTGGTTGGTGTGTATGGAGGTCCTGGGCTGCCCAGAGGTCCTGGGCTTCCCCCCTCTCGGCCTCGCTGATGTGGTCCCAAAGGAAAGCAGAGCAAAATGTTTGGCACCAGCTAGTCTGCTTCAGATTTGTGTAGGGTTTAATCCTTAGCCTTTTCTTTTCCTGAAGATACAAGGTTTAGGATCAGAGTCTTTCTTCTCCTAGATGAGCTACCTTCGCAGGTTGATGAAGAAGAAGAAGAAGAAGAGTTTGGATTTGATATCCCGCCTTTCACTCCCTTTAAGGAGTCTCAAAGCGGCTAACATTCTCCTTTCCCTTCCTCCCCCACAACAAACACTCTGTGAGGTGAGTGAGGCTGAGAGACTTCAAAGAAGTGTGACTGGCCCAAGGTCACCCAGCAGCTGCATGTGGAGGAGCAGAGACGCGAACCCGGTTCCCCAGATTACGAGACTACCGCTCTTAACCACTATACCACACTGGCTCTCGATGAGCCCCACCTGCCCCTCACCTCCCTCTACAGCAATGCAGGGACTGCCTTCGTGACCACTGAACCCACTATTGGTTTCATTTGCTCAAATTGCCAGGGTTTGACTTGAGACCCATTGGGTACCTTAACCTGGGTTAGCCAGCCAGTAGAAGTTGTTTTCCAGAGTGTGGCCGCTGTCCACATGTTGACAGCTTCTAGGAGCCACAGGTGAGAACTGAGTGCAAGGTGTACAAACTCTTCCAGAAGGAGCACAAAGTGCCCCCCACCAGAGGTACCCCTCCCGTAACACCCGTACACCCCACTGTTGCAAATATATGCCATAAATCTCTTCTAAATGAAATGTAGGCTCTTGCGAAGGAGGTGTGGTTGGATACCTTTAGGCAGAATTTAGGGGGGAAATGCATTTGCATCCAAAACAATCACTGAAATATCCTGTGAGCATGTATATTTTGGTGAAGACCAACAGTTCCAGTAGGTCATACTTCTTTGGTAATTTTGAAACACTGCTAGAAAGGTGTAGAAGTCCTTTTCAAGGGGTGAATGACTCACAGAGTGATGCTACGCAGGCGCATAGGGATGGTGGGAAACTACTACACCCACAGAGGTCACATTAGATTTATATTGCCCCATTCACAGTGTTCAAGATGGCTACACATCCAAATGCAGGGCTTAATAATAATGAAAGTTGAGAGTATAGTTTACATAGTGCAGCTTCCAGACAAAAATGTTTATGAGCTGCTGCAGCTAAGGAAGTAACCATGGTTTATGGCACTGGAGAGGAAAATAAAGAAAGCCAAATTGTTTCAAGGTTGCAGTAGGCTGGTGAAAATAAAAGGCATTCTTTTGCAGTTCAGTGTTTTTATTTGCACCTTGAGAGTAGTAAGGTGTGTGATTGAAAGTTGCACCATGTACAGTTAATATTTAGCTAAGACATGTATATAAATACACTATCTTGGTATTATTATTATTTTTTGGAATTGTGCTTTATTGCTTTAAAATTTCAAAACCAGGTGTTATTTTAAAACACTTGAGTACATTTCTTATGGATAGTGTGTGTGTGTAATGGTGGTGAGAATCTGTTCTGTTCTACTTATAATTGCATAGAAAAGCCAGACAGTATTGGAAATAGGGAGAAGACCTGGAGAAGCTAAAGTAGATAGTTGGAAGGGAAGAATGGACTGGGTACTGAAGGTAGCCATATATTGTTGTAGCTCAGTTTCATAAGGAAATCTTCCTGTTCCATTGCAAAATGACAGTAGGTTTCAGAAACAATGCATCTTTAACTTGCTAGTACAGTTTGTAGCCCATCATTTCCTCGTGGTATTAGTAAAATCTAATTATGACAACTAGGAATTCTTTAACACACTCTCCAAATCTGTGACCTCCAGAGAAGATTTTACTGAAATAATTATATTTCTAGAGAAGGGCAGTTGTAATTTCTTGTTCCCTTTCATGTCTCCCCCCCCCCCCTTCCTCAATCTTTTGCTCTCTTGCTCTCTCTCTTTTCGTTCCTCAAGCTAGAATGGTCTATAAATCAATACTTTCTGCTCCCACTAGATGTCCCTCTTGGACCTGAGAATCGAAAATCCTCATTTCTCCTACAAGACAGCACTATGAGAGTTTAATCGACTTTTAACTCAACAAATTTAAATTTTATTCCCTTTGTGCATTTCAATCTTGTCTAAAAAATAATAGAAGGGAAGGAACATTAAGTACAACTAGGTATTGACTGCCTAATTTTTTTTTAAAGCACAGCTTATTTCAATCCTTTTGCTGAGCAAACAGTATTAGATCTTTTAATGTTTTCAGGTATAAGGATACTTTGTAAGTGACTAGAAGTAAACACAAACATGTTGTAAAATCAAAACATTGAAAATAGAGCAATCTTCTATGGGTTACTTTTCCGGTATGGTCTAAAATTGGGTTGGCACCTTTGGTTGGGCAAAATATGAGACAGGTCACACACAATAAAGGACTGGTCGGGGTGGGGGTAGGAGGGTCACACATACTCTCATGGCACCAAATCCTCCCCCACATTGTGGAGGGGGATTCCCCACATTTGGTCTCCCGCTTCCCTCACCATTTTGGCCCTGCTCTTTCCCTCAACTCACATAGATAGGCAGGGGCCAGGGATAGATGGCCAGCTCCCACAGGCGACTTGAGATGAAGCTCCAGCCTCTTGCCCATGCTGGTATCAGAAGAGACTAGAGTGCGGAGGAGGAGGAGAGGTTAGGTCAGGGTGGCAGAGGGGGCTGAACAGTGGCAGCCCCACACCATGCTAGACTTGAGGGCGGCAGCAGAGGAGGAGCACCAGCAAGAGGTAGGGAAGGAGAAGAGATTGCTCCTTTCACATTTTCTCTGTTGTCCCTTGTGCTGGGCTGGGCTCCTTGTCAACCACACCAACAGCGATGCAACTGCCATTTGGGGCTGGCTGAACTCAAATGTGGAGGAAAAGGCGTTCTGTTTGAAGTCCAAATGGGAAAGGGGATATTATGTACAGTTGTACCTTGGGTTAAGAACTTAATTCGTTCTCGAGGTCTGTTCTTAACCTGAAACTGTTCTTAACCTGAGGTACCACTTTAGTTAATGGAGCCTCCCGCTGTCACTGCGCCACCAGAGCACGATTTCTGTTCTCATCCTGAAGCAAAGTTCTTAACCCGAGGTACTATTTCTGGGTTAGCGGAGTCTGTAACCTGAAGCGTCTGTAACCTGAGGTACCACTGTAGTCAGTGGTCTGTGTTGCCTGAGCTTGAGTCTGGACTAAGGATTCTGAGCCCCTGTGTTCTGATTCGGTACCTGATATCCAGTCACAGAACATTTCAGGATTTGGGCCTCTGCCATTGGCCCTTAAACTCTGACTTATGATTCGCTGCTTGGAAGTTTAGGCAGCCAATCTTGTTGGGAGTGGGAGTGGCCCAGGCCTTCAGAATATAAGCAGTTGCTTTGCCCCTGTTGTCCAGTTCTGTAGTTCTTGCTGTTATCACTATGTCTTGCCTTGTGAGAACCCACCTACACTTAAGGGGATACACTTTTGTCCAAAACCAGGACGATCCCATTTTTTATAGGGACAGGTAGCAACTCTAGCCTGAGATTTTCTCCTTCCAGTTTTGTGCCCCCATGCATAGGCTGTAAAGGCAGTGGAGGCATATTGGATATTTTCTGGGTGGGGGCAAAAATCAGGGGATGAAATTTACCATCACAGTCTATCTCCTCAGACCAACTCTGAGTGTTATGCCAGGGACTGAAGTCAGACCATTGGTCTATCTAGCTCAGCATTGTCTGAACTGTCTGGCAGGGTCTTAGACAAGGGTTTTTCGCAGCACTGCTTAGAAATTCCGGAGACTGAACCTGGGTCTATTTCATGCAAAGCATGTGCTCTGCTCCTTAGCTACAGCTTATCAAGCCTTTAGTTTTAGCTTTGCAATTGTCCATTTGATGGTTGTAAATAAGAGCAGTGAAAGAGACTTATAGCATAATCCTAGGCATGTATACTCAGAAGTAAATTCCATTGTTTTCTAGGTAAGTATATAAAGGATTGCAGCCTTATCTCTGCCTCTGTGCCACCTATAAGTACTTGAAAACAGAAAGGTTTTGTTCTCTTCCTGACTTGCAAGATGTGTATGTGTGTGTGTGTGTGTGTGTGTGTGAGAGAGAGAGAGAGAGAATAAAGCTTATACTTAACACAGCAATGCCTCAGTTCCCTGAACAAAGGGACAGGTTTTTTTAACTGATCCAATGAGCAAAAATTAACACATTCAGAATAGCAAGTGAGTATTGTTTTTTTCCTATTGTTTACTGCTGAAACAACTAAAGGGGGGACACTATATCTTTACTTATTATCCACCATAATTTGCTGAAAAACAGAGACTAGGTATACAGTTTTTGTAATGTACATTTTGTAATGTACCTTTGCATCTTTGATATGCTAAGCCAGGCTTTAGAAATGTACAGGGGAAATGCTATTTGGAAACCAAGCAGGCCCATTGCCAAGTTGTCTGAACCATCTCTGTTTAGATGAAGGAAGCTCAACATGTCCATAGCTCTATACAGTAACAATCAATACCAATTCAGTCTTGCATTCCAAGCCATCTAATACTGAATTTAAGTCAAAATGTGAAATAGCAGGGATGCTTCCATAGCAGACTTCAATCTCAAGGGTTTAGAAACGTGGGACTTGTTTTGTTCAATGGTGAAGCCTAATAATGTTAACAGGAAAATATCATTCCTTGAAGTACAGTAAGTGAAAATTGGACCTCAATGAATTTTCTTTTTCATTGTAATGCAAGACTACAGAAAGTTGGAAGTGATTTATCTGAATCTCTTTATGAAACTTTTTTTAAAAAGCATCTGATCAGACAGCTAAGCTGAATTTTCAGCTCCCCATTGAATGTTGCACATCCACGAGTTCTGTGTCAATCTGCCTGTCTGTGTTTCTTCTATAATCATTAATCCAGTTTTACATATTGTAAAATCTTATTCTCCCCCCCCCCCCAGTTTATTCAGATAAATTCAACTGCTGAGCTGCAACCCAGTTGTCTGGATTTGAACAGCAGTCTCTTTCAGTTATATAGGACAGACTAGCTTTCAACCTTTGAGTTATTCTGGGGAAATATAACAACAACAACAACAACCATTTTCTGTGCTATTCTTATTAATAACATTTTTATTTTTTCCACACAATTCTGTCATCTTTCTCCCAAACAATTTGTTCAAAAAATGATCTGGAATGAGCAGTAAGGTAGCCAAGTTATGACACCAACCCACTGCGGGTGGTAGAAAAAAAGGGTTGTGAAATGCTCCAAAAGATGTATCCAGAATGTGTGAAAATGGCATTAAAATGGCAAATCTAATTCAGTGTAAGCAAGGGGAAAGTAAAACACATTGGCGGGAGGTCATAAGTTCACATAAACACTGATCTTGACTGACCTCAAGATCATGATGGGGAGTTTAATGAAATGTCCTGTTCTGTGGTGATGTTCAGCACCAAGGGAAGGTGATGATGACCCAAGCAAGGTAGAGATCTGTAGAGCCAGGGTTCTGAAACATGATAGGTAAAGCAAAGCAAGGCCAAGACCTTGGATAAGATCAGGGTCACAGTTGTGGCAGTGTAGCAGAGGCAGAAAATAAAGTTGTTTCAGTGGTGCCTTGGAGCAGCTGGCAGAGTTTTGTAGCCTGGGCTAGTTACACAAGGTCATAGAATGGTAGAGTTGGAAGGGACCATGAAGGTAATCTAATCCAGCCTCTTGCAGTGCAGGAATCTTTTGCCCAGTGTAGGGTTCAAACCTTCAACCCTGAGATTAAGAGTCTTATGCTCTACTAACTGAGCTATCCCAGAAGAAAGCCCTGCTCCTTGATCTGGCACTTAAAATGCTAGTACCCTTTTCTGCAGCTGTTGGATTTTTCTAGGCAGTGGGGTGTCAAGTTTGGGGAAAGCTTCTCAGAGGTCTCCTGATACTGAGGAGGCTGTATAGTTCAGTCATTGATGTCTTGTAGCATAGATGTCTCCTTAGTGTTTGAGAGATGCAATGTGAGCTCCAATGTCAGTAGATTCACTTGGGAAGGACACACCCTGAAATTTTTGGTCCTGTATCTGACAGTGCTGATGAATGCACAAATGGCATGGCTGGTGCAGTCACAATCCAGAAAACAGAACTTACAAACAGACATGCCAGACCCAGTGTGGTGATCAAGTCTCTGGAACAGTAACAAGGGCACCAATTTCAGATCTAGTGAACATATCACACCATGAAAAAATCTGTTTTCTGTACTCAGATTCCCCTGCGAGAGCACATGAAATATGGTGCATTCGATATGGTTTTTCCTTAGTTGGCTAGCTGGATGTTTCTTTCAGAAACATTGCTATCTATGCCTATTTTTCTTTGCAACCATTAAGAAGTTTTTTTTTTTAAAGAAAGTGGATAGTGGATGCCTTACAAGAATGTTGGGACCACTTGGAACTGCCCCAGGACTCTTAGCCTGCTTGTGTTACAGGTTTCCATGCATAAGATGCTACACAGCATGTTGTGTGCTTGAGTTCAGCTCTTTTGATGTTTGCACCTCCTCCCTCTTCCCACACCCCTTTGGAGCTTATGTTTTCCCTCCCATCACTGATCTTGGGCTACTCTGGATTACTTCTTTCTTTTGATCATGTCTTACTTGCTTTTCATATTCTTGTTTGTTCTTCTCTCCCATATGAGCTGCTCATTGCTCAGAGATCTTTGTTTTAATCTCCTTTGCAATAAAGCCAGTGGCTTTTTGATATGCCAGTTTGATCATCTTTCTTACGCATCATGCCAGGAGCCATATGGGCAGTCCTGCAGGCTTTGAAAGAAAGACTGTTCACAGAGATTGATTTGTAAGGCAGAGTTTGCTGATTGCTTTGTTCTTGGACATGTTGATGTGCAAGCAAATTGCATGGGAGAGTTTTTGAACAACAGTGGAATAAAAAAGGACTTAGTTCGGAATCCTTAGTACAGAAATATATCCTTTCAAGAATAACCATTATTTGGCTTCCTAATGTTTGTCAGTGATGGGCTCCATTGTTTTTAATCTTAGCCTTTAGACATGAAAATCTCCTTCCACATAGGATATCCAGGCCACACCAGTAACGGACATAATGCAGGCACACAGCTCCAGATTTTAGGCTTTGCGCAACACGTCAAGCAAAGTGTCCTTGCACAGAAACCATCTTCCCCATGCCAGTTGTGTTTGCATAAGAGCAAAAGAGTCTGAGAGCAGCCTACAGGCTTCCACAGGCCCTTTCTCAACCGCTCCTTCTCTAGTGTGGTAGAAGTGTTTGTGTGTGTACTGGAAAGCCAGTATGATGCAATGGTTAAAGTGTTGGACTATGACCTGGGAGAACACGGTTCAAATCCCCTCTGAGCCATGAAGCTCACTGGGTACCCTTGGGCCAGTCACTGTCTCTGGACCTAACAACCTACGTTACAGAGTTGCTGTGAAGGTAAAATGGGGGAGGGGAGAACCATGTATACCTCCCTTGAGCTTCTTGGAGGAAAAGGTGATATATCAATCCAATCAATCAATATATATATATATATATATATATATATATATATATATATATTAGGAAGGACATAGGAAGCTGCTTTATTTGTCCATCTAACTTAGTACTGTTTACTCTGACTGGCAGTAGTTTTCCAGGGTCTCAAGCATAGGGTTTTCCCATTCTCTGCTACCTAATTCTTGTAAGTGGAAATGTCAGCAGTTGCTGTTCTGTCCCCTGGAAAACTGCTCCTGGACAATGTAGGACGGAGGCAAAAATCAGGCAAGGGTGGTTACAGTGGGAAGGAAGGACCAGGAGCTTCCCGTGCATGAACTTCCTTGAGCTAACTTATAGGATCTGAGCTTTTGTGTGATTTGTAAATGAAATTGATTAAATATTGCAATGGTGCTGTACAAGGTTGTGTTTTATTTCATGTTAAGAAAACACTTTCTTTAAAAAAGAAATTCTTTAAACTACATTTATCCAAATAGGAAAGCTAAAGCTATAGCAATGAGAGAAAAATGTATTTGTCAATCGATCTGGACTTTACTAATGTGCTCTTTGTTTGGCCACATCCCTATTCCAAAGTGATTTTTGTGTTTCTTTCATTTATTATTCAGCAAGTGAAAGAGGAGGTGGGTGGAAACTGATTAATTTTGTCCTTTAAACTCTGTATGGGAGAAGGGGGTATGTGGAAATTGAAAAAGGTTGATGATTTAAACAGCCATTATTTCTAAAGTGGTGTATTACAGACATTTCCCCCCCCAATGTATAACTGCTTAAAGTTACAAACTGAGGAGCCAATCACAGTTTTTCCCTCAAAACACTGAAAAGCTTCCTCATGAAGGGTGTGATACTATGTTAACTCCTTTTTGAGCAAAAACAGGTAAATCTGGTGATATTTCTTGTCTCTGCGTATCAGGATATATTATACATTTGTTGCCCTACTGTGGTTTTGCCAGATGTGAGCTGCATATTCTACCACGTACAAGAGCATTTTATGTCCAGATATTTCTACGTGAAATTCAGCCTTCAAGAGTGGCCCCAAAGCCTGTTTTCGTTGTATGTGTGGATTGGGGACTGATCATATAAATCTGCTAATTCAGAGGAACACCAAGGAAGTACATCCAAATCTGGGCTTGAAGTAATTTAAGAATGAATAGAAAGCTGAACTTAAAAGAGCCTGCTAGGTTTATTTTTCATTTGTTCTGAAACAAAAGAACAGATTGTGAATGAGTATATCTTTTTGTATTCATTAAAGGCCTGGAGAGATGATCTGTGTCTCTCACAGGAGGAGAGGCATGAGCTGAATTCAGTAGCTGCTCCTGCTCTTAGCATTTCCAATTCCCCTATTGCCAGAATGGTCTGGTCTGGACAAGAGAAAAGATCTATCAGGGGATACCATTCCTTCCCTCCCCATTAGCTGCACCCAATCTCATATGGATTTCCCCCCTCTTAGATTAACTCCATCTGGACCTGATGGTTTGTCCTTTTTCAATTTCTCAATAAGGTCTAGAACTTCATCTCTCATCACCATTATCTGCTTGTGTCCACAGTGGGGCGTTAATGCATATGTAGGTATCTGTTTCCATATGGTCATTTGTGCATCTTCATCCACACATGAGGGATTCCAGGTTTATGCCTCTGAAATCTACCCTTATGTTTCCCATCTACATCATTGGGCAGTGCTTGATGGGATGTATTCACGCTGCACTCTTGTCCGTTTGTGTCAATTAGTACTTCCCTGCCCACCATAAGTTCTACAAACCTAAGATTGATTGTGGGCAAGTGTGTATGTCTGTGTTTTCCTGTGCACTTGTACTTTAAAACAGAAAAAGGAAGACCTTTTTCAATCTACCAGATTTGCACGACATTTTCTCCTTTAGATGCCTCTCTGATTTTATTCTCTGGCTCAAGACCAAACTGATCCCGCAATTTGGGGTGGGGGGGCATAGAAGAAGAAGAAGAAGAAGAAGAAGTCCCCAGTACTGCTTTACTTTGGGGGCCTGGTGGTGACTCTGTGGAGGAGTCTCTGTTCTCAGGAACAAGTCCATTTGGGCTAATGGTGATTTATGCAGGATTTGATCCATATTTGATATTACTTCCTGTCTCTTTGATCTACCTTTCTGGTACTTCTATTCTCTTTCACTAAAGTACGCCTTACTTTTAAAACAAGAATTAACCAGATGTTTCATAAACAGTCTGCAAAAGCTAGAAAAAACTTTCCAAATGTAGAGTTAGGGTTTACAAATCCAGGCAAGAGATTTTGTGGTGGCACATGCCATGTTTTACACAGCAGATGGCACTCTTAATGCCTGAAATAGGGAAGGAATCCACAGATAAACAATGTGTGTTGAAATCTCTGGTGCAGAATTAGCACAAAGTGGTTGCTGGTGTCTAGGTCACTTCATTTAGAAACATAATGTGGCAGTCATCTGCTCAGGAGTTCTCACTACATCTGCTTCCTTGAATGATGGATTTATAATAAGAAAGGTGAAAATTTTAGAAAACCTTGTAGATGAAACCGCATTTTGAAGGCATCGCTGAATAGTAACATTTTGCACATGTGGTCATTAGCTTGTGAGAAAAGGAATTCTAGTGACAGTTAATGAAAGGAGTTATTTCCCCCTTTAAATTTAGGTTTTACTTACACGACACCTTGTGTTTCCATTTCCTGAAGGAAAATGACTTTTACTCCAATGGATGGCTGTCTTGCTTTCCCCACAACAGGATACACATAGGGTTGAATCCAGACTTGGTCATGCTTATGGCAGAGCAACTGGAATCAATTGGACTTAAGTTTCAATAGGTCTACTCTAAGCATGATTAAGTCCAGGTCAACCTATAATATGTGTGTTTGTGTGTGTTTATAATGTGTACCCGCCCTGCCGACTGAATGAAAATCCCATGAATTCAGAGCTCTTTGTTTTTACACCATTGAGCTATATTGACTGACAAATTGTGTGTGTTCTCATTTCAGGCAACGGGCCCCACCATGATCGATGTAGTGTCTATAACCCAAGCAATTTGGTCGATGGAGTCTACTGCCTCCCAATAGGCCATTGGATTGAGGTTTCTGGCCATACTGATGAGATGAAACATACAACTGACTTCTATTTTAATATTGCTGGACATCAAGCTATTCACTACTCCAGGTAACAACAAAAAAAGAGATTAGGTGTTATGAAAAACAGCATGGGAAGATGGTGATTTACTTCATGATCCTAAGCATGTCTACTCAGAAGCAAGTCATGCTGCATTCAGTATGATTTATGTCCTAATAAGTATGATTAAGATTGAAGACTTAGCTCGGAAAACAAAATACTTCATATTATTTGCTGATGGATGATCATATGCAAACATGTGGGTGCTCAGATACCCCAGCCACATTTTCAAAAGTTTTGCTTGCAGTTGTGCTGACTAGAAACTCACATTTACACATTTGTTTCCCCACCCTCAAGGTGAATTTCTAGCTGCCCTGGATGATCATGCTTTTATGGGGCACTTGATAAGTGGTGGTCTCCTTTACTGATACCACTTGGAAGATCAATTATTGGAATCAGCTAATGTGAAAAACTGCCAGTCAACTTAACTTACATAATTTTAGAAACATCTGACATTGTGTCAAATGACAATCTGATTATGACACGGGATGCTTATTTTTAACACCAGCTGCTGTCGTCTTTATTTGAAGTAGCAAAGCATTGTCCTGTCTGCCCTCTAGAACTAAAATAGTTATTGTCCAGTAAACAAGATTCTCAATAGCATTCTACAACATCTGCAGATAGGTAGCTAATCTCCAATTTCAACATCTTGACTAATAGCGGTAATAACAGATGCCAGGTGTTGAATGGTGAAGAGAATAAACATGGAAAACAAAGAGATGAGATAAGGAATTCACAGTCAAACTGCGATGAGCAGAGCCAGAAGCTGGCAGCTGAGAATGAAGCCAGATGCTGGGTCAGGAAGCTGGGCAGCAGTAGGTGTAAGACTGGTAGACAGGTACAGTGCCAGGAGCGTGACACTTGGAGATAAGCAAGTTTGGTTCTTTTAAACAAAGCCACAGAACTGCCATACTGTAAGTGCAGCTGGCTTCCCTTGTAAGGCTGAGGCTGGCCAACATGAAGCAAATGGGATAGAGCTATGTGAGAGCACCAGATGCAAGGTTGGCTCTTTAAGCATGCTTCCCCTATTCTTGAACTCCTTGGACGGAAGGTGGGGTATAAATGTAATTATAAATAAGTAATCTTAAAAAGAAACCTCATGTGTGAAAGGAAAACCACTGGGTGTATGTGCATTTGAAGATGTGATATATAAGGGGAAAGTTGTGATTTGCCCCAAAGGAGCCAGCCTTGGAAAAGCAGAACATTCAAACTGAGATGTATACAATGTGACTTTTTGAAGTGATCTAGATTTTTCCAAATATGCTCTTTAAAAGTTGGGGTTAATACAGCGGCGGAGCAAGCCGATTGGGCGTCGCACATGCCCTGCGCCCAGGGGTGGGGCAACCTGCCTGGGGGGCGGGGCGAGCTGGGGCAGGATGCTCCGTGCTTGCCTCCTCCCACTCAGCTACCCTACAGCTGGGGGGGGCGGACCGTTTGGGGCAGCACGGAGCCTGTGGGCGCTCAAGCCACCTTGTCACTCGCAGGAGAGACGTGTGAAGCAGGCACGCTGCAGGCCGCGAGGTGAGTGCTGCCCGGCATTTTGTCACCCCCCCAGTGGTAACACCCAGGCAAGCCCGCCCCCACCACACCCCCTTCTCCGCCCATCTCCTCTTATTCCTTACCCAATCCTACAGCCTTGATCCAGCTCTAAGGTAAACGGACCCCTGACCATTAGGTCCAGTCGTGACCGACTCTGGGGTTGCGGCGCTCATCTCACTTTATTGGCCGAGGGAGCTGGCGTACAGCTTCCGGGTCATGTGGCTAGCATGACTAAGCCGCTTCTGGCGAACCAGAGCAGCGCACGGAAACGCCGTTTACCTTCCCGCCGGAGCGGTACCTATTTATCTACTTGCACTTTGACGTGCTTTCAAACTGCTAGGTTGGCAGGAGCAGGGACCCAGCAACGACTCTGTGGTTTAACCCACAGTGACACCCGTGTCCAGCTCTAGTTATACATTAAAAAAATAATAGTGTTGAAAGTGACCGGCTGAGTATAACCGTGCAGATACACATCCATGCTGGCTATGTGCACGTAACCTTTCTTCAGCACCTAGTTTTCCCTTGCTGGATCAAGTGCAGTGTAATTGTAATATTGCTGTAATAATTGAAAATAAACTGGTCGGTATGATAGTTTGTAGTTTGCAACTCAGATTCAAGCTTTGGATAATGTCTGATCTTCCAGATCCCCACCACACTACAAATGTAGTCAGGTCCTAAGAACTGATGGCAACATCCCTCTAATGCTTGTTGCCTTGTCAGCACATAGACCCGCATTCAGGCCTAGCTGTCAACCATTTAGGCGTGAATATGTGCAGTGTGGTACTGCAGTGCCTCAAATATAACATTTGGGAATGGATAATGAGCTTAACTCGAAATGCCACCTTGAAGTCAGGTATAAGTAGCTTTCAAGATTGCTTTATTACTTACCCTAAATGGAAGAGTCTTATACTAAAAATGCATTGGATTTTTAAAAATCTTTTCGATAAGTATTTTATAAGAACAATTGCAGCAAGTATTGTGGTAGTGGCTGTGTTAGCTTTGACTCTTTGCCTTGCTGTAACAAAATTAATTGTTTCATAAAGGCCATTAAAACTTCTAATCATCGTTAATAAAGGTAAAGTCAACAGTGAATTATTAAAATACCTCTGAAAAGAAAAATGCTTTGTCTGGAATATATATATTTATATTTATATGTATGTATGTATGTATGTATGTATATGAGAACTAAGTATGAAAGGGAAGCAAGAAATCCATTCAGCTGTTTAAAGAAAAATAACCTGTGTGCTAAGTGTCACCCTGGAGTGATTTTTTATTGTTAAATTATAGCATGAACTATGGTGGAGAAAGTGACGACTTTTAACTGGAATTCAGTGAGCTGTGCCATTTGAGTAGAAAGCTGAAAAGATGCCCTGTGGTTAAATAATTAATTAAGAACAGAGCTATGGCATCTATTGGGATTTCTACCTTTGGAACTAAATTCTGAGGCCCAATTCCCCTTCTCTTTCCCTAGAAGTTCAATAGCAACTGCATCAGTAACAAGGCTAAAAAATAATGAGCTACAGAGCCAAAGTCATTGATTGTATTGTAAGTTTTAAAGAGAGTCTAGATACAGGCTCTCATTTAAAACAGGGAAACAAGACTTGAGTTGCTTTTAATGCATGCTAATGGGTTTAACCTGTCCCTTTTGAAGTCAGTGGGAATTCTGCCATTGATTTCAGACCAAACAGCATTGGACCTCAAATAGCTCAGGAAAGTTAAATATATTTAGTGCATCATTTATCATTTAAATATTCCGCGTAAGTAACTGAGCAGCAAAAAAAGAAAAAAAGAGCAAAGCAATGTCAAGTAATGTCACCCTAAGTTTTCTGTTGTTATTACTGTGTAAGCTGTTGTCTTAAAAATACTCCAATTGGCAGCCTGATCCTATGGAAACTGAGCTAAGCACTATACTCACAAACAAGTGTATACAGGAGTGCAACTTTAATGCATATATATATATATATATATATATATATGCCTCCCTCTCTCTATATATATATACAGGTATGTCTGTATCTAAAATACTGTATGAAATACAAATTGTCCTCCATCTCTCTGAACCCATCTGCCTTTCATGGTTCCAGGGCTTGAAAGCTTGGCTTGTTACAGTATTTTTGTTTCATCTAGATGTCTTGCTATGGGTAACAAATGTTCCCCTTCATCATCCCTATTGCTTCTACTGCACAGGATCTCAGATAAAGTCAGACATGCCTCCCAATCTTCACTGATTCCACTCATTAAATATTGTCTGGGGTTTGTTTAGGACAAACAGACCTATAATAGTTTATTTTCCCTCACCCATGAATCCAGTCTGCAGACACTTCTCCAAGCCAGGGTAGGCAGCCAATCATGCTTCTCACGTTACACTTTCTCTTCCCAACAGTCTTCCAGTTACAGTGACTGTTCCTCCAACTTTACTCATTTGTTTCTGCTGATAGATAAAGCCTTTTAATCTTGGTTACTGGCTACAAAACTTCATAGGCCAAGCTCATCATCACTTATCCACACTTTGGACTTCTTTTGGCACCCCAGTGGGGTGCTTTGCAGCTGAGATTCTAGGTTAGCTGTGTCCCCTAATATACACATTTTTGTATGTTGTTTTCTCAGACATGCGAATTTTAATGCACACTCACCCCAATATATGTGTTTTTGTACACATCGCTTAGCTGGACAATTGTGTTGCAAAAGTCATTGAATTTTCGAAGGATGGCTGTGTTTCAGAACATGTGAATTAGGTGGGTTCACCTTTAAGTGCAATCTGAATTTCTTCCCCCTCCCTAGCTGGCCCTGAGATTGCTGCAGTTACATGTGACTCCAGAGGCATATGCCTGTAGTGCCTGTACACCACTTGAGTATTCCTTGAGAGTATTTATTCTGAAATAAGTAAATAAATGTACTTTCTCCTTCCTCTCTGCTCTGGACAATACTTTAGCACCCCACAGGCCCAGTGAGAGCACAGGGACTCTTTTCCCCTGCCTCCTCATATATCATAAGAGAACATAAGTTCAAATCCTCATGGATTCCAGAATCCTACCGATGCAACCTTATTGTGTCTTTGGACTGTATATTGTTTCAGGCTTATCTACAACTTTCACATTTTAGCTCAGAAGCCTATATATGGTTTATCAGAAGAAAACTTGCATATTCCTCGCCTATAGCTTAGTTTTTATAACATTTCTTATTTTTAAAAGTAAACAAACATTACTGAATCATTGCAGTTTTTTCCCCCAAGAGACCTTTTGTTTCTGCAGAAAACAAAATTCCAAACAGTTGAATTGTGGCTGTGCTTGTAGAGAGAGTACTTAAGAGGCTCATTTGAAAAATCTCCCATTTCCCCACTTTAATGCTATGCAGCGGGAGATTTTATTGTGATACTCAGGGGGCTAGATGTACAGCTCCCATAACAGTTAAAAATGTTGTTCAAATCTCTGTGAACCACGATAAAAAAAATTGAGCTCTGTCAGTTTGCCAACCTGTTTGAAATATGGATTTCATTTCCTCTTTACTGGCTAAGCAACATTGAAGACTTGAAAATCAGAACGATGTGTCTCATTCCATATTCTCCCTCCCTCTCCCCACAACTTTTTACCAAGATTATAAATACCTGATAGATACAAAAGAGTAAAGGAATTGGACAGAACATGCATTTTTTCCATTAAAATTAATCCAAGGGAAGAGGTCATGTTGATAAAATGTGTTTCATCATTTTGAGAGTGAAATTAACCCCTTCCTATAAAAAGAGAAAGCAATTACACTTTGTTCAGACAACTGAGGTGGAAAGATAGGAATAAAGGTATTGTGGGGGAGACTATTAGCACCCCAAGTTTTCAAGATGCTAGGAAAATATTGCTTATTTTTACTGGTAACTTGCTACATAATGTATAAAAAAGTAAAGGTAAAGGACCCCTGACAGTTATGTCCAGTTGCAGATGACTCTGGGGTTGCGGCGCTCATCTCACTTTACAGGCCAAGGGAGCTAGCGTTTGTCTGCGGACAGTTTTTCTTTTTCTTTTTTAAATGATATTTATTGAGAATTTAAAATTACAGAGAAAGAAAGAAAAAGAAAACAAGAAAGAAAGAGAAAGAAAGAAAAAGGTAGACAAAAATAACAAACAATACAAGTCAATAAAAACCAAAGTCAAAGAAAAACAACAACACACATCAAACTCAAAAAACAAAAATAAACAAAAAATTTAAAAACAAATCCAATATTCCCAAATCCTTATTTTCCATTAACTTATTTCATCGACCTCCTCACACCTCCCTTTTTTGTATTCTAGTTATTAATTAGCTCAGCAAATCCTTTCCATCTTTCACAATATTCTGTCATTAAATTACCTTAATCTATTTTAACCATATCTTACCATAAATAACCCTCAAGCTTAAGACTTAAATCTTATTTATACCTAATTCTTTTAAGCATAACATATTCTTACATAATTCTTTTTAACATTTCTACTAAAGCCAAATAATTTCATTCCAACATTTCTCTAGTACTCATTAATTTTACGATAATTTTCTATATAAATAAATTTTTAAAACTTTCTTCCAATCTTCATCCATCGTCTCTTCTTCCTGGTCTCGGGTTTTGTCAGTCCTTTCTATCCCATCCATCTAGTCCATCAACCTGGTGACCTTCTATCCGAGGCTCTTAAGTCTTTTCTATGTCCCTTCCGCAAGTCTTCTTCATGTTTATACCTGTACTTTACATTGTCTTCTGCTGATCTTATTCTTAATTTCCTTCCTTTCTCTCAGGGAGACTCCAACTTGACAATGTCTTTGCCCCCTCTCGAGAAGTCAGCCCATTCTCCATAGTCAACACTGAAATCCATATGATATTTAGAAGCATGTTTCAAAGTCCCTCCAAAGTTAAGGGCCCCCACAACTCACAACTCCCCCGGCCCAAAGCCAAATTTGAAAGGTCAAAACATCCCTGCATAGGGGGATCTATCCAGCTTCCCATCTCCAAGCCAAACAGAACTCCATCTCTCCAAATCTGGCTTTCTCCAGATTCATTCGTCAGATCCAACAGCTAATTTTCCTGCAGGGCCGCAGCTCTCTCCATTTCTGCTACTTGAGATTCAGGAACAACCTCCTCCTTTATCTTCTTCACCACGTGATCTGTCAAAGCACATTCCTGGATTAATTCCTGAGTGGGTTCTATATAGGTATTCACTGTTTGTCCAAAATTTCCGACTGCGACAGTCATCAAATCCATCTTCTCATGTAGCTGTTCCAGTAAAGCACTTGTCTTGCAAAGAAAAAGTACTAACGCTTGTTCTAGGCACATTCTTGTTCAAGGTCAAAGTCTGGTCCCACAATCTTTAATCTCTACAGCTGCAAAGCTCCCCAGATCAACTCTAATAACAGTTTCACAAGCTCCCTCTAGGGGAAACAATTTCTATTTGTATCCATCTTTTTAAAGGCAGATCTAGCAACAAAGTTCCTTTCCTTTTTCAGATATTTTGTTTCTTTTAAATGCAAGAGGGAACATTGGAATCAATATGTTTCTCTTTTTTTAACTATCTGTCAAAAACGTTTGTCTACAGTCAATGAACTTCCCCAAAGCATCCGTCCTGACACCCCGCTCCCAGGTTCAAGACGGTGGAAATTTATCTTTCTTTACTCTCTCTTCTATAGGTTTAAACAATCTAAAAAGCTTCCCCCCTCTTCTCCTGCTTCCAAGGGGGTTTAGTAATTTTAAATGATGGAAATTTAATCCTTTACAGACGACTTTCCAGACTCTAGCTTGCAATGTCTTTGCTTCAATCTATTTACAAAAGCGGAAGGCGGACTTCCTGTTTAGACCTTCCTGCTTCAATGCCAAATTAAGAAATTTCATAGTCCAATTTTCCATTCTACTCACAAGCAGTTGTTTAAAATCCAATTGTCCACAGGAAAAAGTCAGCGCTCTCCAGCAACAGCAATGCGGCTTCACTCCGTGAAAAAAGCGGTCGATTCGAAGCACCGCGCCATTCACCCCACGTCGCTCCAGATCCCCGAAACCGGGTTTCCCCGTGAGTAGGGGAGGCACAAAAGGTGCCAGCCGAATCCCACGTCCACAGGCTTCTCCCGCCTGTGGTTTTTAATGGGTCTCCGCCTTGCCGCGGCGGTCCAGACCCTAATTCTCACGAAGCGGATTCCTAATTCTCACGAAGCGGATTCCTCCTGATCAGAGGAAATCCGCCATTGCCAGAGGCGCAAACCCGGAAGTCTCTACAGTTTTTCAAGGTCATGTGGCCATCATGACTAAGCTGCTTCTGGTTCAACGGAACACCGAAACCAGAGCAGTGCACGGAAACACCGTGATACCTATTTATCTACTTGCACTTGGGGGGGGGCATGCTTTCAAACTGCTAGGTTGGCAGGAGCTGGGAACGAGCAACAGGAGCTCACCCCGTCACAGGGATTTGAACCGCTGACCTTCCAATCAGCAAACCCAAGAGGCTCAGTGGTTTAAACTACTCTGCAAATCAGTTCTTGATGTTGGGGATTTCCCCCCCTTTCTGTAACTGAAGCAAGCTGACTTATGCAGCACAATCTTCTACATATCAGAAGTAAGTCTCATTGAGCTCAGCGAGGCTTACTTCTAGGTAAGTGGGTATAGGATTGCACTTTAGTCTATATAAGTAATAAGGAACCTGTGGCCCTCCAGGTGTTTTTAGACCACATCTCCCATCATTCCTGATAATTCGCCATGCTGGCTGTGGCTGAAGAAATTGGAGTCCAACAACAACTGGAGGACTACAAGTTCCCCATCCCTGAATGAACAATGACAGGATTCCATCAGTGAATTGTCCTTTTATTATAATGAATGGACCAATTAACTACCCATTATCACTCATGCTGCTCCTTCTGGGATTTTCTAAACTCCCTTCCACGGGCTACCTGGCAATTGCTAAGGGTCTTGGCGGACAGCTTAATAATTTTTCTGCCTGTTGTAGCAAATATAATGCACTATTCACCTTGTAGGTTAGAAAACCAGACTCTTAAATTCAGCATGAATAGTTTCATAAGCAGGTGGCATAACACTTATTATTCCATGGTTTCAAACATGTTGTATATCACTATATAATGTGGTGTTAAACAGTGATAAAAAGGTGCCTGCCTCCTTTTAGTTGCCAAGTCTGTTCCCTTGTGAGGATCTCAGATAAGTAGACTAAATAACATCTAAGAAGAAAATTTGCCAGTTCTTAATTACTTTTCACCAGTGTGCCACAAATAATGAAAAAAGAGGGAAACGAGCATAGAAAATGTATTGTAGTCTATTTCATTTCTGCCATATAAAAGCCCTGGAGTAGAATTGCCTTAAAATGCACAGCTTCGGTAGCAAATAAGAAAGAAATTATAAATACAAAATTCTTCTCCTCCTAATTATACAATTTAGATGAAAAATGAACTTCCCAAGTTGTTTCACCAAAGTGAGCTCTCCAGGGCACAAGTATGGCTGTCCTGGGCTGCCCAGATGACAGCACTCTCCCCTCGGCCTGCTGGTGTGGTCCAAAGGAAAGCAGATCAATACAATTGGCATCAGCTTGGCTGGAGGAGTTGCCAGAAGAAGGCATGCAAGGCACCATCCAACTGTCTTAGGGACTTCATTCTGGATTTGTATAGGGTTTACTCCTTAGCATTTTCTTCTCCCAAAGATATTCCGCAAGGCAGTGGATAATTCCAAAGAGTAACAGAAAAAACAAAATAGGTATCTTAGTCTTAGCTGTCTTTATAGCTAATGAGCTACTGTAATTGTGCACAAAACGCTTGTGAGGTAGTGGCACAGAAGTATGAAGTTAAATGACACCATACACAAAGGTAAAAGCTAGATCTTCTTTTCAATAAAAAGCTTGTGTACAATAAATTAAGAACAGGTGATAAGCAAATGGAGACTTTCCATTTTGAATAACATGCTGATTGGTGAATAGTGAATCATGTGCCTTCCAGCCACCAGAATGGTTGCATCTCTTGTTGAAATCCATAAGTTTGCTGGGATCTAAGGCCTGGCCTTACCATTTCTTTATCTTGGTTTACTGCTCTTCTCTATGATTAGTCACTATCTTTTCCTATCCCATACCATATAAAATGAAGTATGCTTTTATCAAATGCAGACTTGATCACTTTGACCTTGCCTTTTCCTGCTTGCTCCCAAATCCTGCAAGTTTCTCTTTGCTCCTTGCCACACTGCTGCCTACTTCTCCCTCTGACCTGCCTGGACTGCCCTTTGGAATTTGGACCTGATTTTATCTCACCTCTTTCAATTTCGCCTTTGAACAAATGTGCCAGACCACTCTTCCTTCCCTTCAGAGAGCTCAACACTGCAAGGGGCAGAGCACTATGTACCAGTGAGCAGCAGAAGCTCGGAAAGCAAAATGAGAATCTAAAAAAGAGTGCATGGACCAGGAATCCAAAATTAGTCACTGCTCCCTGATGCGTCCATTGTGCATTAATAAGCTATGTTCAAATGTAACATAGCCAAATCCTATGCAGTGTTAGTGTGCCCATTCAAATCACTGGACTCAGGCATACCTGATGCTGCATATGATCAGACTGGTAAAGTTCACCCTTTGGACATGTGCCAGACCCTCTGGAAGAACATCTGCCATGTAGAGTGTGAAGCAGCTTTCAAAGAGATTGAGTCAGCACATGACTGGTCAAGTAGAGTGAACTGTTTCTCTTGACAACTTAGTGGAGTTTAAGTAGGACTTCATTGCTGTGCTTTTGAAAAGAATACATTGGCTTTCATCTAATCAAAATCAGCAGTATAAACAACTTTAATGGCTGGTGAGTGACTTTATTACCAATTTCTTCTGCAAAGTAGCTTAATTCTGGCAAGCATTTAGCTTTTAACCATAGGTGATGGCCACATAGTGCCTCATTACAGATGCAAGCAAGTTAAATGCATCACTTAAAGTCTGCTTACATGGGGCTGCTTTTTACAAGGCTTCTGGACAGGGATGGGTTGCTCATGAGACTAGAAGCAAGTTTTATGAGGCTGCTGATTTTTTAGTGCTTCAGAGTGGCGGTGTGCAGTGCAGAATAGTGTCAAAACAGCAAAGATCTTTTACAGCTCTAGGCTCACAACATCTCTGTGGGTGAGAAGATGATTCACGTGTGTATTGATTAAATGAAAAGAATGTGTGGCTTCAGCTATATCTAGAGTGAATTGTCAAATTTAATTAAGAATCTACAAAGGTGGGAAGGGAGTCATCCAAGCATTTGGTGCTTTGGCATCTTTAGACTAATTAAAATCTTCTGACAGAAGAAACACTCTGTAAAAGTGACTTCCCAGGATCCCATGTTTCCTCTGCTCTTTTTGGCTCAATTTTCAAATTGCAACAGACTTCCAGAACCTGGCCTATTCCTTAGTCTTGAGGGGAAGAGATATCCTCCTCCATACTGGTTTTTTATCAACCTCCCCACACAACATACACAAAAACCCAAGATTAGAGGAAAATCTAGAAAAAATGAGTCTAGATTCATGCTGAAGAATTTGCTGTCAGGTCCTTACATGAGAATGCTAGGTCAGTGGAAATCCTTGTAAGATAGTTTTTGTTGTTGTTTTTTTTGGGGTATATAATTTTATTAAGTTTCCTGTTTTACAATTTAAAATACTCATGTTGCATTCTTAAGATATCAATGACTTCCCTTCTCTTTCCATGGTTCATTTTACATATCATTAATCCCTGCATATTTTACAAAAACTATACCATTCAGTATTCCATTGTTGCATCCATCAAAATTTGTTTACACTGTTGAATTTATCAATGCTGCTAGAGTTTTCAGCTGTACACAATTATTTCCCATGTATTCAGTATACATTTTCCAATCTTCTTTAAACGCATGTTCTTCTTGTTCTCTTATTCTATCTGTTAAGTCTGCGAGTTGTCCATATAGTGGTACCTCGGGTTACAGACGCTTCAGATTACAGACACTTCAGGTTACAGATGCCGCTAACCCGGAAGTAGTACCTCGGGTTAAGAACTTTGCTTCAGGATGAGAACAGAAAACGCACAGCGGCAGCGGGAGGCCCCATTAGCTAAAGTGGTACCTCAGGTTAAGAACAGTTTCAGGTTAAGAACAGACCTCCAGAACGAATTAAATTCTTAACCCGAGGTACCACTGTATTCTGTCAACTTAAATTGCCATTCTTCTTTTGTTGGGACCTCCCTCATTTTCAATTTTTGGCTAACAAAACACGGGCCGCAGTAGTAGCATGCATAAATAACCTTTTTTTGACACCTGGGAATTTCAGTCAGAATTATCCCCAACAGAAAGGATTCTGGTTTTGTGGGGGAAGTACTTTCAAGTACTTTTTTTCAATTCATTATGGATCATTCCCCAATACTCTTTTACCCTTTTACAAGTCCACCACATATGAAAGAATGTTCCCTCCACCTCTTTACGTCACCCTGTGGGCACTCAGGCTCAAATGGCAACTTACCCTTCTATCTCCTAGGGGTATCACTGGCTTTGGGGCAGGCTTCTTTGACCATTTTCAATCAATATAAGAGGAGGCATGAGTCACAATGGGTAGATAATATTCTCAGCTGCACTTCAGGTCCAGACAGTTTTACCATCCTTTACCCTCTGTTGGCCTGACTTGCTCTGATATGCATGACTCGTTTTTGTAGGCCTTTTGTCCTGTCCACATTTGACAGAACTTACTTCTGTATTATACAGAGGTGGAAAAGAACACCAACTATTTGTGCTTCTTTGCCCCACACACTTTCTCACGTCCCCTGTTATATGGAAAGTGGGACTTGCAGATCTCATTCACTGTGAGAACTCTAAGCTCCAGTAGTTATTTGGGGCTTGTGAATCTTATCAGAGGATAAATCCCTAAGTCCCACTGCTCATGTTATACCGCAAGGAGGGAAATTAGAAGTGTGAGTCATTCACAGTTTGTTTTTCTTTTCCTCGTCTCTGTAATGGATATACTGCTCCTTAGTGTTCTGATTCTAACTCAAGGTTAAGCTTTGCATTGCCCTGTTACATTGTCAACTATAGAAAATGATAGTTGCTACTCAAACAGCTTCTCAAGAACACATAAGAGAAAGCCAAGTTGTTGGGAGCCATTGTGACACTGTAGGCTTGAGATGACCAAATGGACTATAGATAGCATCTGAACTTAATTTTAAATGTCTGGTGCATGAAGCTTGTTCCCACGTCAGTTTTTGGATTTCATATGAGGCTCAGGGAACAGGAACAGATGCCACGAGGGTGAAAATGCCTTTATTTCTTCTGCTTGATTTGGGATCTACACTTCTAGAAACAAGAAAATAGCGAACAAGGATTAGACATCATATGAATGTTGGTTTTCCATGGCCCTCTGGTTAAAATATACAATTTCATCCTCCATCAACAACTGTGGTCAAATACACCCCAACAGCACTGAAAAAATAAATCTTTGTGTCACTCTTTCACAACTCCATGTTCCGGGTAGGTCTCTGCCGTGCTGAGGTGAAAATTACCATGAGGCACACATACACCAATGTTTTTACTATCATGGCATTTGAGGTCAACTCTACCGCATTCCTCAACAGTACTGAGGAAAAAAATGAACATATGGACATATGGTACCCCACAGGTTTATAAAATGCCTTTACAAACCTGAATTGTTTAAACATTTTTTTCCAAAATTAGAATGTTCCTTGTGAACCTCCCCACCCATTAATTTGCACAAAACCTACTAATTCAGCTTTTGGTGGGGGAGATCACTGAGACCCCAGTCGAATCTACAAATGTTTGTAAGTAGCCTGCACCCTCACTTCACCAGGTTGCCAGACTTAATGCCAACTTTCAATCAAATAAGTTTTGAAAACACTTTTTGTGATTAAAAACTCTGAGGTCAGTTAGAAACCCCCCCCATACCATTTGTGTAGCGTTTTGTACATTATAGAGATCATACTGTAGTGGTTAGAGTGTTGGACTAGGATCTGGGAGACCAGGGATCAAATCCCCACTCAGCCATGAAGCTCTCTAGATGACCATGGGACAGTCATTGTCTCTCAGCCTAAGCTACTTCACAGGATTGCTGTGACAAGAAGAAGAAGAAGAAGAAGAAGAAGAAGAGTACAGTGGTGCCCCGCAAGACGAACGCCTCGCAAGACGGAAAACCCGCTAGACGAAAGGGTTTTCCGTTTTGGAGGCGCTTCGCAAAACGAATTCCCTATGGGCTTGCTTCGCAAGACGAAAGCCCATAGGGAAATCTCCGGGGACCTCTTTTAAATGCTAGCGGTGGGGAGCAAAGCCTTCCCCCCCCCTCCGGCCTTCAGAAGAGGTCCAGGAAGGCTGGCGGGGGCCGAAGGCTTTGCTCCCCACCGCCAGCATTTTAAAAGCAGTCCGGGATAGCAGGAGCGCTTCCCGCTATCCCGGACGGCTTTAGAAGGCAGGAGAGGTCCGCTGAAGCCTGGGCGCGCTGATCTCAGCGCGCGCAGGCCTCGGCATGCCGGCAACTCTCCGCAAGCAGCGGCAGCGCTGCCGCTGCTCGCGGAGAGGTCCGCTGAGCCTGGGCGCGCTGATCTCAGCGCGCGCAGGCTTCGGCATGCCGGCAACTCTCCGCAGCAGCGGCAGCGCTGCCGCTGCTCGCGGAGAGGTCCGCGGAGCCTGGGCGCGCTGATCTCAGCGCGCGCAGGCTCGGCATGCCGGCAACTCTCCGCAAGCAGCGGCAGCGCTGCCGCTGCTCGCGGAGAGGTCCGCGAGCCTGGGCGCGCTGATCTCAGCGCGCGCAGGCTCGGCATGCCGGCAACTCTCCGCGAGCAGCGGCAGCGCTGCCGCTGCTCGCGGAGAGGTCCGCGAAGCCTGGGCGCGCTGATCTCAGCGCGCGCAGGCTCGGCATGCCGGCAACTCTCCGCAAGCAGCGGCAGCGCTGCCGCTGCTCGCGGAGAGGTCCGCGAAGCCTGGGCGCGCTGATCTCAGCGCGCGCAGGCTTCGGCATGCCGGCAACTCTCCGCAAGCAGCGGCAGTGCTGCCGCTGCTTGCGGAGAGGTCCGCGAGCCTTGGCTGGACAGCTTTTGAAGGCAGGTGGGGGGGGGGACAAAGACTTTCGCCCCCCGCCAACCTTCAGAAGAGGTCCAGGACCTCTTCTGAAGGCTGGCGGGGGCAAAAGTCTTTGTCCCCCTGCCTGCCTTCCCAGGGGCTTTAAATTGCCCCGGACAGCGGAGAAGTCCTCCGCTGTCCCGGGGCAATTTTAAATGCCGCCCGCCAGCATTTTAAGATCGCCCCGGACAGCGGAGAAGCCCTCCGCTGTCCCGGGATTTTAAAATGCTGGGGTGGAGTGGGAAGAAAAGCCCTTGTCCCTCCCCCCCAGCCTTCAGAAGAGGTCGGGGGACAGACTGTCCCCGGACCTGGTCTGAAGTCGGTTTCCCTAGGAACGCATTAATTGATTTTCAATGCATTCCTATGGGAAACCGTGCATCGCAAGACGAAAAACTCGCAAGAAGAAAAAACTTGCGGAACGAATTAATTTCGTCTTGCGAGGCACCACTGTAGTCTGGATTTGATATCCTGCCTTATCACTACCCGAAGGAGTCTCAAAGCAGCTAACAATCTCCTTTCCCTTCCTCCCCCACAACAAACACTCTGTGAGGTGAGTGGGGCTGAGAGACTTCAGAGAAGTGTGACTGGCCCAAGGTCACCCAGCAGCTGCATGTGGAGGAGCGGAGACGCGAACCCGGTTCTCCAGATTACGAGACTACTGCTCTTAACCACTACACCACACTGGGAGGGGGAGCCAGAACAGCCTGCTTTTGGAGGAATCTAGCCAGAACAGATATTTCTTCTCGGTGCACAAATGTAGGGAATCAGCCCTTTAAAAATGACCATATAAACTAAGAACCATGAGACAAACAGGTAAGGTCAATTTTCTTTCTTTTTGATAAGATTTTATTGTTTACGTTAATAATGCAGAACATAACCAATTTCACCCTACCCCGGTCTATAAATGGCTGTGGATAATACAGTAAAATAGGAAGATGTGCAGAGCTTTACAAACTAAAGTTAACTGAAAATGAAGCTCATCTCCTTGGAATATAAGGGTTAACCATATCAGTGGTGTTTTTATTTATGTATATTTGTTATAATTTCTATTGTATCAAAAGTCTGGAATGTATTACTGAAATCTATGGTCCCTCTTTGTCTCTGCTTCAATATTTTCCATCTGTTTTATGTGATGGTTTTCTTCTATGCTAGATTTTACATTTCAGTATACAATAAACAAACAAATAGGGGGAGAATTGTTTATGCCACTTTGAGCTCTTTGGGAGGAAAAGTGTGATGCAATGTAAAAATAAGTAAATAATGTAGTGAGGTATTGTTGACCCCAATGATTTATATGTAAAAGGAAGGTCTTACTGAAGGCTTAAAACAACAACAACAAACATTGCAAACAATGGCATGTTTCATAACTTCCACCAGGTATTTGATTGATTTATTACTTGAGCTACAGTTGTCTTGATACTGGGTTGGTACAATCAATATTTCAACTGAGCACAGTCTGTTTCGCTATACCTTATAGAGGGAGAATATTCAGTATTTAATACGATTGTTACAACTATGCGGAAGCAGAGCCCACACATTCTAGAGAGATAAATTTAATGGAGGAATTAAACTTCTCTCATTAAAGCACAGTCAAATGAACCAACTCTTTAAGGCAGATTTTGTAAAAACAGAATGGTAAAAATTGCTATTATAACTTATGCTGGCAGTCCTCGTGACAGCTTGCTTGTTTAACAAGTATGTCATATTGTAGTGCTCACATCAATTATCCATATAAAAGGCTTTTCTGCTGCAAATGTAGAAAGACTTTCTTTGAGAGTTTCTAAAGCTGTTAGCTCTTGATGTCAAGAACACTGTTTTCCTTCTGAATGAATGGCTGCTAGAATACTGTTAGTGTTAATGGAGCACAAATGATAATCAATGGGACACTGCATCCTGCTTTATAATATCCAAACTAATTCTATTGCAGACTCACAAGCCAATCCTAACTGTAAAAAGCTGGGGTCAACTCCACTGTCATAAGGCATGCTGGTGTAAGTTACCCCATTCCAAACTCTGTGCAGGCAGAATGTGACTTACCACACCGGTGAGATGTCTGTGGTGAGCAACGGCTTCCTTTTCCCCACCAGCACTGTCTCGATTTGTGTGTCTACCTGCCTGAATGTGTGTATGAGTCTGCCAGCCTGAGTGAATGTCTGTATGAGCATGTAATGAGCATGTAGTGTGGAAGTGTCAGGTGGCAGAGAAACAACTCCCACGGCAGGTTGCCGGGAATGGATAAGACAAGGAAAAGTTCTTAACCACCTGCTTTTTTATTCAATATTTACAGAGAGAGGCTTGGGATGCAGCCTCTTAGAATAATGGTGTTGTCCCGAGTGACTCTCTGCCCCCTTTTTCTCCCACTTCCTCATTCGTCTTCATCTCCCCTACGGGTGGCACTGAGGGCCTTTTGCTGCTGAGCCCTTTGCTCTCCTACTTTCAAGGCTTGCCAGGTTCTGGGAGAGGGGTGGGGTCTGGAATGCTTTCTAAAGACACTGTGTCTGTCAGCTGTTGCCCTCCTGGTGTTTCCTCCTCCTCCTCTTCCTCCTCCTCCTCTCCCATTATTTCCCAGCTTTTCTGCTCATCTGCCTCTGAGCTGTGACCTCCCTCAAACCCCTGTTGTAATTCTGAACTGTCTTCTTCTCTGGGAGGGTCAGGCTGAGGAGGCAGTCTCCGCCATTCCTTCTCTGCCCAGCAAGTGACTGTGTGGGCCATGTACACTTCAGCTATTCATACTTTGGCTGGCTGTCAGTGCAGATCTTGAGCCAAAAGTGGTTAGCTACCCCAGCTGTACAGGCGGCATAGGTGTCCTGCTATTGCAGCCATAAACCCATCATGTCCTTCCTATGTATTTTTATCATGTTACCGGTTTATAGAAAGTCTTTTTTTGTTTGTTTTTTTACAGAATTTTGCCAAATATATGGTTAGGAAGTTGCCCTCGTCAAGTGGAGCATGTGACCGTAAAGCTAAAACGAGAGTTGGGCATTACAGCTGTAATGAACTTCCAGACTGAATGGGACGTTGTTCAGAATTCCTGGGGATGTAATCGCTATCCTGAACCTATGAGTCCAGAAGTTCTCATGAAGCTGTATAAAGAAGAAGGCCTTGCTTATGTCTGGATGCCAACACCAGACATGAGTACTGAAGGTAATATTCACATTCTGCCATGAGTTAGAATAACTTGAAGAAGAAGAAAAACATTCAGGAAAAGATATGCATTGTGTGAAAGGTTAGCATCAGCTTTCACACGGCTTCACAAATTACTTGCTGTTATCTTCCAGGCAATTTGCTGCCATGGCACACCATATGTCCAGAGATAGAGATCAGAGTGTTCTATGGATTTAGCAAGCAGCTCTCATATATAAAAAACTTGTTTAAATTGTGCTTGCTCTTAACTGCATTGAGCAATCTTGAAATACGCTGAATACGCTTGATGTTCAACAGTACCTGAAAGAAAGCTCTATCCTTATTACTGAGATTAATAATATGATGATGATGATAATGAAGATAAGCAATCATATACAGTGGTGCCCCGCAAGACGAATGCCTCGCAAGACGGAAAACCCGCTAGACGAAAGGGTTTTCCGTTTTGGAGGTGCTTCGCAAAACGAATTTCCTATGTGCTTGCTTTGCAAGACGAAAATGTCTTGCGAGTTCCTGCGGGGTTTTTTTCCTCCCCCCCCCTTTTTCCCAAGCTGCTAAACCGCTTATCAGCTGATGGCTAAGCCGCTTAACAGCTGATCTTTAAGCCGCTTATCAGCTGATCTTTAAGCCGCTTAACAGCTGATGCTAAGCCGCTTATCAGCTGATCGTTAAGCCGCTTATCAGCTGATCTTTAAGCCGGCTAAGCCGCTAATACTGTAGCGCTAAGCCGCTAAACCTCTAATGGGCTTGCTTCGCAAGACGAAAAAACCCGCAAGACGAAGAGACTCGTGGAACGGATTCTTTTCATCTTGCGAGGCACCACTGTATACCCAATAAATTAAAAGTTGCTTTTATCAGTAGTACTCAAAATATACAGGGATTTATTTCATAATCTGAAGTTTTCCCACATATATAAAAAAGTACACCATCACGATTGATCTCAAAGGTAGCACATACTTTCCCCCATCTAGGGATGTGGAAGGGGAAAGTATTCATTTCACATTTAATGCAAATCTATCTAATATGAAGCAAAACAGAGCCACCCTTCAAAATTTATACTTCTCTGAATTTTGCAATAAAGTTTTCCAGCCAAGTAATGTGTACAAGAATGTATATATTAGAGTAATATATCAGTGGAAAATAATATTCCAAAATGCATTATATTAGGGGAAATTGCTTTGCAAAAATGCATGCAAAAATGTGTATATTAGGAGAAAGTCACACTACAATGCTGGTGAGTTTTCAGGATGATTTCTTTTTTAAAAAAAGGTTTGCAAGTTGATGCGGGAATGTGGAAACCTGAACTTAAAATTAGAAAAATAAGTACCAGAGAAACTGAAACGGAAATATTCACCCATCCCTCCTCACATCAAATATTACCCTTTGCCCCAGGAACTAGATGTGCCAAAAAAGTCAAAGAATCACATTTGATACTGGTCACTCAGAGTGACTTTAATGCATCGGAAGTATTCTGCTCCCCACAAAAGTTCATGTCACAAAAATCTTTTGCTTCTGATGCAACACACTAGATCGCTACCCCTCATGAATTTCAAATTACTTTGTGATGAAGACAATTACACTTTTGTTTTTAATGTTCCAGGAATAGCTTCTAGGCAAAATCAATATACTTCCATAATGGTCTTCATGTTTGTGTTGTTCCAAGTCACAGTGCTTGAACATTTTTCAATTTATTTACTACCTATTACAATATTTGTGCCCTGCCTTTTTGAACCAAAAGGACTTGCAAAGTGCCTAGCGACGAAAGATGAAAAAATACACAATGAAAACAGTAACTACAACTACAACTTAATAGCAAGAATTAATAAAATTAAATTAGCCAGCAGTAAGCAAAAGAACAAGAGCCAACAAAAGAAAGAAACCTTGCAGGAGGATCACTTCAAATTCAATGTGCCCCAAACTTGCCCTGAAAAAGGCCAGCTCTTACCTGGAGATTAAAACTGCATGAAAACCATCTAAAGCCAATTTAAAGCACCTCCCCCCAAAAAAGAATCATGGGAACTGTGGAGTACCTCTCAGATCTACAGTTTCCAACACCCTTAACAAAATACCATGTTGGAGATCATAGTTGGGATGTAAGGCAATTTTTAATATTTATTGTTAACCTGAGTGCTTGGGATAGTTGAAGTGCACAGGGTAGTAGTCACTCTTGTAAGAGAAGCAAGAAGGCAAAAGCGAATGAAGAGTCATCAACTCTAATCCCACCCACCCACCCTTATCCCTCCACTTCAGGTAAAAGCCACCTAGAGTGGGTGGTGGCCTTTATGAAATGACTTCAAAGTCTGGTTATTGTCTTTTTTTTTTTTTAGTATGTGCAGTTTTCATATGTTCTTGAGTTACAGTCACAACAAAAGTAGTCCATTATTACCTCTTGTGAACACATTATTTTCCCAATTCAAAAGGAACAGTTTGGTCTTCTCCACATCATTAGAACCAACCTCCAGGCAGTTGCCAAAGGGCAGTGTCAAGTTACGCTGGCCATTTCAAGGAGTGGGTGCTATAAAGGTTTTTTGCCCTCTTCCTTACTTTACATTTTTCTTCCCATTTTCTCGTTGGCAGAGGGAATTAGATTTCTCCATCCTTATTAGTTGGGCTGAATCTTTTATTAAAGGATCACCCTGGAAAACAGGACAAAGGGAATGAGAAAATCTCTCTACTTATAGCCTTCTTAGAAGACCGTTGCATTATATGTTAAGTGGAAGTATGGAAAACAAGGAAGTGGAGCAGCATTGGCAAAATATGGGGGCAAAATACAGAAGGGCAGTTGCTGGATGCTTGTTCCTGCACACAGTGACCTATCATATCCCACAGCAGTACAGCTGCATACCAAAACCTGTTTGTGTAGGCAAAACATTGCCTCTGCATTGAGGTGAACACACTCATTATATATAATCAGTTTTTGAGGTCTCTGTTTCTCTTTCTTTACCTGTGTCTTTTGTCCGACTTAGACTTTACTTTTAGCCCTTCATGCCCTGTGTTTTCTTATACATAGAATTGTACTCAGGAAGGCTATACTGTACCTCAGAATAAGGTTGCCTACAACTCATGGTTAGCAAAGAGAAAGCTTACCCACAAACTCAGGTTTAGACGACACACTCAACTAAACCTTTAAGGGTCACTAGTGTCAGTAGCATTAAGCAACTTATGTGAACTGTGGTCAGAGTCCTAGATAGGGATCAGACTGAGGACACACAGGCTGAAGAACTCCTGATCAGTTGCTGTTTCTGCTAGTCTCTGACCTCTCACTGTAAAGCAGTTATTTTATTACAGTTCACAAAGGTAAAAGAGCAATCATGTTTCACCAGTGAAAATCCTCATAAGCTAAATATGACCATACCTAGAACTAAGGCACAACACAAACCACTACCAGTGTTTCTAACTTGTGAGTGTGGGGTTGTCATGCATTTGACAGTTGTCCTGTTTCTAATTCTAGGTAGAGTCCAAATGTTGCCTCAGGCTGTCTGTCTTCTCCACGGGCTACTGGAGAACGGACACAATGTCTATGTTCATTGCAATGCAGGCGTTGGCAGGTCCACAGCTGCAGTCTGCGGCTGGTTAAAATATGTGCTAGGATGGAACTTGAGGAAAGTGCAGTATTTTGTAGCCTCCAGGAGAGCAGCTGTCTACATCGATGAAGAAGCTCTGGTGCGTGCCGAGGAGGATTTCTTTCAGAAATTTGGACCTCTTCGCTCCTCATGCAAGCCTTAGCAAGAAAAAGAGAACGTCGCTAGAAGTGTTGCCAAACCCAAGCATTTGAGGAATTGTGGAACTGGCTCCAAAAACAGGATCACTGCCTGAGGAAACGGTGGGATGATGGTGATAACGGTGAAGAAGTCTTCTGAGTCTTATCTTTCATATGTTGCTTTTTCTTTCTCTCTGGAACAATTAAGCAAAATGGCTTCGATTCAGCCGAATGTGTGTGCAGCAGTCAGGGCTATGATTGTGCAGCTTTGTTGGAAAAGGTGTAATCACATTGATTACCTGCTTGGCACATTGATTAGCTGTTTGGGGAGGGGAAGCCGCTGGAATTAAATCCATCTTTCCTCCTTTCCTCCACAAACACCACTGTAGATTTTGTAACAGGACTCCACATACAGAGCCCTGGCAGCTGGACCAATAGGGGAGCTGCAAGTTTAGAACTTGATTGTGCATTTAGTTACATCATCCAGCTAAAGATAAGCATGTATGTCCCCTAGCTGGATCAGGGCAAAATTCCTCTAAACTTCCTAGCCAATTGGATACCCATACATAAGATTCTTATACAATATCAGGCATGGGTGAATGATGCAAAGAATTAAAAGAGAAACACTTGGGATAGAAAGAAGTCAGAATGGATCGGAACACAAGCTGTTACAAACTAAAAAATCATTTCCCACAATTTGGATTATTTGGTCATATCAAAGGGAGCCTTTAGCACAGTCTTTGGCAAATAGAAGTTGTAGTGAAATAAAATTTTAAAGAAAAATAAAAAGCGGGGGTATTACTCTTGTCTGCATTGGCATATTTGTTTCTAATGTACGGGCAAACCTTTATCTTATGATGTGTATAATGTTTTTAGATTTTAACTGATTTTTAACAGCAATATATTTATATGATCTGAAGAAAAACCAGAGGATAGAGAAGCCAGGAATATTGTTGGAAATGGTTTCTTAAGGTCCTCAGGAATGTCTCCTTTATATCTTTATTTGATCATTTGCATTTATGTTTGGATCATTATCTTGTATTTTTGTGTATTAAGCATGTATAATGTGGTTTATCAATAATTAAGTAAAAAGTAAAATAAATAAAAAATAAACTTTTAAAGCTTATGTTCTAATCCACTTAGTATATTTCAAATCCTGCATATGCAGGATCCCACCCCTCACACTCACTATTCTCTTATAGGGCTAGTCTGCATGGCAAAACAGTTTTCTGATGATGACATTTGCTGGTTTGGAACAACAGTGGCAATGGCTCTTCGTGTGTGAGGTCAGTAATGGGTGTGGAGAGCTTAATCAGAGAAAGGAAAGGGATGAGATCGAAAGAAAGAAAAATACAAGGAAATTATAGGGAAAGACAGAAAAGTAAAAGAGAAAAGAAAGTGGATCACTGCAGGTTCCTAAAATTGACAGTTGCATCTGGCAGTATTGAGCCACACTTACACCTCCACCAAAAGCCATATAAAATGATATGTGGCACAGTGGCAAGCTTATCTATAGCATCCTACTTTGCTTTTCTTTGTTTCTAAACATATCTTCCCGTGCACCCTATGCATCCAATAAAAATGTAAGTTATGTAACTTTTGTATATTTATTTTTGTTTTACAACAGCTTGGGAAAGCTAACACCTAATTCTCTTGACTCAAGTTCCATCTGAATCTAATGCCAACATTGTTTTCACTAGGAGTTGGTGAATTTCCTATGTTCCATTGTGAAATTATTTTATGGCATGACTCTCCCCTGTGTTCTGTTCTGCCATTCCGTTCTTCTACATTTCCATCTAGATTTTCTGTCTTTCACTTCAAAAACTGGTTTGTTGCAACATTCTGTTCCTTTCTTTTGTGTGCGTGCCCTTTTCAGTTCGTCTTGTACGCAAGTAACAGAATACATTAAAATACCAGGATTTTCCGCCAGCATCCATCGCTAACATGCACACTGGTTAACGGAAAAGTCCCATCCCAGCATTCTTTGTTCCCCATTTATTTAAAGGCAGAGACCTTGTTGTTGATAAGCCATGCTCTCAGTCTCAGCACACCTATCACCAACATGGTTATAACCACACTGGGCTGTTATTACCTTTGCTTTCATTACTGAACAATACTGAGCCTTCATTACAAGACTGTTGTAAGTTGCTCTGTCTCAGCTTTTTCCCCCAGTGTTGATAGAATTTAAGCGTTGTAGTCACCTTCAAAAGCAAACTATTGCATTGCTCTGCCAGTATTTACTTTTCATTCCCGTTCTCTTGCATGTAAGGAAAGGAGTGAAATTTGTTTTAATTATTTTATTTTGTGTGCTGGTCTGATGTTTTATTTCTATTTTTAGTTTTGTGCCAACATGTCATTAAATAATTGAAACTGCACTATTACTGCTGGTAAATAAAACTTGTGCTTTTTGCATGCTATGCAGCCTAGATTGATGCATTTGTTCTCCTCATCACCCTGTTGGATTTTAATGATTTATCCTACCATTGTTTTCAGTATATTTAAAGTTCCTTCTGTATGGTCATTTGCCTTCTGTATGCTATTTCAGCCCAGTTTAGAGCTAATTCATGCCATGTGTATTTTCCAAACAGGTAACACACTCACAATGATAGACAAATATACTTCATTATTTTTGTGGAGTTGGCATCAGCCCATATTCCCTATCTATTCACAGTTTGGCTCATGTTTGCTGTTTGTTAGGCCAGCACGCACACAAAAAACTCATCTTGGAGAGACCACAGAACAGAATTTCATTTTGTGACAGTGCCCTTTGATGCAGCAGATTCCCCCGTCATTTGCTTAGTACAAAGATGATTCGCTTACACGGAGTAAATCTGATAATAATATACGAACAGCCACACTGGTAAACATAAATATAATTCAACTAGACAAATATATGGTCCCGGATAGAAGCCATTATTGGTTGTTGATGGGAAGTATGAAAAAACTTAAGCAAAATAATCTGTCCTTTATAGTTCACACTTAGTTTCTGAGTAAATTGGAAATTGTGTGTTTGTGCATATGTATCTATGGGTGGGTGTAGGTGTTGTTGTGAGTGTTGCGAATGCTTTTATCTTTTAAAACCCAATTTTATTACAGACCATCTTCACCTCCCAGAAGTCTATAGAGCTGCTCTTCAGTTCCAAATTAGATCTGATGTTAAATCCATGAATGCAATTAATGCAATTAGTTTTTTGAAGTTAAATAGCAGCCTCATAGGGCAGAGCCAGTTGGGGTCAGGACCATAGTATGCAGAGATGATTCAACCCATTGTGCTCATGCTGTACTCTTGATGAAAGTACCCTCCCTGCTGCATACACAGGGTAAACCCTTGTTTATTATGTGACCATAAGAAAACAAGAGTAAGTGTATTTCTGATTATTCTTGTACAGTATAATACTCTCCATATATGGTCAAATTTATTACAGTAGCTTGTATCATTTACAACAGATGGTGGTTGCTACTTCTATTTCCTCCACCTCTTGCATTGCAAAAAAATGAGTTTGCCCCAGTGTATTAATGTAAATTGTGGGGATGAGCCAGCCAAATTGAAACAGTCTTAAATCCCATTTATTGCAGTGAAGAGTTAAGCATATTCTTACAACTCTCTACCACTGATATCAGTTAAAAGTGCCTAACCATAGTTGGTTATCAATCCACATTCTGGCACATCTAGAGAAACACAAATATTTTTCTTAGGTATGACGGATAGTCATTAAAGCATTAAATCTCAGGGTTGTGCGTTCAAACCCCACCTTGGGCAAAAAGATTCCTGCATTGCAGGGGTTTGGACTAAATAACCTTTGTGAACCCTGCCAACTCTACAAATCTGTGGCAAAAATAAATTTAGCTAGCACTACAAATGCAAATGACAGAGCCCACGGACAATACAAAGTGGTTGTCTCAAAGTACTGATGCCTCCCCAGTAGCATAATTACATAATAAGTCTAGATCTAGTACTTATCCATTAAAAAAACTAATTTGAAATATGCTCTACTGATTGGCTCATTAGCCATTACCACACAAAAACCTGTTTATGCTATGTCCGAAAAGATGAGCAAATTTTTGAAACTATTGTCTTTGTATGGCTCCTCTTGGAAGTCTGGCACAAAGGTGCTAATACATTTTTGAGAGACAAAAGGGTGGGAGGTAGAAAACTCCTAAAATGAGAATTAATCCATTACTCTCATTTCAAAGGGAGTTTTTTTTTTTCTAGTGACAATGAGGAAGGCAGAGCTGAAACAGGTCATCCATTCAAAAGCATCATCAAAAGAATTAATTGCAGGCAAAAAAATTTACACACAGAGAAGAGATTCAGACATAAAAGCATACCCCAACTAAAAGAACAAATTTGCTGACTGGAATAGCACAGCTCAAACCTCAAGATGGAACTGATTAACAGATTGGAACTTATTGCACTCAGTATGGGCATATTACATAAAGACTCATGTATGTACCCCACCAAAACAGCATGAGGTGGACACAGCATGGGGACTATGCATGTTAGCACTCGCAATCTCCCTATTATAAGAATATCTGAAGCTGCTAAGTACAACTCCTGGCTCATCTACCTCAGTATGTCTACACCGACTGGCAGCAGCTCTCTTGCGTTTTAGGACCAACCTTTTCCAGACCTACAAATGAAACACAGGCTTTCTTCTTGCAAGACCTCTCCTCCTCCCAGAGGGGAGGAGTTGTGTGAGGGAACCGGCATCAGCAGGGGGGCGTATTCAGCCCTCTGTGTCAGCCTTCCCTTAGCTGCCGCGCCAAGCCCAGCAGACAGCCAATAGGGCTCGCTGTGGGCGGGATTTAGCCACGCTTATGTGGCCGCGGTGGTGCTGGGGCCCCATTCAGCTTCCTGCTTCCTTTGGCTCTCCCACACTCCCTCCCTTTAGGTCAATTCTGTGTTTTTGACCTTCCTATGGACTTCGGTTGGTTGCCTTGGTTGCCCAGGGAGCCTGGTAGGAATTTTATCCATTTGGCAAATTGGCACCAGCCTCTTGGTTTTCACCTACCTCATAGCAAATTG